GTTCATAACTGCAGATTGTGTCATGTTGCAGGCACATCCACAGTTAGGGGGTGTCATTCACTATGAGGGTATAGCATATTGATCTGTTTTCGCCATGTCCACCATGGGGGGGGAATATTACTGATGATACAGCGTTGTGCTATAGTCATCAAGAATGTGGGGATAGTACATAACAGAAGATAGTGGGTGGTACTGTATTGTAGGCATATCTACAGTGAAGGGGTGTCATTCACTGTGAGGGGATAGCATATTCCTATGCTTTTGCCACGTCCATAGTGAGGGGAGAACATTGCGGGTGACATAGCGTTGTGCTATAGTCACATCTAGAATAAGGGTAGTACATAACTTAAGATAGTACATAACTAAGGATAGTGTGATGTTGAAGGAAACAGTGACGGGAGGTCCAGTTGCGTTTAGCCATATCCTCAGCGAGGGGACGACATAATGCCGATGGTAGAGCGTTTCAGTTATATACACAGTGATGGAATGATTCACTGCTTATGATAGAGTGTTGCGTTGCAGTCTCAAGCATTTGAAAGAAGAGTATCGTAGTCAACATTCGTATATACCCTCAATCATAGGATATGTATGTAAGTAATGGGGGATTCGAATTTGTATTGCGTTAGAACGGGCGCCAATGCTATCTGGGAAGAGCAATGTAGGGGGTGTAGATCGCATTGATGGTTTCTACACAATTCCAGTCGCTGAAGAATCCTCAGAAGGTTGTATCGCGTGTCAAGTGAACTTTCATGAATATGCCATACGAGGAACTGAGTGAAGTCATATATTGGGGGGTCAAGTGGTGTCAAGACTAGTGTTCATGTGGTTTTATACACTCTTCTTGAATACATGCGCCCTCATTCGGTATCTAGGAGGAGTATACAAGACGAATCACATTATAATCGACAAGTTGAATGTTGTTTTCATCTCGGATAGAGCTTAGGTGTTGATGCAAACACAATGCACACTCCTCCATGATGAATAGATATACTAGTAAGCAGTCATGTTGAGGATGTATGATCCCCGAAACTCATAACCACCAGCATGATGATATTGTATTATAGTATGCTATTGCTGCTTGAGAGTACTCATCCTTTAGTGTTTTGATATACTTAATGCTCCTCATAAGCTTGCTGCAGTCTACGAGTATCAACGTGCATCCTCAAAATGCGTGGGAAATGATTGCTTGGTCGATCCCCGATCAATATACCTTATTGAGGAACATTTGTGTGTATACAGTAGAGGAAGGTAGACCTTGTCTTGGTTGTGAAGTACACATCAATGCAAGAATTCTTCGAGTCGCGTGAACAGTTTCAAGTTGGCTGCAATTGAAAAGTGGTAAAAAATGTGGTCGTGGTGAGGATCGAACTCACGCAGGGTATACTTTCGGTACAGCTACGTACCTAGCTAGACCTCTCGGCTATAATGCAAGTACGTTTGAATAGAAAGGTCTACAGTATACGGGTATGTGTATGGAGCTCGATGACGACGACACCAACCAGTATTTTTATTGTATTTTTATAAAATATCATTGGCTTCCAGGAGATCAAAAATACACGACCAAGCCTGACAGCCAATAAGAACACTACGTTGGATACCACATGGTTTGAATTATACGGATATGTATAATGAAACCAAGATAAAAAAGTTCAAGGAGGGAGGGCAATTAGGAGGGAGCAAAATCTCGAGTTTGGCCACTTGGTTGACAAAGACTTAAGCTTGTACTATTAATACAATATCCTACATGTCGTAAGGCGGACGGATTGGATTGGCAGAAATTTACCAGAACGTGATTTGATTGGCTTAGGTGGTTCTTTAATCCATTCTCCTTATTCGGCTCCAGTTTTTTTAGACGATTTGACAATACATGTACCAGCACACCTAATCGTTGCGACTACTCGAGGAGTATTTTCCGCTCCTGAGTACTAGTACTAGTAGTAATACTATTTAACACGATACAATAGTCATGGTGTCTGAAGGAACGCCATGGCTGTAGCTACCAAGTCGGCCTTCTTTCCCGCCGTGCTCAGTCCATGGCTGGTCAGAAACCCCTTGAGCTCCGCCACAGTTTTCTTGCCCAACGTCCCCGACGCCGCCAATGCTTTGTACGTGTCCACACTCCAATCTGCACTCATGTCGTCGGAAGCTTTGGCTTTTTTCTCGCGCTTGGGCGCCGCCGACGCCGTCTACATATTTACATCCATGTCAATCATCCACGGAATAATGAAATACAGGGTATACATGCATGTCCATACCTTTCGCTTGGCCGAATCCTTGTGCAGCTCGTCCCCGCCACACGCTTCTTTGAAGGCTTCCAACGACATCTACAATACATATTCGTATTAAAATGGATATGGCTATTGGTTTGTCGTGACCATTGGACAACAAGAGGATTTAACACACCAACCATGACACTCTTAGGACTACTCGTATCAAAGCAATAGACAGCCAGGGGGGGTCACATATTATGGCTATCCAAGTACACATTTCTCGACGAATATCTCGCCGAATCGAATCCAAATTTCAATGCATTTGATTGGCTCTTACTAGTATAGTCAGCCAATCAAAACTCCAGCGCAATTCGATATTATTGATAAACCACAAGAATATTGGATATTTATAGCAAATTCACTATACATACCAGCACTTTTCTGCGCGCAAACCCTGCCGTGTCGGGTAACGTCGTGTCGTCCTTGTCGTCGAACGCCAGCACGTCTTCGTCCAGCGCCAGTGCCTGGATGCTTGCATAGTGTTTTTGCAACTCTACCTCATCCTCGTTAGAAATATATATATATAAATAGTTTAGAAATATATATATATATAGTTTATAAATATATATATATAGTTTATTTATATATATATTTCTAAACTATATATATATACAGTATATAGTTTAGAAATATATATATAAAAACATTTTTGAAATATATATATATATATAGAGAGAGAGAGAGAGAGAGAGAGAATGATTACCTGGGTTTTGGAACGATGGCAAACTCGACAGCGTGAGCGCTCGGATGACGCTGCATGCCGCTTCCACTTGGGTCGCCGTGGCTACGAACAAACAAACGAACGGGATGATGTGGCAGCGTCTCAAGCCAGTAATTATATAGGTAATGAGACTATCGTACAATCTTGCTGCGTCGCCCGAAGCGGTCGAATGTCGTCCAGAAACGGCAAAAAAAGAACTTGGAACCCCATCGGCTGCACTTGGCCCTGCTCGTCACTCACTTCGTCCTACAATCCAGTCAAATATCAATACAGTACCCATATTGAACGACCCAGAGATTATATATATATATTCTGCCATTGGAGTATGATGATATATATATATATTACCTGGGGCAGCAAGGCAGCGACCCGCGGCGGCGAATTGTCGCGCATACTAAAGCGACACACGGCCACCTTGTCCTTGGTGGACATGGCGTGGTGCAACGCGACAAATGCGGCGCTGCTGCCCGCAATGTCTTCCTATGCACAAACTATCAGCCATAAATAATGTAAATAAATATGCCATATATACACGACACCACAAAATGCAGTATATTATTAACCACTAGGAATTTAAACATCGAGCAACAACATATACATGCCGTTTCATTGGCATATTCTATGGAGCATAGATAGGTTATAGATAAATGCATATGTACTGTCATGAATATGCATACTATACATATATATATATACATATATATAATGAGAGAGAGAGCCCATTGAAAAATATAAGGACATGTCCAGAGTTAAATATATATATATATATATAATCGCATACGTCTGTGGGAAACAAAAAGTACGGCGCGCGGACGTTTTCATGCAGTCGAATCACCGAGGTCGGTTCAAACGCCAACAATTGGATCCCTACAAATGTCCTATTAAAAAAAAATATATATATATCATATATATCAATCACATATATATATATATTGTCATATCCTCAACCTCCCAACACGCTAGTTCCATACCTGCGGCATCAAATCGCTTGATCTGCACCATGTCGTCCTTGGTAAGGTACACGCGATGACCGCCGCCATACTCTAAGTACGTGTGAATCTCCTGAGGCGATAAGAAGCTTCCCGTGTGGTTGCACAGCCACTTGGTCCCAGACTGCAGCGGCAGGTTCGTCTCGGCGTCCAAGTTCACGGGCGTCGGACGGGTCTGGCGCACCCGAAGCGCGTACAGCTCGACGCTGAGCTTGACGGATTTCGTGATGGAGAGGCGGAGGGTGGCGAGGCGGCGCTTGCGGTAGCGTTTGCGAAGGGACTCTTCCATCATGTCTTCGTACGTGTGGATGGCAAAGGCGGCTTGCTTCTTGTATTCGTCGTCGGGAACGGGCGAAGCAGCGTCGGTGAACATGGTGGCATAGAATGTAGACAGGTCAAAGCTTGTGGAGGCTATTCACACAGGAAAGAGTGAGCTCATGGTGGTAGTTGGGGAAGTAAAAATGGAAGTGGCTACACTAGCGAGCAAAATATGCAAGGCAGACACAAAAACGAGGTACGGATACAGGGAGTTACAGGGAGGCGGCATGTAAAAGAGGTTGAGGGTTCGATGGAGCTCCAGGTGGTTCTTGAACTGTTCGTGGATTCGCGTGCGTTCGTCGGCATTGCCGGCACTGGGGTCTTCGCCATTCGTGAGGATCCAAATCGTTTGAGTGTCCTGCTTCTTTAAGCTATATACACGGGTCATATTGGTGATGATGTTGAAAGCGGTCGTTGTACCCTGCGTTGGCAAAGGCCAAGCTGCAGTGCCACAACGCATTGCTCAACGAGACTTGGTCGGTGGCCGCCATGCTGCCAAACGTTCCTTCGAAATCAAACTTGGGTGACACGAGGTCCGTCAGTTGCTTGATGCGGCGCGCCGACGGGTACCCAATTTCTTGGAACTCGTACACATGCTCGAGGGAATTGATATTCTTCACTTGTTTCTACACATGCATCCGAACATGTGAACATGGAAGTCTTGACACGCGATGCCTACCGTGCCGAAGAAGCACACGCCCAAGAGCGAGTTGTCGTTTGCGATCACTTTGGACTTGAGGTATCGCACGAGCATGTCAATGCACGTTTGGAACCACGTCTTGGATGGGTCGTCCGACGCATCAAAGATGGATTGCCGCACATCAATCAACACGATCAACGCATCCCGCCCTGGTATCTCCGGTTGAACGTACTTCTCTTCCTCGTTGCTCCACTCGAACGCCATGATGCTGAGCGCTCGATCCACAAAGGTGCTTGAAAATGAGGTTGCTGGGATAGTTTTCCGGATATTTATCCGGATGTCACCGTTGCCATGACACATACAGTTTTTAAGATAACGTTATTGTCCTTTTACCCAAAATTTGGACTATTAAGTTATGCTGAGTACAGTAGGCCAACCTCAATACGAAAAGTGAGACAATAATTATTTTAAAACTATGTATTAATACTAGTAGTACTATTGCTGATAATCTATCTTCCAAATATTTATTACTAGTACTACTATTAATAGTGTTTGTTAGTATTTGTAGTATTACTAGTAAATATTTCTAAATAATTTAAAGTGTAAGCATCCCATTAATAGTAATTCCCAGGGACAAACAGCCAACATTCTTGCCGAACTTTCCCAACAAGCGGGAGAAGGCACAACACACAAATGTCCTTGACCTACGCTGACCCGAAGCACTCTGTTACCGGCGCAACCAAGCGATCGCTAGTCGCATCCATATTGCTCTTTCCCGTGCGCATCGCTGAAGGGCGTCCTCCTCGTTGTCTTATCCATTGTCATTGGCGTTCCAGTGCTAGTGTACTTGCACTTGTTCAAACGCGACGTCGTCACCACGGCACTCACTCCAGCGTCGTTGCCGTCGATCCAACAGCAACAGACGCAAGGCCATGTCCATTTCAAAGATCCAGTGTTGCTGCAGCGTGCATGGGCTCTTCCCACGGGACAGTTATACTTTCAAGGCCAACTTGAGTTTCAGCGTCGAGAGGGCTACTGCGCCCCCACAACGATGCGCAACGTACTAAAATCGATACCATCCGTGCCGTTGGAGCTCATTCCCGAGGCCAAGGCTGGGCCATTGACAGCCCAGCAGTTCAAAACCAAGCTCGATGCCATCAGACACACGACATCGACACTCGTATACGGCGGCGCTGGCTACGACCTGTTTTTGTCCGCCATCAAGCGCTCCAACGACCCACACTACCGAGTCGCCATGAACTTTCTCCACCCCGCCTTGTTTGGCATGGACGGCCCTTCGTTCTTGCCGCACGTGATGCTCCTGGCCATCCTCGGGGGCCACTTCTCCAACATCATCGCATATTTGGAAACCGAGGATCTCGTGGTGGTGTTCGACGTGAATCAAGACTTTGGCCCGTACCTTGTCCCATCCAAGCGCGTCTACGACGCCGTTCGAGCCATCGACGTTCAATCGGGGGTTGCAAGGGCGCTCATCGTCTCGGAACTCGTCCACACGCCCCGCCAAGTATAGAACTAAGTACACCTAACCAAAAAGAATCTCGTCCGTCCTGGTGAGTGAAGATGATACAATTCAGTGGGGGGTATATCGTCTGTGGTACTGCGATCATGGGGAATTCAGTAGATTTATCGCGACGAAAGGTTTATATGGTTTGAAGTAGAGATGCCTTCAGTATACTGTAATATCGTGGTGGCAATACAGCACGCAATATAAGAGTTCGTCCAAGAGCAACCAATGTCTTAGAGTTGTATATTGCGTTAATGCAATTGGGACACTATGAGGCCTCGCGTCTTCCCCGACTGAAAGTCGTGGGCGTTGACTGCATCGAACAACCGCCTCGACTCGACCAAGTACGGGCCGTACGTGTGGTTGACGTCGAAAACAGCTACCAAGTCCTCGTCTTCCAAGTACCCGACAATGTTGGAGAAGTGTCCCCCGGCCAGCGCCATGAGCAAGTTGTGGGGGGCGAACGACGGACGGTTGATACCAAACACTGGCGACCGCAGAAAGTTGAGGGCCACGCGGTAGTTGGGGTCGTTTGCGAGCTTGAGCGCTTCGACAAATGCGATATACCCGTCCGACCCAAACACCACTGTGGACACGGTGTGGCCGATGGCGTCAATCTTGGCCGCGTACTTTTCAGGAACGGACGGACCACGTTTGGCTTCGGGGATGTCCTTGGCGTCGACAGACTTGATGGACTTGAGCACGTTGCGCAACGTCGTGGGCATGCAGTACCCTTCTTGGAGCTGGTACTCGAGGCCACCTTGGAGGTAAAGTTGACCCACTGGCGCGGACCACACACGTCCCCACAGCGACGCGTCCTTGTAATTTGGATGCTTCTTGATGGACTCGTGTGCGGCAGGCGAGAAGATGGACACGATGAAGTCGTGCTTGAGAATGGAAAGCACGAGCAGGATGGGATACCCAAGAATTGTCATGACCGTGATCAGGATGGCGCGACGAATGGCACGATGGGAATGTGAGGCGGGATGGCCTGGCTCGACGTACTCGAAAGCTGGCGTGGCAGGCATGGCGATGAATGAGATTTAGCTTAGCCCACGACACTGACACTTGAACGCGACGAAGTTGATGGTCGGATTTAGAGTGACGTGCATTCTCTTGAAAATAACAAGGGGACGACGATTCGACGACGAGCGTACATTGGATATGCGGAGTCCTATCTACAGAATGTGTGCTTTACTTGAATATAGTGAAGCAATGACATACATTCATACGACGATGGATGCCTTCTTGCTTCATTCGTTTATTTGAAATTGCCATAAACACACAAATAAGAACCTATTGTACTTTTACGCAGATACTAACGTTAGTACTACTATTAATACGTACTTCGAACTACTAGTACTACTAGTAGTACTTTATTGGATATACCGGATAATGAAGGGACGCGATCTTTAATTATTCGGAAGTTACCTCATAAACAGTGGTTGATTGAAACAGCAACGAGTTAGTTAAACAACGCAAGCATGTCGACGGTTCAAGTGGTCGAAGAAGGCAACCGACGAAAGGGCGGCATGAGCTCGGAAGAAACGGACCAATGCATCCTCGGTGCGACGACAGCTTCAAATCCAGAGCTCACTCACTCTTAGACATTTTGAGCTGGTTCCAGCGCAAGAAGGCGTCGCTTCCGAAAGCGTCCATGGATCCTCAGGGTATACAGGCCAAACACGCTTTAAATCTCTTGTGTTTACGTTGGTTTGAGTAGAAGTGGAAGCCTTGGAGAAGGCATTGGATGCACCTGTGCCAAAGGTGACCACCCTAGCCCAACGTGCACTGCGTGACCCCGTAGGCTTGTTAATCCTTGATTCACTCGTAGGCGCTTGCGTTCTTGTTGGAGAAGCAAAACGGCGGCATTTGGTTCAACGAGTTCAAGGTACTATTGAATCACTACAACTGTCTCCGATCATTCGGCATGCATCATCCACCAACACTCACAATTTTGCTTCCTTGTGTGTAGTCCCTCTCTTGCGACGTACGCTCGCTCCGTATCCTGCAGTCGCTGGTTGGTCTCATCTTGGATCGGTTGTAGGAGATCATTTCCACTGCGGAAACGAGTCAGTCGTGGGACGGATGGGCTCGCGGTCATGTGCCCCTAGCGGCCGACGTGGACGGCGCACTCCTCGTGATCGACACCAAGCATGGCAATGCCGTGCACGAGCTGTCTTCCGAAGGTCTCGGTCGCCAGTTGGGGCCTTCCCTCACAGCATTCTTTGAAACGTACCGGAACGAGTTGTTGTCTGGGAACTACGACTTTGTCCAAGACGTGGGCTTGGTTGAACGCAGCCAAAAGCCTCGCAAGTAGCCCCTTAACATCGTGAAAGCAAGGTGTTAAAACTTGATATAACTTCGCTTGTCCTGACATTGTGGAACACATTCATGTACTATATATATACTAACGTTACGTCAGGTTAGTACTATTAATATTATAGTATGCCGTTCAATGGACGATAACGTTATGACTAATTTATATTCCACCAACCAGCTATAACCATGCTCCACACCGTACGCGAACTTAGTTAAGTGGTATTCATATGCTCGAGAGATTCTTGAGTCTGCTCAGCCACATGTGCAATAATATATTCTTCGAAGTATTATATATATTTATTTATAAATTTGTATTACTACAGTAGGATGACCAGCAAAAAGATGGCTGCGTGTGGAATAATATATATTATATAAATTTATATTCCTACAGTAGTATTAACTGTAACACGATAAATCTGCGACAATGTGCCCTCATTCAACGCTGTGTCACTTGTTCTAGCATTCCAACAACGCTCGTGATATTCTTTCTTGCACTCTTCTGGTGTTTTCATATCTTTCTGTTCAGACGTTGGACGTTCTACAAACGTCCGCCCCCGCAAAGTATATATAAAAAAAACCGAAAATAAATACATTGTCTCAATCTATCTACGACATGGTTCGAATGCCCATGGGTTTCATCTTGGAGTGGTCCGAGCCGCCCATGTGTTTGTCGGCTTTGAATTTCGTCAGACGCTCGTGGCGCTTGCGGAGGCAGTACGCGAACGCCGCGACAAACCCGACCGACACGGCGAGGGTGCCGACCAGTCCGCCGATCGAAATGTCTTCGGCTTCGGCGGCGCCGTGCTGTTCGGCGATGAAAAAGCTCATCTTGACCCCGGACGGGTACACGCGTCGGCAAAACGTGCCTTGGGTGCGTAGTACACTGGCCTTGTCGTTCACTTGGCTTTGCAAGTCGGCTACGACCTCATTCAGCGACTTTTCGCCTGCTTGGGTTGGCGGCAACAAGTACAGCTCGACGTGGATGCTGCCGCGCCGGACACTCACCACGTCCAGGCGGGACGGCGGTAGTTGCAGCGCCGACGCCACTTCAGTCGTGAAGGCCACCACGAACGCACGCTCGCTGTCGGCGGAAAACACAACATCGTCAAAGAACATTTCAATCTCGTACGACACTTCGATGAGCTTGGAGCCGCATGCAAAGCCGTTGCAAATGTACGACAGCGCAGGCATGTGCGACGACGCGCACGCGCTCGCGTCCAACAACGCCCTACCATAGAGTATCCCCATGAGATACTGTATGTGTATATTGGTGTCGCCAACCATCTGCGACAACGTGAGAAGAAACGACTGACTCGGACATCAATTCATAAAACCTCAATCACCGGGTATATACATTCAGAATTGTAGACTAAAAATCAAAAGTTCCAAGGCAGTTATTGTGCTTTCGAGTGAAATTTCATTGTGTTGTGGTTTCTCGTTGGAATTTAAATCGATGTGATTGGCTATGAGCTCAAAATTATTAGCCAATTAAAACCCTCTCAATGAAATTCAACCAATCAGATCGATTGTGGAGCGGTTCCGTCGGGCGCGATTCGATTGCACCCCCTCCCCAAATTTGTATCAAATGGACAATATTGAGGATTATTCGGTTCAATTTGTCGAATCGAATCATGAATCGACGACGCTATTGGCTAATCCAATTTCGAGTGGATTGGATTGGCTCTTACAGAAAAGAAGGACAAGTATATTCAACCAATCAGAACTCTCCAGCGTGATTCAATATTGATAACGTTAACCGAGAAACCACGCGAACTTTGACAGTTTATAGCGAATATTTCCAAAAATGTACAAAAGGTTGTGGTGACAGACACAAAAGTATGTCCTCTGGGAGCAAATGCAGGGACCAACAAGATGGCTAAATAGTTAAACGATAGTTAATCAAAAACCATAGGTAGTAGTAGTCGACAAGGTCGTAGTAACCAAGCAAGTGGGGGTGGCGGACGTACCCCGTCTTGATATGCACACACGTCGCTTTGCGAGTGCGCGTGCCACCGCCGCATCCGTTGGAGCATGCGGTCCACGGCGTAACTTCCCATGTTCCGACGATCAAATCGTCCGCACGACTGCAATCGGGGGCCAAATACCCTGGTTTGCACACGCACATGCCAGAGTCTTTGCTTCCGGGTGCTGATGATGTCATGTTGGCTTGGCTTGGTTGCTGGATGGGGTTGTACTGCGGAAAGCACGCCCCATTCCCTGAACACGACAGGCTCGTGCACATGTCTGGAGGGTGCAGAGGGCTCACCTACGTCCCCCCTACCCCATCAGAGTTTGCCCCCATATGTACAGTGTACTACTACTACTAGTAGTGCTCACGTACCGGTTGGGACTTGGCCGACCACGTAGAGTACCCGTGAATATTCTTCGCGCGCACCTTGAATGCGTACGTGACCCCGTTCTGCAAGTCTGGCACCAGCACATTCGTGGGCGCGGAGCTGCTTCCCTGCTGACTTGCCACGTGGATCGCCCGCGGCAACGGCGTGTTGGTGTCCACGACCAAGCACACGACTTCGTACTCTACGATCGGGTCTTCGCCGTCGTCGTCTGGCGCCTTCCACGACACTTGCGCTTGTGCGTCGGACGCGACGGCCAACACGTCGGTGGGGTTGCCAGGGACGCCATGGGTTTCGTTCACATTTAGCGTTGGGATCGGGGTGGTTGTGGGTGGGGCAACAGTTGGCGAAGGAGACTGCGGGAAGGTCAAGGTCGAATTCGGAGATGACGAATCGACCACGGTGGAGTTTGAACTCGCCCTCGACGGCTCATCGTCCACAGGAAAAATCACTCGTCCGAGGCTATGCAGAGTCGTGGAGACATTCGCGCCATCGCTCGCGCCGAGATGCCGCCTCGGTGTTTGGTGAAGTGCCACAATGGAGCCTGCATGCAGCAAGAGGACGCAGATCGCGAGAAGCAGCATCTCCGTGAGACACCACCGTCGCTGCATCGTCGTGGTGGTTTATACGTGTACGTTGGGACGGAAAATCTCACTGGATTAAACGACGTTGATTGGATAAAATTAAGTGTATTCTTAGCTGAGTGTGTTGGACTACTACTAGTAGGTATTAGTACTACTATCCTACGTCGGAAATTAGTGTAAGACATTCGATTTTGAAAAATAGCGAAAAAATGCCAAAAAACTGACACATTTTTCGCAGTATTTCTTCTTCATCAGGCTGTAGGCAGCACTGCATGCCACAAACCCCAAAACTGGGCGGCGAAATAGTCCTTGGCTTTCGCCAAGCGGACGACAAAGTTGCCGACGACAACGCCGCCAAAGAGAGGCAGCTGCCCCACCCCACCAGTCGGTCCCAAGGGAACGATCATGCCTTCCACCGCCCCCGTCACGTACGGGGCCACGGCGCCGCTTCCTGCCTTGATCACCGTGGCGAGTTGCTTGGCCAAGTGCTTGGCTTGGAGGGCCCCAGTGTACGCGAGTTTGGGTGTCGCGTGGTTGTTGACGTCGCCGATGGCGAAGATCGTGGAAAAGCGCGGGTCGTCCAGTTGCAGCCCCGCGGTGACCTTGACCGCGCCGTGCTCCGTGAGAAGGGTTGGGTCTAGCTTTTGAATCAGCGACGCGTTGGGCGTGCTTCCAGCCGCGACGAGTTGCACGTCCGACTCGATGGACGTGCCCTTGTCGGTCTGCACGGTCTTTTTCTCAAACCCATGCGCAATCTCACGAGTGGGCAAGCGCTCCCCGAGCACCAGCTTGACCTTCAACGCGTTCAATCGTGCGGTCAAGTTGTTGCGGAATTTGTCCGTCAAGGCGCTGTTGCCGATGAGTTTGTCGTGCGCGTCCAAGATCGTGACCGTCTTGTCGGGAAACGCGACTGCAATTTCCCCCGCAATTTCGACTCCCACGGGACCGCCGCCGATAATGAGGACAGACGACGCGGCTTTGATGTGGTTGGCCGTGTCCACAATCGCATTTTCGACGTTTTCGCGCGTGTACGACCCCGACGGGACTTTGATCGGCGACACGTAACTGCTCCCTGTGGCGAGGATCAAATAGTCAAACGGAACGTTCGACGTCGTTTCGTCCACGACGTTGTTGTCGCCAATCTTACGCACGCGAACCTCGTTGCCTTCGATGGCATCTGCGATCCCCCGAATGACTTTCGAGTGCGACGCAGGCAGAGCATTAGCCACCGGGATGAACAGCTTCTTCACGAACGTCGGGTCGACGAGCGCGCGCGGCACGCCAACGCAGTGGTACGTGAACTCGTTCTTCTCGATCACGGTGATGGAGGCCGCGGAAGCCGGCAGAAACTTGGCCAGTTCTTGCGCGAACTGAATGCCGACGTACCCGCCGCCGATGACTACAATTTGCTTGGGTTGTGTGCTCATGATGGAGAAACGAAAATGACGGATCTTTCAACCCCTTCAAGAATACTTTTATTTATTCGACATACAAACACCAAGTTATATTAATAAAAATAGTTCTATACTATGATGTTGTGCAGTCGATGATAGTGCTTCGTTTAATTGGCTAGTGTAAATTATCTGTAGCCAATCCACATGTTGTATTCAACCGATCCGCCAATCAAATCGAGTTTCAACATATCCATGGATCCGCATCGTCCGAGATTTTACTTCCTAGCGGGTCGCTTTACTGACCGCTTTTTGCCACATTATATTTTCAACCAATGAAATCTAGGTATTATAATTTTAGCCAATCCAATTGCCATCGATCCGTGGCACTGTTCACACCCCAAATCCCACGCCATTCCTGAAACGTAATACTAATCACCGTCGGTCAAGATGGTTGATCCTACGAGTTGATTCACGCTGGTTACGCTGGACTGAGGCTTTCATGTGTACATCCAGGGGTGATCAGCTACGCCCATCACCATCACCATGAGTGACGATGAACGTAGAGTAACGTTAGTCACGACGTGACGTATATACCGTCATGGGAACATTGAAAACGAGCACGTTGTTGTCGCTCGTGCCGCACACAATCGCATGCTTGTGGGTCCAATACGTCAAACAGCGCAGTTTCTCATCCTTCCTAGTCGTTCACACACAATATGGGGTTACTATGACGAACATGCAGCAGCCAGCATCATCATCGTCAACTCCCTTGCACGTACTTAAACTCGTGGACAAGCGCCGCGTATTGCCCATACGAGCCACACACTTGGTAGTTCCACACGCGAATCTTGCCGTCATACGCGCAGGACGCAATGTACCCCGAGGACGGCAGCACCACGATGTCCCGCACGGCCAACGCATGTGCCTGAATGAACCCGACTTCGTACGCCTGGGCGGGATCGAGCACGTTCCAAATCTTGATGGAACAGTCATCTGACCCTGAGAAGAGAAAGCACCCGTCGAACGCCACACACGTGACCGAGTTGTCGTGGTTGCTCAGTGTCGTGAGCAGTTCTTGGTCATCCAAGCTGTACAACTATCGCATAGTCGTTTAAAAGCAGACCGATTGCACGTCATGTTCGTCGTACGAGAATATCGCCGTTGCTGTCGCCGGCGGCAAAGAAGGCGGCGCCATGCGACGTGGTGGCCAAGTACGTGCCTGCATTGAACGCTAGGCAGTAGATCTCGTTGTCGTGGTTGGGCTCCTTGGATTGGATCTTCACGTGGGGCATCGGCGCCTGCCCCGCCATCAACTCCCAAATCCAAATCACGCCATCAAAATCCGCAGAAATAAACAATTCATGACCATCCACGCTCGCGGCTACACCAAAAAGGAGATTGTATTTATAGATATGACGTTATATATGATTTCTACAATATATATATATTTGAATTGACGCACTCACAATGCAGCTGACAGTGTTGCGGTGCACCCGACACGTAAAGAAATGCCCATTGTCTACGTTCCACTGCTTGATGTTGCCGTTTTCGTTCCCCGTGAGTAGTCGATTGTGCGGGGCCGAGTACGCCATACAACTTAGCTCGCCCTCTTTTTCTTCAAAACTAGAAAACAGGAAGCAAATTCATTGTAATGAGTGAGTTCTAGTAGCTTAAACAGGTTGAAAACGAACGTACCCGTAGAGCACACGGAGGTCGTACGTGTCCCAGCACCGCAGCGTGTTGTCTATGGACGCCGAAAACAATGTCGACTCCCCGGAGTCGAGGGTCGTGGCCACGACCACCCCAATAATAGCGTCAGAGTGTCCTCGGCACTCGACGTAAGATTCATCCCGATGCACTTTGTACAATGTAGCGCCATTCGCTCGCTGCACCAGCACGTGGTGCCCCCTTCGAAGAAATGGACATTTGAAACAGGTTGTAGACATTTGAAATGTGTGCTGGAACATGAGACGTGTAATGGGCATTTAGGACATGTGAAACCTTAAACGTACCCCGGGAACACGGTCACGCCGAGGATGGACACTGTTTCGAGGGGCTCGGAACGCATGCATTTCTCCGTATCGATGCTCCAGATGGCCAAGTGACCCTTCTCATCTGCAATGAACAGCTCGTGGTTGGCTTTGTCCCAATCACAGCCCGTGTATCGGCAGTGGTGAGTGTTTTCCATGGTCATGACCACAGCGCCCGTGTTCGCATCAAACACCTGCGCCTTCGTGTCGAACGAGATAGTCACGACGAGGTTCTAGGGCAAGTTGGTAACGGTCGTTTTGATAACGCACAGTAGTAGGGTGGAGTGTACTGTACCTGATCAGGAATGGGCAAGATTTGAGTCACGCCGAGGGAATGAAAGTGGCCGTGCTGCCGCTTGAGTTTGAGTTGGTCTTCATTTGTCGGGTCCACGCGCTCTCGGCTGTTCTGTGTAAACCATAGTTACGTTGAGCACTGGTAAAATCGTACCGCTGTGGTGTATACAGACACCCCGCCCCCAGAATCTGCCACGTATGTGCTGGCCAAATCCGCACTTCGCAAGCATACGGACGTTGGCCAGCTACGTTCCGCAAGGTCAATATTGGACGTTTTGAAGCTAACTGTGTTGTTGTCGTAAGAGTATTTGTACCTGCCGCCACTCGACAGAGTTTGGGTGCATATGTACCATGGGTGCAGGAGGAGGGCTCGCCCTTTATCTGGCTGCCATAGCTTGATGGTGCGGTCGACGCTGCAAGATATGAGCGTAGTGCCAGCGATCTTGACGACAGTCACGCTTCCACCGTGCGCATTCAGCGTCTGTATGCATGGCTCATCCACACTGGGGTGAGTCGGGTCCCAAATCTATTGGAGGTGTGTTGGATTGGGGCTTCGTATTAAAGCCATGTACTTTAATCGTTCTGTCTGCCGAACCACTGAACAACAAGAGCGAGTTATCGTGGCGCTGCATGAGCTCGAGGCACAGTACCGGGCCCGCATGTCCTCCAAATAATTGGCCCTATGCATCGTCGTGACAGTGTTTCTCGCATTCAAATGATATACTTGAGCGAGAAGGCAATCTTGGTGGTCATAGCTCCACATGAGCAGTTTGCCATCTTGCTACAAAGTTTTGGACTTGTAAATACGATGAACTGACCTCGAACGAATTGATCAAAGAAGTCCGATGGGGGACATACCCGACCTGTGAACAACCCCACCCCCGGGATACACTTATACGATGATATGTCGGACCGTGGCACCAAGTTCTAAGCGCCGCGAACTGTTACACGGCCATAACGTTAAAAGGATGGCGGTGTTTCATACATTGTGTATCAAGGCTCGATCGTCGTCGTTGGTCGCGTGGTGATGCTCGCCGCCCACGCCAAACGACTCGTCTTTGACAAAGTGAATGGATGGCGCCCCGGGCATGATGAATGAAGAATTGCTGCGTGGTTAAGCGATTACAGTGGGGTACAGTTACATGGGCAGTTTCATTGGATCCCTTTTATGGCAAAGAAACTCGCGTTTGCTTAGTAACAAAGCTACGAGATTATTGCCCCCCGGAGGGAGTAATACAATCGGTGCAATCGGCGCAGTCGATCTCCGCATCCTCAAGTGTGATGGATGGCTACCGGTATGTAGGTAGTGGCTTTCACTTTAGCTTACAAATACGCGAGGCGAAGAGTCCATCGAGGGGTGATAGCCACCTAGCTGCGTGATTCGAGTATCCATCCATCTTACGTGTCTACATTATCTTGTCGCCCACCTAATTGTTCATTGCTTGGCATTGCACCAGTGTACATACAGTCCCCCGCACTCAACAGCAATGGAGATTGGTACCTGGTAGTCACTACTACTTACAGTACAGTATTACGGTGCACTCCCTGATGTAGTCGGAAGCAATACTATACTCCAGGGGGTGGCATCGCACTAACGCATCAAACTCGAACAGCAATCGTGCGTCAATGGCACACCTTTGAAACTGGGGATCTACAGTTCATATAGCACCAGGCTGAAATTGCTTGCTCTTGTCAATGGAGAGCCCAACTCTGGTGTGCGTACTAGTACAGTAAGTTATCTGGGTAACCCGGGACTAATGGAACCTGTGGTGGAATTGACATGTGAGTGTTTACCATGGGAAACCTATGCCCAGAACAATTCGATATCCACGTCTGGCTCGAAGCAGTTCTTTCGTGTACGAAAGTAGCACTGGCGAACATTCCTCAGGTAGGGCGAAGGTCAATTCTCACCACGTTGAACTCGCTCACCAACTAAAATGGTCATTTTGGCAAGTTACTATGTGGAAATCTATCGGAACGATTTAGATATTATGACTGTATGTCGACACCGCAATATTCAACCAGTCGACATACTGGGAGCCAGACAATCGCACCTGACATTGGTAACTTCGCACGGCAACGTCATGTCCACCATATCAGTAACCAAGATCTTAAACCTCGATGGAAATGGTACTTCGAATAACGATATATTTGTATATCTACATAGACTGACGAGTAGGCATCGGCATTTGCCTTGAATTGCGTTCCATATCGATCTGGATGGTGCCTAGGTACTGCACTGTATTAAATACTGTACGAAGTCGGACATGGATTGGCTGGACGTCAATTTGAGTTGGATTCGTTCCAGGGATTGAGTAAAAACTAGAGTGTCACTGCATATCAAGCCAGCGCAGGAGGTCAGTGAGTAAACCTGCCACGAATCCAAGTACAGTAATAAAATATAATAAAAGTACCATTTCACTTCTCATTTTCCAATCTACTCACATCCGACATGGCTCCTCTGACCATGGCATCCTTATCCCCTCACACATTTGGCGCCACGCGGCAATCTACCGGTAGCGTCGTGCCAAGCCACCACATTTTGCCACGTCAGTTGTGGGTGTCCAAGAAGAACCGGTCGGGCTGTGTGTGGTGTGGCAAGTCGTTTGGATTGTTCCGGCATCGCCATCACTGCCGCCTGGTGCGAATCACATCCCCCCATTCATTTCCCATGACATATCTCATTCGTTTCGCAGTGTGGCGATTTATTCTGCAAGGACTGCGTCGTCTACTGCACCACGCGAGAGACCAGCGTCAAAGTGTGCCGCCTCTGCATTCCTACCATCGACCCCGCGTGCCAACCCAACAACCCTCGAGCACTACCTCGGCGGCGTACGACCATGGAAAACGTCAAGCTGCTCGATACGATTCGGTGCGTGGAGTATAGCAACACCCCCAAGGAGAGGGGAACATCATCAGTCAGGACCACAGTCACGTCGTCGTCCACGGCCTCCCTCCCAAATTCCCCGTCAGCGTCCGAATTGAAAGCCGCCATCTTGCCGTCCAGTAGCATGGTTGCTACCCTCGCCCATCTCCTCCAAGAAACAGCCGACACCCAAGCGACGCTGGCAGTGCAAACCTCGTCCGCAACACACATGATCTCTGCCCACGGCGCTCAAATAGAACGGCTCAACCAAGCAATCGCTCGCATTGAAGCCAAGTTCTGGGAGGACTGTGGCGGGAACGCAGGCTCGTTGTCCGACGACAAGAGCCTGTAGTAGTCTTACGGTTGTTAGGGTAGTGGTTTAGATCGAATAAACTGCAAACACGTTCGTGATGTGGCGCTCCGAGGGGATCTGTAAATAATGCCATGTGCGAGTTAGTTGTTGCCCCATCCTCGGTCGACGCAACAGCACGGATTTTGCGCTCATGGAAATTGCTCCAGTCAACGGTGGAAATCAAAGCAAGCGGGCACATGCTCGTCCAAGATTAGTATTAGCATAACCCAGGCATGAAGCCAGTTGTAACTGGCATTCGTAACCAATCCTGCCTTATTTCCTTCGTGTGTCCCCCTCTTCACCCCCCATTTCCATCAAGGGGGAGCTGTGGTTACTACGTATGAATTGCCAACCTACAAATAAGCTTACCCTTTTTAACGACTTAGAACAACTGTACACTTAGAATGAGCATGCGCAAGTATTTCCAAGCCACTATATAGAGCCGAGGTCGATCAGATCAATCACCATTTATGACCTCACCGAAATGGTAATCAATGTACTAACTACTACTACTAATACTCCTACCGATCCTCATACGTGTGACAACGAACAAGATGACTTGATTACGCACAGACGACTAAAACGTCGCGTCCCACTGGGTGCCGTCGTCCTGGTACGGCGTCAAGTTGTCCCATTCTTCGATGGCGGCAAACTTGGACGCGTCGAACGGGTTGGAGAGCGTGGGGAGCCACGGCGCCGGCTCGCGCTTCTTGATGATCTTGTCCCACTCGATGCCGTGGAACCACGGGTGCGTGCGGATGGCGTGGGTGCCTCCGTGGTTGCACCCCATGCGCTTGGACACGTCGCGGTCGAGCAGTTTCGTCACAATGTCCTTGCACGACCCAGGAATCCACGACGGGAACCGCAGAGGCTCCTTGACAATGTTGCGGCAGATCTGGATCTGATCGGACGGGTTGTTACCGACAAACGGCGAGCAGCCCACTGTCATCTCGTAGATGAGCACCCCGTACGCCCAATAATCGACCCCCTGCCCTCCAACCAAATCAGAAAAAGGGGGCAAAGGTGGGGGAAAATATAAGGGGGGAAAAGGGGGGGTACCTTGTTGTGGCCTTTACCAAGCACGAGTTCGGGCGCGAGGTACTCGGGGGTGCCGCATAACGTGTAGGTGCGGTCGGCGCACACCTTGGCAAAGCCAAAGTCGACTACTTTGATGTACCCTTCCTGGTCGATCAAGAGATTCTCGGGCTTCAAGTCGCGGTAAATGATGTTGCGGTCGTGAAGGTACTCTAGCGCCAAGATCACATGCGACGCATAAAACCGTGCGTGGTCGTTTGGCAGCCGCCCTGACGGCCGCTCGCTGTTGTGTAAATACGCAAACAATTCCCCGCCTTGGACAAACTACATCGAGTGAGCATTGCAATCGCTTGTTGTTAGTGACCTCTCCTCTCTCCACCACCCAGTGTGGACCATCATGTATGGACTTATAGCTATGTTGTATTCGAGTTGTACCTCCATGAGCAAGTACAGGCATTGCTGGTCCTTGAACGCTTGAAACAGCTTCAAAATGAACGGGTGGTTGCACTACCAAACACAAATCATGATATATATCACATATACATATTCGTCTAGTGGTGCACGAGGCATATGATATATATATCATCACAATGTGAAAATATGCGAGGTGTACCATGGCGAGCAAGTTCTTTTCGTTCAAGATGTTGACTTGTTGTTTGTACGCGACAACTTGGGACTTTTGCATAACTTTCATCGCGTACGCTCTGCCCGACACTTTGTGCTTGACTAGCTTGACACGGCCAAACGTGCCTGTGCCCAGCGTCCGGAGCACTTGCAAGTCGTCAAACTGCACTTCTTCCCGGGCATTCAGTTCGATTTTGCGGTCTTCGGCTTCGCGGTTCAGAATGTCTTGGAGGGGCCCCAGGAGCTCCACAAACTAACCACATGTGACGACATGTGTTGACTTGTGGCTTAGTTTTCGTACCTTGGCTCGTTCTAGCACAAAGCACTCGAGGGTTCCACTGGCCACGACGTTCGCCTTGCGCGGCTCGTCGTTGAGCAGCGCCATCTCGCCAAAGTAGTCGCCCACCGACAACTTGGCAATCTCCACTACTGTCGAGCCTACATCCATGAGACCCCATCGTTTAGTCACTAGACGAACGTCAACTAGCTATGGCAAAGATGGACGAACCAGACGCTTTAGACACTATGGCGTGGCCAGTCTTGATGATGTAAAACGTGGTGCCGGGCGCCCCTTCGGTGATCACGCGCTCGCCGTCGTTAAACGTTTTGGCAGTGAGCGCCGCAAACAAAGTCGCGAGGCTGGATGGCAACAGTGACTTGAGAATCGGCACCGACTGAATCACACTACGCGCGGCCGTGAATACGTGATCCACAACATGGTATATGTTATCAGTGTCTGCGACATCGTTGGTCGTGGGTTTTATACCGCATGCTCATGTTGCGGTCAATCACTTCCCGCAGAGACCCGAGGATTTCATCGAACGCTTGGCGGTCCAATGCAAACGCGACGACGTCCGTCTCGGCCGTCACGTTGGCGGCGCGGGGCTCGTGGGTCATGAGCGCCCGCTCGCCAAAGTACTCTCCATCCTGTGGCCAAGAATCGTCACTTTTGAGCTGCATTTTCACACAAAGTGGGTGAATAACGGGAGCTCGAGCGTACCGAAATGAGCACGTTCTCCACGACTTTGACGCCATCGCCAGCATCACTACACACAACTACACTCGACGGTAAGCATCGTTGAATTGGGGTTAACGTAACTAGCGCTAATATGCGATCCACCATATAATATATATTACCGGTGCCGCTCTTGATAATGTACAGCACATTGCCCTTTTCGCCCTTGGAAATAATACGCTCGCCTTGCTTAAAGTGCAGCATTTGCACGACATTGGCGAGTTGACTCATTTGGTTGTCTGTCAATTCCTACCAAAGAATAAATATCATCAATCCACCACAGTTGAAGCCACAACAATAAATAACGATTGCCGTTTGTACTTGGAGCAACGGGACGTTTCGCAAAAACTTCTTGCACTCGTCCAACTGGTCTTCGGCGTTGCGCGCAACGATCCACCGAAACGTCACGCGGTCCAGAGCCCAGAGCACCCCCGAGTCGGTGGTCGTGACTGTGGCCGCTCGTGGGCAGTTGTACAGCAGCGCCAACTCGCCGAAACTGCCGCCGACCTTGACCGTTCCGACGACGCCCCCGGCGATTGAGACGTCGTACGTGCCGCTCTCGACGACATAGAAGAAGTCGCCTGTGTCGCCCTCGTTGATGACGACGTCGCCGCGGTCGAACTTCTTGCTCACCATGAACCCCGCCATGACGTCAATGTCGAGCTCGCTCACGATCGACATGAGCGCGTTGCGGCCCAGCGCTTCTTTGATCCGTTGCATCGTGTCTTCGGGTTTGGGCACCGTGTTGGGTTGGTAATCGTCGTCGAACTGAATCGACTCGGCGAACACGTCGCCGCGGCGCTGGGCATCCCGCTTTTCCCGCATCGCGATGCTCACCTTACGGTCTAGCATGAAGAAACGTCCGTCATTGAGGCATGTGTGTGGAAGGTATGTATGTACCCGTGGACGTCGTCAGATCCCCCACGATCGTGTCGAACTCTTGCGTCTGCTCCTTCAAGTTGGAGCTAGCACACCCCATGGTTTCAAATACCAACGACGAGCGAAAGTGAGGTGACCTGACACTGCCACCCTTTGGCGTAAAACTGCCGAGCTATTCTTAGGCCGATGCCGCACCTACCTATCGCAGCTTCTGGGACATATACATTGATTTGCAAGTCGATGTGAAACCGATGCGCCCTTTGGAATATAACCGCTTGTCCCTTTAATGTAATACTATTATTAATAATACTAATACTTATAACATTTGTTATTAATACTAGTAGTGCCTAGATTATCCGTACTTATTAAAAATATAAGCTATTCTATTACTCGTACTAGAGTACTATTAATAGTATTGAATACTTACAGTTAGTAGTAAAATTTGCCTTCGTTTTCACAATATTATATATATCCGGATAAGATTTCATTATCCGATAATGCCGTCTGATTGGCGGAGACCATTCCCTTGTGGTTTGGGTGGTTGAACCATTTTGAAGCATGCGTTACCTCCGCGCCAAGCACATCCGCAAGTCGCTGCGGCAATTCCAGTTCCTGTGCGGGATCAAGCCTCCGTACAAAGTCCTTTTGGACGGTAACTTCATCGCAATGTGCATCAAGATGCATGTGGACATTGCTGTGCGGTTGCCATCGTTCTTGCAGACAGACAAGTGCACGTACTTTGTCACGCGGGCCGTGCTGGACGAGTTGAAGCTCCTGAGTGACGACGCGGACATGCGGGCGGCATGGGAAGCAGCTAGCGCCTTCGAAGTCGTGGAGGGAGGCAGTGACGACGACGACTCAACGGACGTGACCAGCTCGATGGTCGCGGCCGTCGGCGCACGCAACGACAAGAAATTCATCGTGGCCACCCAGGAAACAGAGCTGCGCGGCCGACTGCGCCGCGTGCCAGGTGTGCCGCTCATTTATTTAAACCGATCGGTGCTGGTGTTTGAAGACATGAGCGAGGCCACGCTACGCATCAGTCGCAAGGACGACCACGCTAAAGAGACCAAGCTAAACGACAGCGAAAAGCGAAAGCTCGAGGCCGTGGCGTCGTCCGCCCCCAAGGAAGCGCCGGAGAAGAAGGCGCGGTTGGTCAAGCGAGCCAAAGGGCCGAATCCGCTGTCCATGAAGAAGGCCACCAAGCCCAAAAAGGTTCGCGCTCCCAAGCGAAAACAACCTACGACGTAATATATGATGACCCATACGCCAATTATTTCAAACATATCTGGGTCAATTGAATGAGATGCTGTGTTTTCCAGCACACCGATATCATCGAGCTACGAGAGTAAAGTCAATACTGTAGTGACTATGCCGAGCTGCTACATACTAGTATTACTCGATGTGCGTGATAACATCAAGGGAGTGCTCTGCGTTGAGGGACCCCACTTGCATCATACTACTGGGACATGCTACTACACCTTTTTTCTATTGACTTGGGACTTTTTTCAACGTTGTTGGCTTGGCGCTCATTCGAAAGGGCGATGTGTCCATCCATTTGGCCTTGTGGCCAATAGAATTTACACTTAGTACCGCAACACCCTTTGAAATATACCATGCTACCAATGGAAAAGGCTCCATTACCCAACAATGTGCCAAGTACCATTTCGAATCTGCCGTGCTTGAAGTTGAGTTTATTCTAGAAGGTTGCAGTTGGGCGATCCCCATTCTTTTCACTTTTCAAAATCGCATTCCGTGCAACAATGGAGAGCGTTGCACCACAGACACCAGTACGACGTCGTCGCTCACGATACACTAGCCATGTTCATAGCCACGCACGAAATACAAGCGCATCCCCTCGTCTGGAGTACTTCTACGGTCGTGCGGACCGAATGGAAGACATGGACGTCGACATGTAGCTGTTTGCTGCAAATTTCGATGATTTTATCTGCTTTTTTCATGCCGTCGCGTATTTGATAATATAATGTTATATTCGATCCAACTCCACTTCAAGCACGGCAGATTCGAAATGCTACTTAGCACATTGTTGGGTAGTGGAGCCATTTCCATTGGTAGTATGGTACATTTCAAAGGGTGTTGCGGCACTAAGTGTCAATTCTATTGGCCACAAGGCCAAATGGATGGACACACCGCCCTTTCGAATGAGCGCCAAGCCAACAACGTTGAAAACTCAATAGAAAAAAGGTGTACGTATACTGTAACCAATCGGCTTACAGTAATCGACGCCTCTCAACACAAGGCCAATGGCATCTATTGCATTGGGTGTATGGAATTGTGTATCGTCCATTCCACCTCAATGTTAGGCCAACGTCGTGTCCAAGTGACCCAGCATCGTTTGCACTTCGTCCACCGAATTGTAGTGGGCCAGCGACACCCGCACGACGCCCCCATACGCCCGGAGCCCAAGCACATCAATCAGCTGTACCGCGTAAAAGTCTCCGTGGCGGATGCCCACGTTGAACGCGTCCATACGCCTGACAATATCCGGGGACTGCTTGCCTTGGACGACAAAGCTCACGGTGGCCACTCGATGGTACACGGTGCCGTTGGCTTCGGATTGCAGCGTCGGGAGCCCAATGATGCGGACGAGGGGGCGTTTGGCCCGTAGAAACGCCAGCACCAGCTCCGTGAGCACGTTCTCGTGCTGCTCGAAGCGGCGAAAAGCATGCTGCATGAGCTGCCGGGGCGACCCGTCGCATCCAAAGACAGACCCGCCCATGTGCACGAGGTAGTCGACGAGGCCCTGGCAGCCGTAGCTGAGCTCAAAGTTGACGTGGCCAGGCTGGAGTTTGTACGGCAAGTTGTCGGCCGCGATGAAGTGGTGGTTCAAGCTCGGGAGGGACACGAGCAGGTCGTAGCGCCCCCACAAGACGGCGTAGTGCGGGCCAAATACCTTGTAGAACGAAAACACGTACAAGTCGGCGCCGCTCGCCTGGACGTCCACGAGCCGGTGCGGCGCGTACGCGACCGCATCGACAGACAGCCGCGCGCCAGCGGCGTGTACGAGCTTGGCCACGGCGGCAACGGGGTTGACGGTGCCCAACACGTTTGAGGCGTGCGTCATAGCCACCCATTTCAGACGGGAACAGGTCGCTAGCAGCGCCGTCAGGTCAGCCAAGTCAAGGAGCAGCGACAACGGGTTCACGTGCCACGTCTTGATGACCGCGCCCGCTTTGGCGAGCCGACGCCACGCACCCACATTCGCTTCGTGGTCAGTGTCCGTGACGATGATTTCGTCGCCGGGCTCGATCGTGGGCAAGATGGCTTGGATAATGAGAAACATGAGCCCGGTCGTGGACCCGCCCATCACCACCTCCTCGCTACGCGTGGCGTTGATCAACGTCGCGATGCTCTCGCGAGCCTGCACCACGCGGCTCTGCGCAGTCACGGATGTTCCGTACGACGCCCCCAATTGCACACTCGTCGTCGTCATGTACTCGTACACTCGGTCGGCCACGCGCTTGAGAACTTGCGACCCGCCGGCGTTGTCCATGAAGATGGTCTGGTTTGGAATGCTAAGCGACGGAAACTCAGCGCGCACGGCGGCCAATTCGGCGGCGGAAAACGCGTGCAGCGTAGGTGGACTCGACATGTTCGTGGGCACTCACGTGAATGCGTTGTGTTTGTTTTGCCATGGTACAGGTTGGAACAAGATTTTATGATCATTTCCAACAATTTTGATATATATCCAACAATTTTGATATATATTGACTCAAAACCCAGTTGGGGTTGAAGTTTGGTATGCGGTGATTTGCATGATGAACCCACGGGAGATTTCACGGGAACAAGTCGTTTGCAACGAGTATGTACTACAGTAACTACTGGTATGAATACATAGTACTTCAAGTATACTAGTATCCTTAGCAGCGGTCCATTGTAAATCGCACCATGAAGAACCTGTAACTCCATTCCGCTCTTGCTGCCTCTGCGCTGGAAACTATAATTGGGGGAAGGAATGTCGACCCGTGAGGTATCCCCAGCTTCAAGTGCACCCACTTCAACACAACAGGTTGGACTTCACGAGACTTTGGCCAAGATTTTAAACGGCTGTGAGGCAGTGTGCACATCCTTCTAGGAGGCGGACTGTCTCAAAGGAACTACAGGACTCACAATCCTCTTCTCTCTTCCAAAACGCGACCGCACCCATTGCTCTGCCTTCGAGCGCAATATGCACACGTCAACACTAGGTTTCGAGTGCTTCAGGATTGTTAGAACACTGGGCTCAACGTTACTACAGTAATGTACGACTCATATGCACGAGAATGGCCGGGCGTTTGCATATATATATACACGTATGTATTCACACCACACTCTAACTCGAGTGTCCGGCAACCTTTTCTTGAATCAATGTCTCGGTATACTCCCACAGGTCCTTGGCAACGTCAGGATTCAGCGCCGCTTTGTTGGTCTCGGACAAGGTTGCGATCGGAACAAAGTACTGGCCATGCCAGTCGTTGTCTACGACATCGTTCGACGTGGCGACGTACAGTTGGGTCTTGGCGCCGTCGTCGGCGTCGATTTGGAACCACGAGAGGAGCCACTTGAGCAGCCAAAACGTGTGGCGCACCAGCTCCGTCTTGACCACGCCGGGGTGGACCGCGTTCACGTACACGTTCTTGACGTTGCGGGCGGCCAGCTGACGACTCAATTCACGGGCGAAGAAGATGTTGGCAATCTTGGATTGGCCATACCACTTCCAGCTAGCGTATTTGGACGGGTCGTTCAAGTTGGCCAAGTCCAACCCAGTTGGTCGGGGAGCCATGTTGTGGGCAGACGAACTGACCACGACGATGCGAGACGGCGCCGACGCTTCCAAGATGGGCAGCAACGCTACGGTGAGCGCGTGATGGGCCACGTGGTTGGTGGCGAACTGGGACTCGATGCCGTCCTCGGACAGCTGGAACGGAGGATTCATGATGCCAGCGTTGTTGATCAAGAGATGCAGCGGGAGGTTGCGAGCTTTGAACGCGTCTACAAACGCATACACGGAGCGCAAGCTCAGCAAGTTGAGTTCTAGGAACTCGAGCTTGGATTTGTCAGCGACGTCGACCGCCGCAATGGCCGCCGTCGTCTTCTCGCGCGACCGATTGGCCATGATGACGTGACAGCCCTTCTTGGCCAGTTCGCGCGCCGTGACGAGGCCAATGCCAGTGTTGCATCCTGTGACGATCGCGACTTTGCCGTCAAGGGTGGGAATGTCATCAAACGAGAAAGCCATCGAAATGTGTTGTGGGTACCTTTGGAGTTGGTTCCGCCGACGACGGCTGAGTTCCACAATTGCTTGGTCTATTTCGCGATTTCGTAAACACGGTCATAATATATCGAAATTGGCTTGGGATGCGTCGCTCAATAACTGCTACTCCGGAGTATTAACTGTGAATCCAAGTATAGCTTTTGTTTTGAACGGACTGGTTGGTTGTTGGTTGCTGAGTGTTCATTGATCAATCGGGCGCCCTTTCTTTGTTTTACAGTTAGTGTACGGTACAGCATCCATGGAAATCCTTTCACGATTGTTATGACCTCTCGGGTACAGTATCTAACGTTAACGACTTCAAATGCATTTGCCAGGCAGGTACCGGCGTAGATTTACGGTAACATACTTCGACGTACGACTACTGATATTACCGGTACGTACTACTAGTACTATTAATAGTACTAACGTACTAGAAGTACAGTATCCAAAAAATTGAGCCTCCTCCTTCACTCTTCAAAGGGAACTATGTAGTGGTAGTACAGTACTTATTACAGTGCACTTTGCTCATGGGAAGGGCGAGGAATGGCACATCGTAATCGTGAAATGTTGGAAAATGCAAACTCGTGGCAGCGTCGCCCGAGGTCCCAGCCCCACGACGTTCAATGATGCTGCCTCCATGAGTGCATTGACGAACCTCGTCAGCAAAACTTGACGCGGCACTGGACCTCGCAATTTCAGCCAATGGCATCGGCGCATGGCTATCACCCACGTTCAAACTGTGTTCGAAAATGGGTCGTTTTGGCTTTGCGTGTCATGTGCTGCTTGGGCTGCGGTGCTTGGGCGAGGTCCAGGTTTAGCTTTGACGACATCCCAGAGTTGCATTCCAAGGTAGCTATCGTCACGGGAGCCAGTTCTGGCATTGGACTCGTCACCGCGCGCGAATTGGCACGCAAAGGCTGCCATGTCATCCTGGCATGCCGATCTCGTGAAAAGACGCTCGGGGTCATCCACGACATGGTCAAATCATTATTGCCAACCGCGACACAAGTCGAGTTCATGCAGGTGGACTTGATGGACTTGAGTTCCGTTCACGCGTTCGTGGAAGCGTTCCGGCAGCGCCACCTGCCCCTGCACATGCTCATCAACAACGCCGGCGTCATGGCGCCGCCCTTCTCTCTGTCTGTCGACGGCATCGAGTCCCAATTCGCAACCAACCACGTCGGCCACCACGCGCTCACGATCGGTCTGTTGCCAGTGTTGGAAGCGTCGGCGCCGTCTCGAGTCGTCATGGTCAGCTCCCGCGCCCATGTGCGCGCGCCAGGGATTGATTTCGCCAACATGAACAACCCGCACTCGTACTTTTCTTGGAACTGGTACAGCCAATCAAAACTGGCCAACATCTTGTTTGCAAGGGAGCTGAGCCGCCAGCTCGAAGTGCGCAACGTGATGAACGTGTACATTAACGTGGTGCACCCAGGCGTAGTGCGAACTTCCACGACGACGTCCCATCAGCATTGGCTGACTACGCTCGTCATGTCCATGTTTGAGCTCGCCATTGACGACGGCGCGAAGACCCAGCTGTACGTGGCAACGTCCGACGACATCGTCACACACAACTGGCATGGCGAGTACTTTGTGCCGATTGCAAGGCTCGGGACCTGCGATACCTTGGGACTCAATGCAGTTCTTGGGAGGAGACTGTGGGCGTTTACCGAGGCACTGATACGCGAATCGACGACCTCGGATGTGCATGACGACTGCGACTGCCTTCCCACGGCCACCCTCCTGCCTCCGCCATGTGCATGACGATCAGTCACCGCCACCTCGTTCGTTGTCGTGTCGTTCAAATGATGGTTGTAATACTTGGAAGAAATTGTGAGTTTGGGGTGGATGGATGTAACTGCCAACGGGTTGAAGGACGAAACGGTGTTGTTTTGTTCGTCGGTATAAAATATACTTAGATGAACTATTGGACGCGTGGAAGATTCGAATAAAAATACTAGCGTTACCCTAAGATCTCGTTCGACGCAACGAGATCGCGCGACTCAACCCATGGAGTCGCCAACCTCTTACGTGAGCAATCGTACGTGTGAGCGTCCTACGTCGCCACTTGATCTGCATGGCACTAAAACCTCCACCTCTTGTTGACGTCGTCGTGCTCGTCTTCTAGTTCTCGTCGAAGGCTCGACGCTCTTGACCGTGCTCACGGTGACGTTCTACGTGATCGTCGGTCTGGCTGTGCTTGTCGTCCTCGTGGGCATCTCCTTTTGTTGGCTCAACAAGCGGGCCGATGCAGCGTTTGACGGTACGTACGCGGCTATGGACCACCGCAAGCTCATCTCAAGTCATGCGTAGAGCACAACACGTACCGGGAGCTCGAAGGTTGGTTTGGTTCTTTCAAACCATTCTAAATCACCACCCTGTCATGCGTGTGTGTAGATGGAATCACATCTCCGTCATCCATCCCCACGGCCCCTGGGAACGGCTCCAAAGTCTCCTCCCATCGACACCCGTCCTCACTAACTAGCATCACGTCAGCCACGGACAAACGATTGCAGGTCAACCCGATCAAGAAGACGCCGTCAAAACCCCTTCCAGCGCGCGTCAAGGCGGCGGCGTCGCCGCAACCTCCCACCACCACCACCCAACTCTGAGTTGTCCATTTCAAATTTACAAAACTTGTTACAACTTTATATTCCATGAGCCAACACACTTGATGGCAGCACGCACACCGCCGTTGGTGCTTACAGACAAAGTGGAGAAGCAGGGAGGGTTTCTACATGGACTGCCGCCGCGTCGCCGCCATCTTGTCGTTTCACCCACGTGGCTTGTGTTGTCGTTGTGGCTGTCGTGATAGAAACAGCATCGCTCGTAGCAGTCCTAGCTTCTTGGGGGGCTCCAGTTGCTGCAATCAATACACTCGCAATTTGATTCACGTCTTCTTTCCGAGCATCTGTGTCCATCATGTCCACGTCACCCGTCGGTCGCGGCGGACTCGCGTCTTCCTCGCTCGTGTCCATGCCCCCTTCAATGTTGGTCGCATCCACAAAACCCACGACGTTGTCGTCGCGGATGCTGTTGCTCGAGGCGGCGGCGGCGGCAGGACCAGGGCTGCCAGTGTCGGGGGGGCTACTGGTGCTGCTACTGGTGCTAGTTAGGGGCGACCTCGTTTCGTCGGTGGTCGCGGCCCCCTCTTCCGACTTGACGTCGGCAATCAGTTCCGCCTTGATCGACACATCGTCCGCGAGTACATGACGCCTGGACGTGTTGCCACCGCCGCCATTTCGATTCGGTGGCTCCACCGCCAATGCTGCTACTGCTTTTGTACTCGATCGCTTTCGTTTCTTGTGTGGTGGCTTCTTGGTCTTTTTCGCATTGTCCTCTTCGAGTTTGAGCTTGGCATGCGCTTCCTTGTTCAAGTTGTCAGGGGCCATGGTCCCGCGGCACTTGACGGCGCCGCAGTGGCACTTGAACGAGTCGGTCGACGTGGTTTCCATTTGGTAATCGTACGAGAGCTCTTCGTCCGCTTCAATGTCCCTCAGCGCCGTGATCGCAATGCGCTTGAACTCGCCCACTTCCCACTTGAGCAGGTGGCAATTGGGGTCACAAGAGTGGTTGATAAACCGAGAGTCGCTGCCTTTCACGCGGCCGTCCAAGTACACGTTCTTGTCCAGCTCCATGATGTAATAATTGGGGTTGTTGGGGCTCGTTTCCGCATGTGCAATCATCCGGTCTTGCTTCATCCACGCCGTGAGCACTTCCCCAACGTACTCGATTACGAGGGCGCCTGCCTTGACTGGCTCCAGCACCCGCAGCCCAAACCCACGACCATTAGTCGTCTTGAACACTTTGGTTTTCGGAATCGCGGCCACTTGCAGTGCGCGGTTGCCACAGTCTGGCCCGACGCGGCAGTTGAAGTGCCGCTCCTTCTTGTCCCCGTTGCCAGCATTGCCGATGCATTCAACAAAACTCGCGCGGTTCGTGCAGTCGTCGTCGCACACGTCTACAAGGGACACAAAAGTTCAAATATATACACAAAAGTTAAAATATATATATATTTCCGAGGTTCCATCATATATCTGGAGCGAGATCGATTAATCGACACAACCAAATGATGAAATCGGCACAAAGATTTAGCCAATCTGCACAAGGATTTAGCCAATCAGATTGCAGGAAACCAACATCAACATCGAATTAGTGTATGACTTCAATTCGTGTGATATACCAATCACTCCAGGACACCGTTTGATGTACAAAATATATCACAGAATCAATCGATAGATTTTGCAAACGTCAACCAATTTACTATGGGTAAAAGGACAATATGTGTGTACCTGTGCATTGACACATGGGCAAATCGTTCATGTCGAGCTTGAGGGGCTTGAAAAGGTATTGATTCCGCCGTAGTTTTTGGAACCGCGGTGGTGGCGCGTTGCTTTCATCCAGGTATGTCGCGGGCAGTCGAAACTGAAACGGTTGGTGGACATCCACTTGTTGTTCTTCTTTGTCCACTGACGTTGCCGCCGGGCGCACCTTGGGCAGAAAGATGTCGGGGAATTTGAATTTGCCATCAAACACGACTGCCCCGGGGCCGTAAAAGCTCGGGATCGACGGCAACTTCATCGCCTTGTCGCGCCCGCATACCATGGCGAGGTCGTTGAACCGACAGCTCGGCGGGATGCACCGCGGGTGGTACGCCATCGAGCAGTACGTGCACTTCATGAGCCCTTCGCTGCCTTTTTTGGCGTAGCAATTGTCGCACGTGTGGCGCGGACACACGAGGGTCTTGTGCTTGAGGCCCACCTGGGTAAGGGGGTGGCCGATGAGGCACTCGGGGTGGTAGTACTTGCCACAGTCCTCCAATGCGCACTTGACGAGGGACTCGCCGACGAGGCCGAGTTTGCGGCAGATGGGACACTCGTGCTCGAGGCGCACGCAGCTATCGCATCTCCACTCGTCGTCGAGCTTCGTGTCGGGGGCAATGCCCACACACGCCTGGTGGAACGCCCCGAGGCATCCGCCGTCGCAGAGCACGTACTCGCTCCCGTCGGCGTCCTCTACTTCCAGACACACTGAGCACACTTCCTGCTCTCGTTCGAGGTCAGCTTTGAAATCACCCGTCGGTTTCACCGTGCTCGTAGAGGCAAGCCACGCCGGCATGTCGTCGCGACAGATGCCCTTGGCTAGGAACGGGTCGATCGGGTCGTCTGGTTTGGGCCGCTTCGACGACCCGACGGGACGAGGAGGAGGGGGAAGAGGAGAAGGTTCCTTTTTGACGATGAGATTGCCGTCCAAGTCGGTCTGGGGCAGCGGCGTGGCCCGGCTACGCGACACGGACTTGACGATCACTTCGCCCGTGGCCTTGGTTTCGGTCGGTCGAGGCCGCTTGGGGGCGGGGGCTTTTTTGGGCTTGGGCTTGGTTTGATCCGGAATGTACGACAATCCGTCGAGGTCGGCGTCGATGGCCGACGGTGCTTGCTTCCACTTGGCCCCGGACATCGAGTCGAACGGGGCGGCGTACGTGCCTTCGGGCGCTAGGTGCATGAAGTCGTCGCGGTCGTAGTCGACGGGTTTCTTGAACCCGTGGAAGTGGATCTTGACCTTCTTGTCCGATATTTTCAACACCTTGCCCCCAAACCATTGCCGGTACTTGTAGCACTTGATGTCCAACCGATCGTGGACGCTCAACGACTGCAGGAAAGGCGTGCGTTCGACGCGGAAACGTTCCTTCAACGCTTCGTATTCTGCTACGGCGGCGGCGTCGATTTCTTCGCTCGCTGAAGGCGCTGGCTCACTCGTTAGGATCCACGATATGCTGTTTTTGTTGGAGTCGGGGGACGTCAGCTTGATATCTGGCCCGTTCGACGACGTTGGTGCGGATGACGTGGGGTCCTCCGTCAAGCTGGGCGGAGCTGGTTGGCCGTCGCTCTCAACACCATCGACTTTAGATGGCCTGGCGTTCGATTTGGTTGGTGATGTTGGGACAGCTGCTGCATTTTCCGTAGTGATCGGTTTTGTGGGTTTGACGTCGTCCCCCGTTTTCGCGCGCTTGGCCTCGGGTTCTTTGTCGCTCTCGACGATTTCAACTTTGGCAGGCTTCTCTTCGTTCGGCGTGGATGGTTTATCCTCTGTAGTGATTGTTTCTGTTGCTCTGGCATCGTCGTCCACTTTTGTGTTAGGTTGTTCTTTGTCGACCTTGGCGTCGCCGTCGCAAGGCTCGCTGTGTGATACATCATGCAATGCGAGAACATGCTGTTCCGGGACCACGTCGACGCTAGCGTCGACCTTGACAGCGTCCGTGGTGTCTTCGCTGGCCTGCGGCGGCCCCGCGGTCGACGAGGTGAAGATCTCCATCGATTACTTTGCGAAATGAGCTTTCCCCCCATGAATATCCGGATATACTCAAACTCGCCCCGTGGATTGGCTGAAAAGGGCGCGCGGGTCCGGATAAATTACCTGTACCATCAACCGGCAAGTTAGGACCAGTGTGGCAGAGGCCATCAGTTCGCCAGTGGCAGGGAGGGGTACCTGTCACGGCATCATGGCAGTAGTGTGTTACAATTGTCTTTGTCGTAGATGGAAGTAAACTAGTCCAGTAAATGCGACACATGATTCTAGGACGGACAAAGACTCTACAGTACGCCAGCGAGCTGTGGGCAGGCATCGATGCATGCATCGGTTGGTAGTCTGGAGCCAGCCTGATGGTTGGCATGGACATGGTGGTAGGATCTGCGTTTGCTGTCGTTGTGGATGACTTGGGTGCGTCCGTGGTTGATGTGGTGGTGATTCATGCAGTGGCGTCCACTCTGGACATGTATACAGATTCAGTCAGTTGTTTGATGGCAGGCTTCACCACCACTTCTACGCCAACGGCCAAGCATCTGATTGTACAGCCAGTGGTGACCGTAAAATATTTTTCTCGTGAATATATTCATTTTTCATATTAACGTTAACAGTAAAATGAATTACAAGGTATTCTTTGATGGTGGAGAAAATGAATACCACTCTGGTCCAAAATAGTAGTCATGTTAGACTTCAAAATGAAGTATTTTGTCCTAAACGTATTCGTTCTCGTATCTGATTGTTGTAAATGCAAGCTGAAGATTTCCTCTTTGATTGGCTACTTCAAGCTGTGCAATATTCACACTCTTGGCGAAGTTATCGAACTGTTAAAAAATGAACTTTTTAAATTGGCAAAATATTCAATCACCCGCCAGAGAATCAAATCTTAGGGTTCGTCTGGTAACCGGAAATATTGCAATATTCAGGCCCAAATTTTGAGGTCGAATTCAACAAATCTGATCAAAATTGAAACATGTCTTACTTGAAGGGTTTTAACCCAAATCCAATAATTCCACGTGGGATTTACTCGTTGAAGAGGTCCAAAACCCCATAACTTATTACAAAATGGACCTTTTACCTCCATTTTGAAAATGGCATTTTGGTTCATCCCATTTTGCGAGAAAATGGAATATTATTATTGAAATTTTACCAGACGCACCCTTAACTTTAAACCTCCACATCTCGCCCACCAAGCTACGGCACTGTATTCCGCGAACGGCGGCCTTTACCTTCCGATTCCGATTTGCTTGTTGCACTTAGGGCTGGTCTGGATGCCACCATTATTTTTCCGCCAGAAATCATTCTAGCGCTTTTATTCACTTTTTCCAAAAACACCAAGCGTCATAGGAAAACAGCCATAATATATTTGAACTAATTTGTCTGGATACCTCATTATTATCCGGAAGTTTTCAATCAGAGCATTTTAAAAAACGCGCGAAGTCGGATTAGCGATGCGTCACGAGCTGTGACTGCTCTACTTGCGGCGCCGAGCTCACCGACGCAAGCGGCTTCTCATGATGGCATACATCAGCTACCACTACGCTGCTTTCATAGACAAGACACCAAAACGAACATCAATCCTCACAGGAGTGATGTGGGTCCAAGAGATGATGATCGGGAACCACGACGCCTTCGTCGACAGCTTTCGAATGTCCCGTGAGACATTCCTCATGCTAGACGACGAGCTTGTTGACAAAGCTGGGCTTCAGGCAACTAGAAGAATCAGCTCCGTTGAACAGCTTGCAATGTTCATGTACTTTGCTGGGCACCAAGCAACAAGCGCCAACCTCCAGCAACGGTTCCAACTCTCGGGCGAAACCATCACACGTCACCTTTGGCGAGTGCTCTATGCTGTTAAGCAATTGACCCCCACGTACATGGCTTTGCCACTTGCAAACTCCCCGACACCGGCATTTATGGAGAACAACCTTAAGTTTACGCCGTACTTTTCGAAATACCGCATGGTGATTGACGGTACCCTCATTCCGGTATGGTTCAAATCAGATCAAGCTGCTCCATTTCAAGGCCGCAAGGGAGTAACTATGACGTTCTGACAGCCTGCAATTTTGACCTGCATTTTACCTACGTGCTGGCGGGCTGGGAGGGGTCAGCCGGAGACGGCGAAGTGTATGCCGATGCACTGGAGAAAGGCTTGACAATGGACGACGACAAATACGACATTGCTGATGCGGGCTTTGGTTTGACCCTGCGTTGCCTCACACCATACCGATGTATTCGGTACCATTTGAAAGAGTACAGTTTGGGACGCTTGAAGCCCCAACGCAAAGATAAGATTTTCAACCTCCGACATGCCCAAGTTCGAAACTGCATTGAGCGAATATTCGGCATTGTGAAGATGCGATTTCCCGTTATGTCGCATGGGGTTCGTTACGATTACGGGTTCCAGGTGGATCTAGTTATTGCATTGTGCACGCTTAACAACTATATTCGCATCAGTGGTGTGGATTGCGGTGTCTTTGAAGCTCAAGCCGCAGCACTGATTCGACAACAGCGTGACATGCCATTGAATCAAAATGAGAGACCACAATTTGCGAACGAACCTGCTAGCGAAGAAGCCAAAGTATGGAGAGACCAAATTGCGTCCCAAATGTGGTCGCAATACCAACGTACGTTAGCTATTCGACGCGAGCAAGACGTAACTAAGTTCAAGATCATGGTAGTACTATTAATAGTTGTTTCGCGTTGTGTTATATCTAAAGTACCGATAAGTTAAAAAAAGACTGACTGTGAAATGAAATCAATTCAATTCCTAACTAAATTGTCACTAGGCAATAGTAGTTGTCGTCAGTTGATTCAGCTGACGGCGCAACCACGCAGAACGATTTTCACCTTCCATGCAAAGGAACATTGCGGCGCGCGTACCATTACTGAAGACTGACAACTTCGAAGCGAGCGACGTTCGCTGCCGTTTCTTTTGGCGTTCCTCGGTGGAAGCGCTTTGACGTGCTCTTCCTGCGTCAACTTGGTTTGACGGCACTTCGTCAGTACTGCTGTCATCGCTGGCATCATTCTCCAACACTTCGCCGTGTTCGTATTCGTTGTGATAGACTTGTGCTGGAGGGGGCACAGTCGACGCAGTCGCGAATCGGCCCGTTGCCATTGTCCCCCTAAATAGGGTCTCACAATGTGCGAACTGGGGAAACGGGCGATTTTGCCATGTTCGCCACGACTTCGGTTTCCCGGCCGGAACGTCATACCACGTTGTTGACAAGCATTCGACACGGCACCTTGATGACTCCCATGCAACACGACAGCTATTTTGGACCAGAGTAGAACTACGTAGTAAGTTAACCTGAGGAATGCATCGAATTCGCGAACACTTTTTGCGTTGTGTTATGCCTAATTTTATCTCTGGAAATCCTTGGAATTTCGTAAATCTGAAGGCATATGAGGAAAATACAATTCTAGCACTATTTTGGGAAGTAGTTCCTTTTTGATCATAAGGTAGCTGAATATGTTGTTTGTAATGGAATGGAATACTCCGGGGTAGTACCCATATACGATCGGTTTGAGCCGTTTTTCGAACACTTTTGTCCGGATATGCATATGATTTACGAAAAGTGGTCACTAGAGTGGTGTCACTGGAGCAACCTTGTTCTTTGTATGCTGGAAAAATATTCGAAAAATATACACCTTTTACGAACTCCTATATTCGGATGAATTAGAGGTCCATTTGCGTTGTGACGATGGGAAGGACCAAGCGCAAGCATAATGAGGACGATTCCGAAGCAGTTGCAGGAGACCGTGTTGTCGCCTTACGGCTAGTTAATGACACTAGAACCCAGTATGCGTACATAATAGAACGCTTCAAGCGATGGCTACTCAGTGAACACCGGGAGTTCGTTGTCGATTCCGTCATCCAATTGCTACTGTCGACAAAAGTCTGCCAGACGTACTTGGACTTTGCATCTGTCAAGCGCGACGCTACCTGGAAAAGAGCTGGTGCCCAAACGTTTCAACTCGTTCTCGACTATTGGAACTTGTAAAATTGCACTAAAGTACCTTTACAAGGAGGCAAACCTCAAGATGTACGACGAACTGGAAGCTAGACTCAAAGGTACGACCTTTGTAATTGTATTCAATTAATAGTTATGCACATTCGAGTTGATTTCGTAAACGGATACAAGCGTCACATGCCCAGCTAAGAGAAGATGGTGAAATGCCAATCGGAGAGGGCAAATTGCCCATGACGGCAGGTGGTATCTATATTTTTGCATGAATAATTATTACTAAGTGTCTCAAATTCGGGACATTTTGAATTTATTATGTTATGCGTATTTGGCTTAAGCAGCACTGTAGCGCGGACGGGCCACTTTCTTGCCGTCAACGCTCACTCGTTCCTCCTTTTTTGCTGGAATTGATGGCACGTTCAGTATCTACAACTTCAATACGTGTTGACAATGTCACATGGCTAGGTATTTTATTTATTTAGGTATGTGGATTAATATAGACGCGCGTTTAGTAAAATTCGGGAGAACAAGAAGCAACCAAGAGGGAGCTGATTGTTTCCCAAACACGTGTACGCCAATCCCTCGTGTTCGTGGATCTGCCCAATCTTGAGGTTCCTATAGAACATTCTGCATAGATTTCTATTTTATTAATTGCTGTGTACTTTATTAGCCTCGCAGTAATTGGATTCACGAGAATTCTGCCAGTTGGCCAACGTACAACTTTGATTGATCTTTGGGGCGAATTGCTAAAAAAAAGAATTGTGTCGTAAACGAAGCAGACATACTTCCCATGGGTATGGCAATCTCCGAAATCGGCATCCATTGTGCTACATCTTTGTCAAACACCCAATTCGTTGGTCGAGCAGAAACAGGTTGGCTTTTATTATTTGGTGTATTTATGTCCAATTAATAAACGTTAGGCTTACCATTAACTTCCAACACATTTGCATCCCTGCCGCCGCATTTTTCTGGTGGTCCAGCACTCTCCTTGGGCGAGTGGAAATCTGTTCTGCCTGGCTATTCAATTGAGTACCCTGCGGGCTTCGATGTATGATGCCGTACTTGTTGGCATCGTTGGCGTATCATCGTGATTAGTTGAAGTCAACTTTGGACGCTAGCCATCCTATATTTTCGTCCCTAATTTGGTACTGAGCCATTTGTCAGCACGGGTGCGTGGTGGTGTCATATTCAATGCAGCTACTGGAATGGTTGCAACTGTTGTACCTTCTCACGCTACAATGGTGGATCGATTGAGCCGTTTGGAAAGTGGATTCCAGGAGTTTCAGACAACAGTGTTTGATAAGATCGACGCGATCCCGCAAAGTGTGGCCACGAAAATCTAAAATCAAACGACCACAACGGACTCGGCCCCCGTCACATTTAAAATGATGAAAGAGTCATTCGCAGATCTACAGACTCAGCTCTTGGAGAATTTACAACCTATGCCAACGGATATCCTCGGAGGGGATTCCCTACGAAGTGTAACGACGTGCGCTCAACAAGCACAAACTGTACTCGTGAGATTAACCTATGCTGGGAGCTTGACGTGTCCCAACAGCAAGTTGTTTGATCTGTGGGCTGCATGGTGGCACAATTGTGAATATGTATTAATACTGAGAGGAGTTCGTGAATAATTCGTTAAGAGTCCAATTCAGTAATTACAAGGAGCAGTCGTAAATGTCAGAATGAAAGTTTGTGATTTTCTATTCTTTACAGTATTTCTGTACTATTAATATTAATAGTAGCAATCAGAAATAGGTTATTCGAACCTTCAGAGGCAAAAAATAGATATGGTTGTGATAGGAAAAATTCGTGGTTACCACGACACCTGGCTTCAAAATCACTCGTTGCTACGGACGGTTATCAACGTGCACTAACACAAAAGTGTATGTTGCTCTGTTTCCGTCCTTTCAGTCAAGGGATGTAATTGGCTACTCCCGAGTACTAGTGTCTTTTGCACCAATCAATGAGAGGACTTTCTAAGCGCGTCTGCACACATGGAGTTCAGTGAGTTTGTCCTGGATTTGTATCAGAAGTCCTAGAGAAATCGAAATTATCGGAGATAACTGGCTTTTGCTCGACTTACCGGGGTGCCTCTTATTGGATGCACCAGCCACCGGTTCATTCTCCTTATGCCCGACATGTTTACGAAGCACACTACTGTTGTTGACAAAGTCAGCGCTCTCATGATCAAGCTACGTTTAATCTGCCGGCCACTCGTCTGCGTCGTTGAAATTTCTACGCAACACGTCAATTCAAGCGAACGACGGGTGGCTAGCACGCGACGTCGACAGCATCCGGCGAAAGTTCAAGGTTCTTCGAAGTACTACGTAGTATCCGCAAACCCACTGGCGACCCCATGTTTCCGCCCACCGTATCAAGAGAAAAGATACCCCAACAAGCAATCGAAGCAGCGATGGAAGTCTGCGACTTGCCATCTTGCGAGCAGCCCCCCAATGAGGGCAACGACAGCGAAGGCGCTTCGGACGGTTATGCTGCTCCCATTGACGCGTTGGTTGAGTGCGATGCGGTCGCCACTCAACGAACTGGGTTATCGCCTGCAGGGTTGATGGCCTTGTGAACGTTGCGTGGTGCAGGGCCTGCTATGAGCCAAAACTGCGGTTCGCCGTCGCAAGATTGACGACATTCTGAATACTTTGGCCGACAACAAAATCGAGAAACGGCAACGCATGGAATCTGGTATACATGGTGCTGCATTGATTGAATTTGTTATGAAAATGGAGGAGCATGATGCAGCATTCCGAACCCAGCAGCTTGAGATGGAAGAACGACGCGAGAAGTTCGATCAATGTATGCTAGCTGTATTTACTAAATTGCTTGATAAGTAGTAACAATTAGACTAATACAGTTTCATAACTAATGTGCTTCACTACATGAAAGTAGTAAATGCTTCCACCTTTGACTCGCACGATACTATAATAGTACTTGACATTAAGAAGCACATTCCTAGTACTCCAAGTGTTATTCAACTTTACATTACCGATTTAATTTGTGAAATACCAGTTCGTCTAACCCTAAAATTAAACAGCATGAAAATGTTTTGCAAGCGCAAGCCACGTAATGTTGGATTGCATTGAAGTGGTAAAAGCAGCTGTCGATAAACTTGTTCGGTTGCACCCATACCCCATTCAGCGGCCTGACAAATTAATGTTAATGCAGCACTCATTCGGAGTAAACCAGTCTGCACTCAGGTGAAGCACGATCCATGTCGCCATCTTTCAACGGCGTCCTAATCTTGCCGAATAGATCGCCCGACACCGGAACGCTGAGTCGGACATCACACCATGACCGACAAGATTTGCATTTGGATCCAACAACTTGTCCCGAAGCGGTGAGCTTGTATCAGCGTCGTTCCAGCTAACGACAAAGTTGTGGCGCCCCTATACGATTGTTCCGTCCGCACCGAACAGCAGCATGCCAGTTACAAAGGTACTGTGCAACCACCCATTGTAGTACGTATTCTGGAGGTCCACTGCTGTTGGTGCTTTCACGGGGTAGTTTTTGCCGTCAAGGAAGCCCCCCACGGCACGCACAAGTGGTTCCACACGGCTGATAAGAACTCCCCATTCCCGCAGCTACCGTTTTATTGGATAGCGGATTCCCGCGTTAGGAATCATCTTCAACGCAGCCGATAAGGCTAATTCGGCTTTGTGGAGCGTGTGGCTGGCAGCATGTCAAACAGTGCGCAGAGTGTTTTGCCTTCGCATGGTGCACGGTAGAAGTGCAAAACCAGCGAAAGTGCTTCGTTGATACTGTTTATCTTTGGTGGTCTTCCTCCACTTCCACTGAGATGGTGAACTTGGTAGTGCTTGGCAAAGGAGACGAGCAAGAGGACAAATGTCTCGGGATCAAGAGACACAGACGTGATGAACGAGCTCCGGTCGCGGGTGGCGTATATGGTTGTCCACGGGGTCGGATATTTTGCGATGAGGGATGGCGAGGTCAAGTAATGACGCTCCTTGAGAGCCATCCGTGTTCTTAACAAAACTAGGACTTGCTCATCGTCGGCGTCCGAGTCCCCGTCATCCTGCGCCAGCAAAAGCAGCCACCCCACTTCATCAAACACAATTGAGGTACTTTTATTTGTTTATAGTATGGTATAAATTTTGTAAGCTATAGTTTGAGTCGCTTGGCGTACTTCTTGCTGAGGCTCTATTTGCGTCTCAGCAAAGAAGTACTGGTGAATTGAATTATAATTCCAGATGAAAATCATCGACTCAAATAAGTTTGCGACGGTTTTGGAAGTCCCCCAGTGACCTATCTAAATTTCTCCAATTCAAGTGCACGCATAATTTCCCTAGGGGCCATATTTGAATTTTCCCTAGGGAGATTTGCTAAAATAATTTAGGGCCATATGGAGGGAACTATTTTGAGGGTGGCCCCCCAGGGGGGCTTAGGGACCCATAGTTTTAAATGGGCTGAGCAACATTAACTGGGGTGGGGTTAATAGCCACCAATTGAATCAGGAAAATAACCCATTCAATCATTCATTCATCAAAACCATGGCCCCAACCAGTCCACCGTCGTCTTCGGACTATGCTTCCTTCTTTCGCGCATTGGGAGAACACAAGCATGGGTGCCGGCTCTGCGAGAAACCACAAAACACGCCATGTGCAAAACACGCCATGCGCAATAAAACCTAGTGTTAAAACTACTGTTAACGTAAAAAATCAATTAAGACACACGAAGATATATGTTCAAGAACCAATCAAACGGCGAAAATGTATTTGAAGAGAACCTTTGCAAATAAATATCCTCTTTATGTCTATCCAGAATGTAAAGACAAGCTAGTACATCTTCACAACCCTTTGTGACTGAATAACCCGTGAAAAAGGATAAGATGCCTCTATAATCAAATACCCTAAATACAACATTTGTAAGCAAATAATCATACTTTGATCAAGATAACACCATGTGTCCTAAACTGATTTTCAAAATGGTACTACGTAGTATAAAATTTGCTTGGTTTTTCTTGTTTTTCTCATATAATACCACTGCAGAACACAATATATTCGTTATGTGGTTGTAACGCATTATTTCAGCTATAATCTCCAAGTTTCGAACGTTGAAAAAGTTGCCTGAGCGTGGAGATTAGGAAATTCCCCCGAGCCGCGTTCTACAGATGTGTCTTAACGTTAGTATTGTCAAGTCGGTTCGTAATTTTTGGAGCAGTCGCCAGTAGAATCGAATAGACTTGGCCAATCGATTTGAGAATGAACGAGCCAATCAAAATCCATTCTAAACCACTACTAGTACTTTACAAGATTTCTGAATTGTTCAGCCAATCAATGCGTTTTTTACACCCCCGTTGCAGATTGACTGTGAACTCACTGGACTATAGTGAATACTAGTACAAGATATATTGCCAAGTTCATTCAAAAAACGATTTCACTTTTGGACTGAACAGTCAATATTTCATCCGCAAAAGTAATATAGTATCCGGAAGTGCTCAGTTTTCAAAAGTGAAACGGCGAGAATTTTCTGAGTAAAATTGCAGAGCGATAGAAGCGTAAGCCAAAGTCCCTCTCCAGCAAGTTGGACGACTGCGAGGAAACTCCAGATTTTGCTTTCGCCATCCTGAAATATCTCGATGTCGGCCTTCCGTAACTTCATGTTGTGATGATTTTCGTCCAGTTCGCGCATCTCCCTGGAATACCAAGCTTGCGGGGGATTAAACAGCGGAGAGCCCATCGCTGGGCTCCGACCACCCTTCAGTACCCGTGGCAGTTCAAGCAAGTTCACCCACTGCACTTCACAAGCCACAAACCGTAGTCGGATGGGCTCGGCTCTTCCAAGCACATTGACCGTGATTCACGACGTGTCCTGCTTGAGAGTGCTTGTCGGTTACAGATCGTAGTGCCGTTACAAGCCGCCACCACCGACATCCCACACGCCTCCTCACAACGGGTAGCATGGGGGAATTTGGTGCGAACACGTGCTTCTAGCCGCGCATCCATGCTCCATGGCGTGTGCTCACACTACATCCTCTTGTAGACACCAGCGTGGGATCGACGATCGAATTATTGCTGTACGTGGCGCTGGCAATCGTGATCACCCTGGTCATGGTCGTGCTGTACTTTGTCTACCAGTACTGGTTCTTTAAGAAATACCGACATGCAAGTACGTGATCTCGATCGCATGCTTCTTTTCTGACTTGCGTCCGTACCCCAGCAACACACCCCGATTACGAAGAGCTCCGAGGTACATGACATGTCCATCACACTCATGCTACCTACGTGTCCATGCGTCATCAACTTGATGATGAGTGACGTCCTTCGTTGGCGTAGACCTGGACGGGAACGTCGTGCAGCAAGCCAACACGATTTGCTCGGTCGGCGCAGGTGGAGCAAGCTGTCCACCCCCCATAAACCTCCACGACCTTTTTTGCTTAGGAATTCGAATGGATGAGGCCGCGACGCGCCCCAAGCTCCAACTCTTGCGCACGGCCAGCTTGCCCACAAGGGAAGAGCTACCGACGCATCGAGCTGCCTCTTTGTATCCACGCAGCGAGTCTGTGCCTCCGTCCAAGTCCAGTGCCAACCTCATCCTTCAAGCTACATCTACTGCGATGGCGTCATCTCGGACGGAACCGCTCGTCCACACATCATTCGTCCCCGGCACAGCCCCCGTGGACAATACCGATCAAGATATCATCAGGGTGCAATCGAATCGCGCCGACCAAACCGATCCACAATCGATCTGATTGGTTGTTGAATTTTATTGAGAGGGTTTTGATTCGCTAATAATTTGAGCTCACCTGAGGTGGCCAATCAAATCGATTTAAATTCCAACGAGAAACCACAACACGAAATTTCACTCGAAAGCACACAATATTACTACAACTTTATCAAGGCATAATATATGGGTCCATCGTCTATTAAGAGCTTCGCCCATCAAGTACTTAAGTGGAAGGAGGACTTGATCGGGGGGCAAACCCCTTGGCAAACGTCTGTGCGACCAAGAGGGGAAACACCAACGTCGCATCCGCATACACCTATACAAACATCAAGAGGATGACGTGGCACGCTCCAGTGATAGCATGTTTACCTTGGCCGGGGTGGCATCGAGGCGCAGCTTTCCCCACGACACGGCTTCGTCCGGACGGGCACCGGCGTCGCTGCCGTCATATTCCTACGCCGTGGATCCGTTGAACGCGTCGATCCAGTTGTCGGGCACTGAATGACTGGCGTACCTGTCCCGTATTGACAAAGACAGCAAAGTCGGCGCCGTTGCGCATGAGGTTGGCGTTCAGGATGTGGTGCTTGACGACGCCGCCGCCGAGGACGATGACGCCGGTCTTCTTGGCGCGGATCGCGTGGTCATTGAGGCGGCGGATGTCCGACACGATGTCCAGCACGAGCCCTTCCTTGCGATACGAGTGGAAGTAGATCATGTCGCCAATCGACCCGTCAGTCAACGCTGGACAAAACACGGGAATGTTGTTCTACATGTATGCAAAAACAAAACGAGTGCTATTAGAACATATTTAGTCACTTTAGGATTGCTATAAGCACATAATTCGTCGTTTTTGTCGTGTGGATGAAAAAAAATGCTAAAAATACCCAAATTTTGCAAATTTGGATGACGTTTGATCAAAGTTCGATAGTATTCTGTAGGCGGTTAAAAGGAAAAATCATCGTTTTTCACTTTCTCGTGGGGACGAAAGATATTATGCTAAAAATACCCAAATTTGAGTCATATTTTGGACGACGTTTGATCGATGCTCGATATATCTATATATATATATATATGCGTGCGTACCTTGTAACACCAGTAGTAGACAGAATCCTCGTGGTTGATCTCCTTGCCAAGGCGGTGGATCATCGTGCTAGGCGACCACACCGTGCCCTATACAAACCCCGCCATGTCAAGAAAAAAAAATTGCGTTTTTTTTCAAAAATATCATCATTTTCAGCAAAATAGACCAAATTTTGATGCAAAATCAAATTTCTCAATGAAAAACGTGAATGGGTTCGCCCTACCAACGTGAGTTGCTCGTCCAACATGGCGTCGAGGATCGGGTTGAGCCAGTCCTCGAACTTGCAGTAGTTGTCGTTTGGCACGAGCAGGTTCCCGATGCGGTTGATGCCGCGCCGCCGCAAGTCCGCGCCTTTGAGCGCAAAGTCCCCGACGTACGTTGGCGCCAAGCACTTGATAAAGTCTTCCTCGACGCCGCCGGCCGTGGCGACGATCACGTCTACCATTTTGTGCTGCGCGAGGAAGCGCAGCGTTTCCCGCAAGCCACTTGAGATCAAGTTGGACGTGTAGCCCAAGAAGATCTTGCACGTGGTGTTGGCGCGCACAGCAGGGTCTTGAAGTTCGTCATCGTCGTTCTCGTCGATGGGTTCGTCCGACAACCGCCACGCTCGCTATACATCCATGTGAAGTTGATACAATGAGATTGCTGACGAGGATCATCATGCAGCGAGGATACCATGCGATTAATTTCTTCGACTGCCTTGCCAAAGTTAGTGCTTTGAAACCCCATGAACCGGTACGAGTTGAACAGGTCGTCGTAGTTGACCCCGTTGTTGAAGTCATACCTACGTTGCATTGTCAAGACGGAATAGCAACGTTGTAATGAGGTTTATGTGCAAGTACCCCTTCACTTGAGTGTAGTCTCCATTGTCCAGTCGCTCTGACTTGACCAGGACCGCAGCTTGGGCAGCTGCCGGCGCCGTGCCTTCTAACGATTGTTGCGCCATTCCGATCGATCGATGGAATTGAAATGATGATGCCATTTGATTGGAGCGAAACCAAGGGTCATACCAGTATATGATTGGCTAATTCACAAGCTATTTCAACCAATCTCACGTTCGAACATACTTTCGACCTTTCAGTTGGATCGCTTGCAGGTTGGATCACATCATGGCAGCGTCCACGTCGTATGCGGCGTGGGACAAGTACGATGTTGACGAAGTGCTGCAGCAACTTGACGAAGCTGACGCCCGCGAAGCCAAGCTCAAGGAGAAGCAGCAGTTAATGAAGAAGAAAGACGGGATTGTGGACGAAGCTGGGGACTCGGCCGAAGTCGCGGCCACGAGAGCAGCGGTTGCGGCGTTAAAAGCCAAACGTCTCGTCGAGCGAAACAAGAAAGCTGGAGGTGGAAGTAGCAATGCAGGGACGGACAGCGGCAACAACACCGTGGCGGTCCTTGAGAAGCAGGCACGTCTGCTCCAGCGCAAGAGTGCCAGCATCCAGACCGCCATGCGATCTCGCGGTCGCGGGAGTGCATTCCTGGCAAAGAACAGCGCCACGGACGCTCTGGCATCGTTTCATGAAGCCCTTCGAGCCATCACAGACCTCGATGACGTGATTCCACAATTGAACGACGTTCAAACCGAGATTGATGAATCCGTCAAGTTACCATCGTCCTCTGCGCATGACCACGGACCACATGGTGGTTGTGCAACCGATGGCAACGCCCCTTGTAGTCACAGTCATCCCAGTCGAGAGACCAACGGCCCGCCGTCGCTTCCAAAGAGCTCCGACTTGAAAGGCATTGCCAAGATGCTTCGAGTAGACTGTTTGCTTGGCATTGGTACAGACAACGCTCCTTGGATGATTCACCTGACCCATTTCTTGTGTCCAGGCAAGTGTCACATGGAGCGGTGCCATTACGCGGCGGCGTCCGAGTCGTTTCGAGATGCGATTCTCATCGACGGCGACAACTTGGACGCGTGGAAGCTGCGCGCGGACGCCTTTGCCCACATGGGTACTCCACCATACAGTAGTCCTGACGTGGCTCATCGCTTGCTTCGATACAGGCGCGCCGTTGATTGCGTTGCTGCATCTCAACAAAGTCGTCGCCATGGTACGTTGTGTATGTATAATATAATGTGCTCGCTAGACCATCATCACACTACATTCCCCAACCCAATCAAGCCAGCAACCCCCTTTCAGTGCTTTCAAATCTGTTTTGCTCATCGTATGTGTGCCTGAGGGTAGGAAGGCGAAGGAGGGGATGGCCAAGCTCAGCTCGAAACGTTGCAAGCAGAGGTCATTGACCCAACCTACAACGAAGGTACCAGTCGACCATGTCAACTTGACTACTTTGGTAGTTCAATCTCCATTTGCAGAGGACGGGTACACGGCTGCCATGACGTACCTGGTTCGTGCTCCGCCGCACGAATCGCTGGCTCGGATGCTCCTCCTTCGCCACGAAGCAGACGTGATCATGATCGAAGGCTTTTACACGTACTCGACGCACAAGTACCGCGCTATTCTCGACACGTTGTCGACTCTACTCCAGGCCACCCCTCATCTGCACCACCCCGCCCTCGATCAAGTAAGTACATCCTGTACCTTTTTCCAATGATATTGCTATGGCGACCATATTGCTATGCCTATAATAAGACCGATGCCACTCTCGTCACCACTTCCAAGGACAACAATCAATCAACAAACTGCATGGTCATAGTTGCGGTTGGCATGCCACGTCAACATTGCGAGCGGGTACTTGGACATGCACAAGAACATTCGTAGCGCCGTGAACCACTGCCTCGCCGCGCTTGCGATCGATCCTACCGCCGCCGCTGTGCGCTACCGACTAGGGCATGCTTACCGCGTCTTGGGCAAGTTTGACCTGGCGACGTCCCAACTCACCACGGCGCTGTCGACGTTGACCGATTCATTCGCTTCAAACGATCAAGGGGCAACAACCAAAGCTACTGCTGCTGCGATCACGGCCGAGCTGGACCGAGTCGCGTTTGACAAGACCGAGTTGGATCCAACTTCTATTCAACGTAATCTCAAAGCGCTTTCGTGATCTTGGGTTCGCGCGCCGGCCCGCGCTGGCCCTTCATGGGACAGTCACCGTTGAAATGCACTTGGACTTTGCAGTGCCGACACACGACAGGACACTCCCGCGCCTCGTGCGTGCGGGCGTTGCAGTTGAAGCACTTCTTGGGCCACTTGTCCACCACGCCCGCTTCGATCTCGGCGGCTAGTCGATCTTTGACCGACTGTTTGTGTTCCAACTTGCGCTTCTTGCCCGATTCTTTCTGGCACCGCAAGAGTCGCCGCCGTTCCTTCTCCTCTTCGCTCATGGGTGCGCGGTGGACTTGGCGGTTTGGGTCTGTGACGTGGGTGTTCATGATGTGGTCGTGCAAGAGATGAAAGAAAAACAAAAGTGGAGCCGTAGTTTCCGTCGGAGAAGCAGTCGATTCTGTCGCTGGAGGTGGGAGCGTTGTGATCGAACGCTGTTTAGCCGTCGAATATTCCGCAAGCATCAAGTGCACCGCTAAGGGATCAAAGACCCGAGGTTTGTGATACCGTGGCTGGTGTACAAAGCATATGAGTACAAAGGAACTAGTGTACCTTCGATGGTTGAAATACAGCCTTTGCCACTGGAATGGTAGCGCCAATACTTGGACTCGAGTGGTGGCCGAGCAAGTTTCACGCAGCGCAAGTGGGATACTGCGGGGTCGTGCAGAATAGACGGTGCTTTCTGCCATGGACAATCGATAAAGATAAGCGTTTTCACACTGTCGAGGTCCTCGAGCTCGTCGATCACGACGGCGTTGATGGACGGGTACACGACAACGGCCTCCTTCACATCGTACTGTGGCGGGTTTTGCGATGGAAACGGGTATGGAATGATTGAGATGTCATCTGGCGCCACCACCTTGCCGTGAGGGGCCGTGCTCTTCTTAATCTTGTCTTGGAACAGAATGTCCACTCGGAGCGGCAGACGGACCCGCGGCACTTGTACGGTCGATGGAGCCCCAATGGGGACATAGCAATTCACGCAGTAGTACTTGGAGCTCTTCTTGCATCCAGGACACTCTTCACGCTTCCATTCTTCCGTCAGAGCGGCGTTGGCTGTCGTGGCCGGTGCCGCGACATCGGGTTCAATCGTTGGCTCCATCACGAAAAGTTCACAATTCCCACCAATTGAGATTATCCGGATAAGTGATTCTACTGTAGTATTAGTGTGGGATTCCTTGAAGGGGTTCATGGCATCGCCATCGCCGTCGACGGACAAGACGATTCACTTCATTCGGCACGGCGAGTCCACGTTCAATCAATGGCGCCTCCGAAGCATTCTGACCTTTTCTTGGATCTTCGTAAAGGACCCAATGATCATTGACGCCAGATTGAGTGCACAAGGCAAGCTGCAGGTAGGCTCGGATCACCACGGCAGGTCGGCTGACATGATCCTAGGTGGCAGCATTGAAGAAAGTCATCCAAGAGAGAAAGCTGCATGAGATTGTGGATGTGGTAAGCAGCACGCAACTATCTACTATATACCTTACCCCCACCCACCACTGTGGTAGATCATTACAAGTCCACTGACTCGCGCCATTGAAACCACTCTCGGCGGATTCGACGGGTGCCACATCCCCATTCAAGGTACCCATCTCCCTTGTGTCGAAGTGCGTATTCTCCTCCGTGTTATCAATTGTGCAGTGAGCCCGCTGTGCCGCGAAATGCTCGATACAGCATGCGACATCGGTCGACAACCTCAAGGTCTGCATCCCAACGAGTTATATTCGTCGTTCATATGTTCCTAGAGTTGGCGCACGAGTTTGGTTCCGCTGGCATCGACACTACGTCCTTGGCTGACTATTGGTGGCTCAGCCATCCCACGGCGGCCACCATGACCATCCCGCAGTCGGCAGAGGAGGTAGCGCCGCTCCGAGAGTCTGTAGCCGACTTGGACGCGCGCATACTCGCGTTCCTGCATCTCTTGAGGGACCTGCCGCAAACCAACATTGCCGTCGTGGGCCACAGCAGCTTTATCAAACGATTGACGAAAGCGACGCGCAAGCTCGCCAACTGCGAAATCCACACCACGACCCTGCACCAATGCCTGAAGTGAACACATATGTGTACAGACAGTACAGGTTGCCCAAGCATTCACTATGTGACACAGTTACGGTCAAGTACTAATGTCGATTTGATACAAACCAAATCGATCCACAATCGATCTGATTGGTTGAATTTCATTGAGAAGGTGGTTTTGATTGGCTAATAATTTTGAGCTCATCTGAGGTAGCCAATCAAATCGATTTAAATTCCAACCAGAAACCACAACACGAAATTTCACTCGAAAGCACAATACAGTAGCTACTCTAGTACTAGTAGTGGGGTGGCTGCTCGTGTTAGTTCATATGGAGTACGAGTTTGAACGTTAATATATGACGAAACGAACGCATTCTAGACGACTGCCGCGCGTTGTCGCCGCTTTGTCGCGGCTTGATCGATCCACTTGGCCATGTGTTTCTTTTGCTCATTCCGAACGTCCTTGACTGACTGCGTGTCCAACGGGTGGCTAAACATAAAGTCCAAGTGATGCGCGCCGCCATCAACATGCAATGCCACGACCGACTCGGACACGGACGTGAGCACGCCCGTGCCGCTCCACGGGTCGTAGTTGCCGTTTGTAAACACAATATTGGACGTTGCCTCCAACCCCGCTCGGCCGCCGTACACGGTGTGGGCCCACGTCGGACGCAGCGGCACATTCCACTCGGCGAGGCAGCTCGCGTTCGATGCCGAGATGTTGTGGACGTTGGCCATGTAAAAGTCGTTCGCCCCGCCGCCTTGGTCCATGGGCATGTACATTTCCGAGCAAGATAAGTAGTCCCAAAAGTCATTGTCGTGCTGGGATTCGTTGGACGGCTGGCCAAACGTGTAGCAGCGCTTGTCGAACGTTGTATTGTAAAACACGCCGACGCTGAGCTTGACGGCATGGAACAGCGCCACGTCATCGTCGTCATGCAAGTCGGCCAAATGCGCGCACGCCACGCGCACGGGGTATGCAGGCATGACGCTCACGCCGTTCATCAGGTACGACGACGGGTACGGGTAGTTGCCCATGGCCATGAACGCAAACGCGCCCTGGATCCAATCCACGAGCCCCAGCGCGGCGCTTTCGGTTGCAAACGATTCGCAAAAACCAAATGCACGCGCCAACGTGTCCCGCCCCGCCGCCGTCCGCGCCGCCGCAGCGATCTTCCCCCACACGCTCTTGATATTGGGCACGCAGTTGGCGGCGGCCCCCGCGGCCGGCGTCGCGTCGAATGTGACGATGCGCGAAAACGAGCCCGTGTCGGCGGCCGGGGACTGCCCTTCGAACGCCAGCACGGGCGCCGACCCTGCGATCGTGCCGTCCACGACATGCGGGTACTTTTGACGAAACCACGTGGCCAACATGCCTCCGTAGGACCCCCCAAAGGCCACCACGGCGCTCGACGAAGCGTTGTACGCGTCCTTGAGCTCCCCGAGCAGCACGGCATAGTCGGCCAGCGCTTGCTCGGACGACAGGTACTCCATACGCTTGAGTGCGTCGTCCGGGATCGACAAGCCAAAGTACCGATGCTCGGCAAACACGAGCATGGCGCCAAACTCAGCGGCGTTCTCCCACATGATGCCCGTGTGGTTCAAGTACAACTCGACGTTGGCTTCGTTGCCCGTGTAAAAGAAGATCGGCCCGCCTTTCGCCCACTCGGCGGCGCACACAAAGTACCGCTCGTCGTACGTGGCGCCCGTGGCGCCGAATTGGTTCAACGGCTGCGTAATGTACGCTTCCGTGCAGTTCTGGCGCAAGTCCCCCGTGAAATCGCGCGCGTACAACGACGTGTCGGGTGCGTTCGTGGAGGACCCAAACGCGTACGCGATGCCGGCCACCAAGAGCACAATGCCGCCGACGATCAAGGACTTGGTCCATGTCGACTGCCGCGTCGCCGACGCTTTGCTCTCCTCCGTGTACTTTTCCAGAATCGGCAGCCGCGAGTCTTCGTCGGCCGTGCTGCTTCGCGCACTCATAGTGTGTGTTGTACCGTTGGCGTCGAATTCGAAAGTGAGCACCTTCCTCGTTCGAATGTGGCCATATGATTGGAGGATACTTCAAGTTGCCCTTGCTCATCTTGTCGTTGATTGGCTGAATTTGATTGACGAGTTGTTGAAGGGGAAGTTGGTGGTTTTGCGATCTTCCCACAAAACGTCAAAATTGAGTGAATTCTCATGACACAAGTACTCGAGTATGTATGAACGTGGTCGTTGTATTATTAGTAGCTACTAGTACGTTGCATAGTATGCCTGCGGTCACACTGTAGAGGGTGCTCGACACCATCGAGAGCTCTACTATGGCCACACATCGAACCAATCGATTCCTATTATTGTTCAAGTCGTGCCATGTCCAAGCAATCAGCAGGAGACATCAAGACGGGGGGATATTTCCACTTGACAAGCGTCGGTGCATGCATAACGTTATATACATGTACTACATACACCAGTCTCTACAATCATACTTTGAAAGCTTGCTGCTCCACTACAAGTATACAAACCGGTGGCAGTGATGATGTGGCTACTTCAAAGTCAATCTCACTTGTGCTTTTCCCTTCATTTTATTGTGGTCCATACTGCAAGTACAGTACTGTACCTCATTCACACATTATAAGTGTCAGTGAACTATTTTTATGTCGTTGAATTCACCCATGGACCACCAACGATTGTACTGATATGTAGTCGAGATAACATACATACCTATTCAAGAGGAATACAGTAGCTAGCATATTGTCGATTTGATACAAATTTGGGGAGGGGCCAAACCGACCCACAATCGATCTGATTGGTTGAATTTCATTGAGAAGGTTTTGATTGGCTAATAATGTTGCGCTCATCTGAGGTAGCCAATCAAATCGATTTAATTTCCAATGAGAAACCACGCCACAACACGAAATTTCACTCGAAAGCACAATAGTTGTGGGAACATTCTTACAGTTAAATTATCTCTTTCGAAATCGCTTGAGCGAGTGTTTCTTGGACTTCTGCATGAGGTCGGCGGTGGCGTCGCGGGAGCTGTACTCTCCGTCGTGAGAGATCTTGTTGCTGTTCATGTCCTCGTGCAGTCGGTAGAACTTGCGCTTGGACCCGATGGGCCGCAGGGGCTCAAGGAGCAAGTGGTGCAGTTCCATGCGCTGGTTGTTCACTTTGCCCTTGTCTTTCGACGGCGCGATCTCGAGCATGTCGTCGTCAAACGGCAAGTCGGCGGCTTCGGCCATCTGATGGAACCACGTGGCCTCGCTCTTTTGCTTGTTGTCGTTGTTGTCCGTGGCAAAGATGCTTTCTGCCAGCTTGACCCGTTCTTTGATTAACGGCAAAAACCTACAAGAAGCATGTCCTAGTCAGCACAAGAAAGGCATATATCGATCGTTTCATCGAAAAATGATATATATATATATATATTTACTGTATGGTGCGTTTCGACAAATTTGCCCATGTTGGGGGGATTGTTGAAAACCGAGCAAAGCAATATGATTGGACAAAAAGATAACGTAAATACTCCCAAGTTTTAGCAAAAATGATTGATAAAAATAATCCTTTCCATCGTACTTCAGTCCATCTCATATATATTTATATTTGATTTCATATATCATCCATCGGAGGACAAAGGGCAGGAGGATATGATATATTCACGTACTTGTGGTCCACTGGAAACATGGAAAAGCCCGACGGACGATGCAACACGTTGCAAATTTGCGCGTGGTATTTCTACCACAAATCACGGCACTGTCATGCACTGATCTCAAATGTCCTCGATACATATATATATCTTTGGAGAGTATCTGAATAAATCCCATACCGCATCAATAGGAGCGACAAACGAGATACTCAACCCGTGCTTGGATGCGCGGGCGGTGCGCCCACTGCGATGGACAAACGTTTCGGCGGAGCGGGGAATGTGGTAGTGGACGACGTAGTCGACGGACGGAATGTCGAGCCCTCGTGCCGCCACGTCAGTGGCAATCAATATGCCTTTTTCGTGGGCGCGGAATTGGTCTAGCTTTTTTAGGCGTTGCTTTTGCTGCATTTCCGCATGCAAGGCAAACACGGGCATCTTGAGCAGATGCAGCACCCCCGCCAGTTTGCGGACGCCCGAAATCGCGTTCAAAAATACAATTGTACGGCCCGGGTACTAGAACGATTCGAGTTAGATGTATGTTTATAGATATATATATATTTGGCCGTCATCGCGTACTAGTACGTGGACGTACTTGAGTCAAGAAGTAGTACAACACGTTGTTCCGGTGTTCGTCGAGGCATTCGACTTGGGCCAATTCAAGGCCATCTGGCAACGTCACTTCGGCACCGCCACGTGGCACCTTGGCAGGGGCGTCCGTGGTCGATGATTTCGTGGCGGCGTTGGATTCCTTGGCACTCAAGTCCACGACCGCGGGCTTGCCGCGCAGCCCAATTCGCTTCATGATGCTTTCCAGCATGGTCAGTGCCGTGGGGTTCTTTGTCTTTTTGGTTTGGTATCGTCCTAATCACAAGCATGACATGACTCACACAACGATATATATACATCACACAATCTCTTTTGCATTCACACGCGATATATGTATATATATATATGGCAACTACCAGTTTGAAAAAAAAAGAAGAAAAAAAATTGTCTGAGAACGTACCCGCATTTTTCAACGTCATGGTGGCCGAAAACAAAAATGTTTGGCGCAAAAACTTTTTTGGGGGAGGGGAGGTCGGCGTCGCGTCGTCGTCGGTGGAGGCTGCAGCTTGATCGGAGTTGTTGTTGGCATGTTGCTTGAGCACGTCGTCCAGCATGATGACGCTGGCTTCCACGGGCAGCTGCTGTCCGCTTGCCACGTCATCATCTTCGTTTTCTTGTTTCGGGGCCAACAGCACTTTGCCCTTGTTGACACGTTCAAAGATCGTTTCGAGCTGGGGAAAACTGCCTTGCTGGAGCATGCGATCGGCCTCGTCCACGATTAGAAAGCGCAAATCGTCTTGAAGGGTGTCAAAGTGATGCGTTTCGCCCGACTCCATCACTTCCCAGAGGCGTCCGGGGGTCGCCACGACGATTTCCGGACCGTATGAGAGCTGGCGCTGCTGTTTCTGGATGGCCATGCCCCCTACGAGCGACACGATGCCGATGCGCCGTTTGTCTGGGATCAGCGCCTGCAAATGACTCACGATTTGAATCGCCAGTTCGCGCGTCGGCGTCAGAATCAACGCCCGACACTTGCCCCGGGGTTCATTGGATGATGATTTGAGCAAGTACTGCAGCACAGGCAGCCCAAATGCGAGCGTCTTCCCCGATCCGGTGGGAGCCGCCCCTACCACGTCGCGCTGCTCGATCATCGCCGGCGTCAACGTCAGTGCCTGGATCAGCGTCGGGGCTGTGAACGCCATGCGGGTCAACGAGGCATTCAACGTCGGGTGCAGTTTGAACTTGGCCCAGGCCGGCAACACGGCGATCGCTTCCTCCGCCGCGGCAGCAATCGCCGCGGAATGGTCGATCACATCGTCCTCGTCGTCAGAAGCGGTTGCGTCGGTGGCTTGGTCGTCTGCGGTCGCCTTCTTCGATCGTTTTCGCTTCTTCTTCTTCTTGCCAGACTCGGCGATCGACGATGCTGCGGCGGAAGGTGACAGGATCGACACTGAGACTTTTGAGACGGCGGTGTCGTTGTCGGCAGTTGGCTCGGTACTTTTACTAGTCGTGGTCTTCTTGGCTTTCTTGTTGTCGGGCTTGGCTGAGCTTTCGTTCTTGGCTACAGTCGCCGCTTTATCTGTGGCCTTGGCCGTTGGTTCAGCTTTGACTGCAGACGTTTTGTCGGCCGGTGCCTTGATCTCCTTTTTGGATGCGGATGGGTTGTTGGCGCCAGCACTACACAATATTCACGCTAGATTAGTGCTTTCCTACAGTTCGTTGCTAGGTGCACAATTCAAGCTTACATGAGCACTCGGCCTCCAAATCCATCGTCCTCCAAAGTGTAGTCTACGGCAGCAATAGAGTGATTGTGAGTCGTCGCGTGGTTGCCTGGAGTTCAGTAGTACCTGTGAGCTCTTCCAGCTCGAAAGCGTTGCCGTCATCAAAGCCATCCATCTGCTGCTCACTGAGGTCGACGCGTTGCCATCCCTTGTCGAACTTCTTCTTGGCCGGCATGGTCGTCGTCGTGGTCTTAGCCGCGGCTGGTCCTCGCTTTTGCTTCTTCGCCATGATTTTCAACGAATGGCACATTATTTCCTCCAACCATTCGGAGTTATTCGTTTTATTGGCTAGAACTAGATCTTATCCAGCCAATCAACACCCTTTCATGGTTCGCCCCGTTGATTCGCTATAAAAATGATTTTATATCCAATAAAGTACCTACATTTTCATTGCAAGCATGATCCAGATTGAGAGAGCCGCCCTCAAGCTGACCTGCTGCGCGGACACAGCGGCATGGACTGCCCTTTTGAACGACCGCGAAGACTTCAGCCATGCCATGGGGAAGGCTTTGCTCAAATTCATCCCCTTCGTACCCGTATTGGACAATCTCACAGACGCTGCATGTGCATTTACAGCTCGGTACCCCGTCGTCGCCATCGATCTGTGGGCGTCCCTGTTGGTGTTTGAGCACGCACACACCAACACGTCCGAGCTTCGAAACTGGGTGCTGCATGTGCTCAACTTGACTGGCGTGGCGTTCATGCCTCTCGAGCCCTCGCAAGTGCAAACGCTCCTGCGGGCCTGCGCCACGGCCACGACTACCACACGACGACGCCACATTGCCAACCGGATACATGCATTTCAGGCCACATTGACCGAAGCCTTCCAGTGCGAACCGGCGGTCGCGGACTCCAAGTCGTCGGACGTGCTGACCTACCTCGACAACTTGGCGATGAACGTTGGTAGCCATGCCACGAAAGGTCTGGAATGGGCTGTGGACTTCACCAAGCGGCGATGGGCAACCGAGTGGAAAAGCGATCCTCAGGTGGTACATCGCATCAAATTGCTGGCTTCAATGCACCCCGAGCTGTTCCAGGCCATGCTTGAACACTGGGTCGGCCTGGACATCATCTCATTGCGCGAATGCGACCTCGTGTTTCGGCATTCCATTGAATTCGAAGCAATTCTCGGCAGCGTGACAGGGCATCCTGTGGTTCTGCATCGACTCACGACCAGCACCGTGTATTGGCATACGCAATGCGCCAACGGTGACGCGTGTTACATTCAGGCTACGCATCCAACGACCACCCCTCTCATTGGACCATTTGCAAATGTGTGGTCATCTCCTGTACTACTCGAACTGGACATCGTCGACACATTGCTTGTCGAGTTGGACGTGGCGCTCAAGCACTGTCCATTGTACGCGTTTGCGGCTGTTCTGCTGAGTCTGTGGAACTTGCTCGCACACTTGAACCAGCACCACGAACGCTATGCCAGCCAACTGGATGTAGCCACCCGACTCTTTTTCGTGTCAACATTGGCCCCCGTGGCGTGCAAAGTGGAATCGGAGAAGCTCTTTGTAGGGGTCGCGCTGGTCGTAGAAAGTCGCTGGGCTCGGTGGCCGATGTGGACGCCCCGCTTGACAAAGCGAGCGGTGGATTTCGTGTCCAACGTCCTGCCAGACTGCCCGACCAACGAAGCCAAGTGGGCAGCCGCCATGATCCTCAAACACTTTATAATCGACAGCAGAACATTGCAACACGTTCGAAGGTCGTTGCTGCCCCCGGAAGTACTTGTGATTCTGCGACATCGAACGACAACACCGGCGCCACCACTACCGTCGATGCACATTGCAGATGGGGACACCAGCGATGACGATTCCTTCCCTGAAGAGTAGGTGTAATACTGCTTAACCAAGTTAGTGTTATAGTTCACTCTTCGTCGAGGGATTGTTTTCGTGTACACAAGGCACAATGACGAGTGGCCTGACGACGATTTGCTCATTTGCTACTAGCTCATGTAGTTCCATTGCATACTTTAGATGCATCCGCAACACAATTGAATTGGTCGATTCGATATTTGTTGGCTGTGTACACGGCCATCAAGCGGGCAGTCACAGAAGGTTGTATATACACATACTACTTGAAGCGAGTCATGTTGTCCAATTCAAATCATGCAACGTCATAATGCTGCAGTGCCTTTGAGCCGGAGGGAGCAACACACTGTCTAAACCGAAGGCCCTTGCAACGCTCTTGGTTTACGCTTTGGCCTGCCGATACGTAATCTCCAAATGCACAATCGCAGACGCTGTCAAGAAGGGCTTCAATGCTGTGGAAACCGCCTCAAAAGTCGTTGTTCGCCAATTGTACAGTGATGGCTTAACGTTATGTTATTGATGCCCTCGAAGTAGTACATAACGCTAATTGCATGATAACTGAAAAGTTCGTTGACAGCTTCGATCAGGGCGGCATGCCAGTTTGATCGCAAGCATCAGTTATACTCTTAGGCTTTGAATTTCAATTTGTATCGATTCTTCAATCTCCTGTTAACAATGCATATTTATAAAAGTTGCTCAGGATATTAATTTATACAACCGGAATTCCACTGTAACTGTTATTTTGGATCAAAAGAAGGATTCAAAGTTGGGCCCTTTCCGAGCGTACTTACTGTTAATACGAACATAAACCTTGCGATACAGTATTCGAATGACACTGCACTACTCTGGTCCATGAAAAGAGTCCCATTTGTTGTGACTTGTTTAACAGTAAAGTATGGAAATTGGTAGAGTTCTGAGAAAATCACTCTATACATACCGTATACTACTATATGTATTGTGATGGATTTTTAATCTATTGCTACTCCTGTAATAACTGATAATTTTATTGAAATAACTGATAATTTCTTGAAATAACTGATACTTCGTAGATTGACTTGTGACATGTTGAATATACTTCAAATTTGTACGACGCAATGGATTAAAAATATTGAGAACGAGTGTCAGCTGGTTGTGAAATATCACCTGTCGCAATACATATACACTGTACGGTACATAATCTTATTGATTTGGGGGCGGAAAGTCACGGAGAGTGAGCTGTAAGTCTGTGCACACGCCGAATGCACGGATAACTTCAATAGATAAACTATAGCTATATACTGTTGCGTGCTATACCAGAGAGCAAAGCTTGCATAGGGTCGTCCTTGCTATTGTACCGGCATGGTGTGGTGATGGACACTAGCGCAACGACACAAGGCGCAACTAGCTAACAGTAAAGCCTTTGGTGTTCGCAAGCATGTGTGGCTGCTCTGCGTAGGCTAGACAAGTCTTTAGGGCTTCGAGTACATCAGATTGAAGTGATATTGAACGCTGAGCGGGTGATTTAAATGTTTTGGAACGGCAATGTAGAGACGTATGGTCTACAATAGTAATGCTTGAAAATTCTTCTGATTCGGTATGCCCTATTAAGTATGCTCGAAAAGTCTCCCAATAGTCCAAAGTTCTCGATGCCGAGGCCTCGTTCGGAAATAATCCATCGTTTGCTAGAGCACCCGAAAGCACGGAAGTTCAGGTGGAATAAAATTGAAGGCCCAAATTGTGACCATTACATTGGACGACCTCAATCGAAAGCAGAATATAATGTCTCAAGAGAAATGGATTAAAGAACTGCCCAAGCCAATCAAATCACGTTCTGGTAAATTTCTGCCAATCCAAACGTTTGAGTCGGCCAGTCCTCCGTATTGGGCAAAACCATATATATATATATATCAATATGTGTATAGTATACATTTTACAAGCTTAAATTGGACCAAATGGTATCGAATGCTATTTGGCGAAATCACTCACAAGTCCAAATTTGGGTATGAAATGCACATACGGAGTACGTACTATACGTGCGTGCGTGCTGAATTCAAAGTAGCCGGACCAAGATTTCCGCCATCGGATTGGGTATAAAAGGTATTACAATTATATTATAGCCAATCAAGTTGCAAAGAACAATTCTCCAAAAGTTTCCAGCGTGGGACTTCACAACTACTTTACAACAGTACCTGATACTGTAATCGCTCGCTACTTGGTCGCCGCACACACGTCCTTGGAGGTTGTACTGCACCATTCATCAACGCCGCTATTCCATGGCTTCGACGAGCTTCGTCGCCGTCCGTTTCATGCAAATAGATGGACTTCATGTTGTGTCAATAGTACGGTTCTTCCATATGGACAGGACATGTCAATAAATTATCAGAATGTAGGTCACTCAAACTTTCGGTTGCAGGTCGATGATTTGGCATTTTCGAATTTCCATCGCTCGTCACAGTTCGCCATGCAGACGTTTGCCAAAGTCGTGCTCATCCTGGTCAACATTGGGTTCATCGTTGCCGGGTCGCTCTTGATCTGGTTAGGATCCAAGTCCCGAGATGGCCACTGGAGCGACATCTTCTCCACGGGGACAGCCACTGACGTCAGCACGGTCTCCGCCGTCGTCATGGCGCTCGGCGCGTCCGTCATTTTGATTGCGCTCTTTGGGCTCACCGGCGCCGCTTGTCGCAATCGGTGCCTCCTCACGTTGTACTCGATCTTTGTCGTGGTGGGCTTAATCATTTTTGTGGCCATCGCTGTCCTTGGGTTCATGTCAACGTCTCAAGCCAACACGTGGACCGCTAAAGCGTTCCCCGCCGATCCCGCCGAAACCGACGTGGCCAAGGGATTCAACCAAGTCTATTGCTATGCTGAAGGGGGTCGCTTCTGCGTGACGTCATCAGTGAAGGACGCTGTCAACACGTTCTTCCCATCGGTGGGTCAATCGGGTATTGATGCGTTTGTGCTTGCCGGGGTGGACGTGACTGCCAACACGGGTCTCATTGGGTTGTGCGACCAAGTGAATGCCAAACTCACGTCGTCGCCAGCATTGTCCAGCGCGTTGCCAAAGGAATACAAAGACGCGTGCGCGACTTGCCAAGACGTGAAGACCAAGTACGGCGAGTACAGCTCGCTTTTCGATTGGGTCGAATCTCAATGCCCGCTGACGCAAGAAACGGCCCAATGGTGCGGGAAGTTCCTCCTCACGAAGAACCAAACGTCACTATACGATGGCGCCCCGTACAAGCAGTGCCGCGCCCCCGTCTTGGGTCTGTGGAAGGACTACGGCACCAAGGTTGGCATTGGCGGCGTCGTCCTCGCTGTCGTGTCCATGGTTTTGATTGTGTTTTCATGCAAAGCTGCCCGAAGCCAAGACAACGACGGATACTCTGGAGCATAAGACTACCTGGTATCTTAAGTATTTTTAGTCGCTATTCATGCGTGCAAATTGCACATGCATACACCTTGGTAGTACACGCTGGTTAGTCGTGGGAGACTGCCTTAGTTTTCGCGCTCTTAAGTTGGTGTGCCATCTGCAGAGTGCTAAATCGGAATTCATTGACTTTACAACGGCCCCCGTTTCGTTCATTTCATGGGGCTGTGACTTGGGTACATATATACTATTCGTTCCGCTCCCAATAACTGCCTAGGGTTATTCGTCAAGAGTAATGTTAATAGTATATTTCGACTATGTCGGGTCGTGATCACTGTTAATTCATCATACAATCTACAAGTTAAAAATATTCGAGTTTTATTTAACTTACAGCTAACTTTAGGTGGCTCCATTTAACTTGTACAATTTATTCTGACCTAAAGGTGAAACTGAGTGTAAAAATACTAACATTGTAAGTACTGTTTCTGGATGCGGATATAATTTGTGTCGACGACACCTTGAAGCTTCGTTCTCAAACGTAGTAAGTACTGGACTATAGCTGGTTTGCCATTTTCACATTTGCATCGTCCGTCACACAATGGGCCATAAAACGTTTCGACAACAATTACCAAGGTGGTGCTCCTTCTCGTCAACCTCGGGTTCATCGTTGCTGGGTTGCTTTTGATCGGGTTGGGGGCCAAGACTACCAACGGCCACTGGAACGACATCTTCTCCACGGGGACTGTCACCGACGTCAGCACGGTCTCCGCTGTGCTCATGGCGTTCGGCGCCTGTGTCATCTTGATTGCGCTGCTTGGGTTTGCCGGTGCTGCGTTCCGTAACAAATGCCTCCTCACGTTGTACTCGATCTTTGTCGTGGTGGGCCTCGTTGTTTTTGTGGTCGTGGCGATCCTGGGGTTCATGTCAACATCACAGGCCAACTCGTGGGCGTCCAAATCGTTTCCCGCGGACCCCGTCGAAAGCGAAGTGGCGAAGGGGTTCAATCAAGTGTATTACTACGCCCAAGGGGGGCACTTCTGCCTCACGTCTCCCGCCAAGGACGCGATCAGCACGTTCTTTCCGTCCGTCGCCGGAGTTGCTGCGTTCGCTGCTGCGGGGGTGGACGTGAACGCCAAATCGGGGCTCCTTGGAGTGTGCGACTCGGTCAACGCAAAACTGAGCTCTCTGCCACCTGCCGCCTCCAACGCATTGCCCAAGGAATTCAAGGACGCTTGCGCCACTTGCCAAAGCGTCAAGGCCAAGTTTGGCGAGTACAGTTCGGTGTTTGATTGGGTCGGCGTGCAATGCCCCCTGACGAAAGAAATAGCGCAATGGTGCGGGAACTTCCTCGTCACGAAGAACCCGCCGTCCGTGTACGACAACGCCCCATACAAACAATGCCGCACCCCTGTCTTGGACCTGTGGAACGAGTACGGCACCAAGGTTGGCATTGGCGCTGTGATCATGACCATCATTTCCATCGTGTTGATTGCCTTTTCGTGCAAAGCTGCACGAACCAAAGGCCACCGCGGGTACTTTTGAGTTTAACGATAATATATGTACCTTGCCTATATATATAAGAATATGTCAAGCCAGAAACTCTAGTGTAATGTCTTGCGGTGGGGGGGGGTTGACATGCAGCGAGTTGACGTTCGTGCTCCAACGCGCCGTGTGATTGGAAAACCTGCTTCGGGACGCACGGGGTCTCGGCGACCACTGCCCGCTGCCCGCTGGTCGACTTGGTCTCGTCTCTAGGCAAAGGTTGGAAGCTCCACCGCTTGGAAGCAATGTTGATGGTGTTGTTCCAGGGGGACTGCGGATCAAACAAAGCGAGACTCCAATTGCCGGCGTTGACTTTCGTCGGTGCCGACCACTCGGCCAGCTTCGTGGTCGACTTACATTTGTTGCGGTTCTCCTCGCCTACTATCTTGGACTGTGCAAAGCGTATTGACAAAGATGGTCGCCGATCCATCTACGTGTGGACGCGGCAGCATTGGTACAGTACAGTACTGTACTACGGAGATGTGAACACAAGGCGTCCATCAACGTCCGGCGAATAGGCCTCACCAGTGTGTGTCAACCAACGCGAGCAGCTAAGCAGCATCTTTACGACCAGTTCAAAGGTTGGTCGGCCCTTCAACCTCCGCAGCATCTGAAGCCAACAACAAGCTTCAGTCGATGGATTGGAAAAGGAGAGCGACATTGACGGAAAGTTTGCTGTCAGTCCAAAGTAGTATTTTGCAAGCCATCGCCTGGCTGTACTAATGTTACGAAGTACAGCGGGGGATACGGTAGTAGTACTACGTAGTACTTTACACACGCCTATCGCTAGGTACCTCGGCAAGTTCACTTCGTGTTGACGATTGAACCAAATAACGCCCCCGCGGGATAATTTCGTAACGTTATCGTTGGACATTCATCACTTCAAATCCAAATATTTCAGTTGTTTCACGGGTAACGTTATTACACTTGTTCCCATTTTCGTCGTCCTCGTTCGTTCGACTCGAAATATTTTTGCGCGCAATGTTCCATTGTTCATATCGCTATCCGTGAAAGCAATGCAAACGCTGGCCAAAGCGTTCCTCATCCTTTTGAATCTCGGCTTCATCGTCGGCGGGTCCCTGTTGATCTACTTGGGTGTTGTCCTGCGCGGGGGGCACTGGTCGGATGTGTTTTCTGCCAACAACATCACGTCCGACGGCAATTCGGCGTCCATGATCTTGATCATCCTGGGAGGCGTGATTGTCCTCATTGCGTTCTTTGGGTTTGCGGGTGCCATTTGTGCGAACCGGTGCCTCCTAACACTGTATTCTGTATTTGTCGTGATCGCGATGCTCATTTTCATCGGTGTGGCCATCCTCGGTTTTGTGGCGGGCGGGGGTGCCAAGAACTGGGCCTCAAAAGCGTACCCTGCCGTCGCCCAAGAGTCGGAGATTGCCACCGGGTTCAACGGCGTGTACTGCCAGGCTCAGGGCGCCCGGTTTTGCACTTCGGCGACCGCCAAGGAAGCGTTTGCTGCGTTGGTCCCGACTGCCTCGGCCACGATCACAGCCGTGGCGTCCGAGGTAGGCATCGGCGTCACCGAGCCCACGGGGGTCGTGGGGTTTTGCAAAAACGTCGACGCCAAGGCGGCGTCGCTCGGTCCATTGGAGGCCGCGTTCACGGCGAAGCTCCCGAAAGAATACAAGAGCGCATGCGGAGTGTGCGACGATGTCAACATCAAATTTGGCGACTACAAATCCATCTTTGAATGGACCAACGACCAATGCCCCATGACGCCGCCTGTGGCCATGTGGTGCGGCGCATATTTGCTCACGAACGCCTCTGACCAAGGGGTGTACGAAGGCACGCCATACAAGCAGTGCCGACCCGTGGTCTTGGAACTGTGGCGAAGCTATGCCACCAAAGTGGGCATCGGGGGGGTCATTTTGGCTGTGATTGCATTGGTCTTAGTGGTCTTGGCATGCCGCATTGGACGGCAAAACAACGACGACTATTACGTGGCGTAATAGGATGAAAACATTTACTGTACGGTTCAAACCTTGTTCTTGCCCAATACAGTACCGGTAACGATAATAGATTCGTTGGGCTGAGCCACTCGGTTACTACATACTGGTAGTACTAGGAGTACACTCCGGAGAGTACTCCGAGTACACAGTACAGTACTGCAATCTGGATATGGTCACTGTTGCCAGAGCTTGGTACAGTGTGGTACTGTACTGTAGGTACCGTACTGTACCCCGCGAAGATTCGCGGGAGCCATGCGCAGGCGAACATGTAAGTGAACGTCTAAGCTTTAGCTCACCAATGCGCACCTGCGTGAAGGTGTTTTACATAATTGACGGAAATTTGACTTTCCTGTGCGACTGCGTAATACTCCGAGTACAGGGGTGGGTGGGTGGTCACGAATAGTTTGTAAACACTTACACTGTACTACTTGTACAGCTTTACCTGCATGTCGCAATGTGGGACGACGCCAACTCTGCATGCGACGGAGCATTGCACCACAGCCACCACTTGCACAGAAAATAATCCTACGTAGTACCTCAAATAACACCGGCCAACGCAGCCTAGTGCTATCGGTAGGATTGCATTGACTTGCATGCCCTACTACCGCGCCATAAGCTCGCATAACGTTACCCCGGAGCTACTGTCGAATGATTGAGTTGGAAAATACTGTACCCCAGATCCTTGCTCACACAGTAATCATGTCAACGCCATCAGGAGCTGTGATCGTGGACGACGACACAACCAAGCATCAAACGCATTGCATAATTATTCACGATAGCAATTCTAACTTTTGACTGATTTTGGGGCCTATTGTATTTCGAAGTAGAATATATTTATTTCTACTCCAATGATGATGACTTTCGAGGTGTTCACCGATTGATGAATAATAAAATCAAGATAAATAGTAGATTCGATTAATTTTAATCAAGCCGATTATTATATGCTGTGTCTACTTGCCGACGGACTCCTCCGGCATCCTAGAACTGGCACAGAGATAAAGTCGCCTCATTCATTACCCAACCATCGCCAGACACCATGCAGTTCACGAGGCCGCAGCTTCTTCTCGCCGTTGTGAGCCTCCTCTTCCTAGGAGCGACAGCCTTCCTCATGTATGTCGCCGTGGCCATCGGCGGCACGCTGAGTCGCACCAAGTGGACCGACCTGTTCTACGTCGTCGCCGCGTCGTCGTCGGGGTACTTTCTCGTCTATGCGCTCGTGTGCACCAGCGTGGCGGTGCTCGCGTCGTGCTTTCGTCGGTTCCTGCCACCTACCAACAACTGGCTCATGACGTTTGCCTGCATGTTTGTGGTCTTCGCCAGCGTCCTTGCTGCTATGGGGTACCGGTCTGCAGCCGCCTCGGACAAATGGAGTGCGTCTTCATTCCCCTTCAACGCCGAGGAAACCATCGTTGCCGATACCTTCCATGACGCGTATTGCCCCACTCGGTACAGGTGCGTTGCGTCTGTCGAGTCGGCCGTCAATGTCACAGCGAATGCAACCATGTCCATGTGCGCGACAAAACAACCGGCTCCTTCCATCCACATTGCCGTGTTTCAGTGGGTGGACACGTATTGCAATATGGCCGCCGACACGGACGCCTATTGCAAACTGCTTGGCCGAAGAAATGCCTCAAACGAGTATAGTGCCCCATACCAGCGATGTCGCCTGACGCTCTTTGTCGAGTGGAGTCGATACGCCACCAACGTCGCATATGGCAGCACCGCGTTAGCGTTGAGCGCGTTGGTGTACATTTTGGTCGTGTCAAGATCTCAGCGACCAGCCGTCACCCGACCACCGAGGTCCAGAAAAGACAACACTGCATACGTGGCCACGGTGGTCTAATGTGCGATGCAATCTAACTAGTTTCGATTGGCTTTGTGTGTACTAGTTCCTAGTGAAGGGGCCAATGTCGTAAGAGTATATATACTAACGTTACAGTAGTTGTTGGGCTGTGTTGAGAGCTTTGTATTGAACGAGGAAATATACCATCGTGCGAATGCAGAGTTCAGAGGTTCGATGGCCGCTGCGACTATACGACTACCTCATCAAACTACCGTGTAACGTATATAGATATGGACAGTGGCGGGACTAGTATCCGGATACGGATAGTGTAAATTACCAAATGCATACAATAATCAAGTGTAGTAATCCAATTATATAATTTTACAGAGGAGTCCAAATCTATATGGCTGTCTAAACCTATATACGCTACACGGTACATACCTTTGAGCATGCCTTCATATCGAACGAGACAATTCAGCACATTGTTCGTGGCTGCACCGGCTGGTGACCAGGGCAAGCGTTTTGAGATCTCGGACGTTTCGCTCACATACAAACCATAAGTGAAAGAGAACTCAATTGAGTTTATCCAAACAATTTGTTTTGAGGTGAGAAAAGAAATTCGCTTTGCATCTGTCTGTAATGGCGACGCCATGCTTGGCCCATTTCTCATCGGCGGACCATGGCGATTCCTACGACCTTGTCCAAGATCATCCTTGTGGGATTGAACATCCTGTTCATCGCCGCCGGCGCGCTGCTCATCTACGTGGGCGCGTCCTTCAAGGGAAACCACTGGTCGGACGTGTTTTCCGCGGCCACGGCCACCTCCGTCAACTCGCTCGGCCTGTACACGCTCATCTTTGGCATCGTGGTCGTGGCCATCGCGTGCCTGGGCCTGTTCGGTGCGCTCTGTCGCAACAAGATCCTGCTCACGGTCTATGCGGTCTTTGTGTTCCTCGCACTCGCTGTGTTCACGGCGTTCGCGGTGCTGGCCTTCATATCAGCGTCCACGGCGTCGAAATGGAACGCCGCCGAGTTTCCCGCCGCTACCGAGGAATCCCAGGTCGCCTCGTCACTCAATGAAGTGTACTGCTACGCCCAAGGCGCCCGGCTCTGCACGCTGGCGTCACCCCGCGAAGCGTTCAAAACGTTCGTCCCGGCACTGGCCGACACGATTGTGGGCGTGTCGACGCTGCTGAAGATCAACGTAGACGAGACGACCGGCATCAACGGCTTTTGTCTCCAGGTGGACAAGCAAGTGGCGGCGCTTGGCGTGGTCGGCGCGACCGCGGCCAAGGCGCTTCCATCGCAATACAAGCAAGTGTGCGAAACATGCGCCGACGTCGATAAAAAGTACAGCAACTACAAGTCCATTTTTGTGTTTGCCGAAGAAAAGTGCCCTCTGAACCCGACCACGGCCACATTTTGCGGCAACTTTTTGCTCTCCAAGACCCAGACCAACGTGTACAAGAGCGCCCCGTACGAAGTGTGTCGACCGGCGATCCTCGACCTGTGGCACTCGATGTCCATGAAATTGGCCATTGGCAGCACCGTCGCCGCCGCCATCTCGCTCATCCTCTTGTTTTTCGCGTGCGCGGCGGGCAAACGAAGTGACTACGACCGCTACTCATATTAGCTCAATGTTTGAATTCGACAATGGATTGAATGCTAACGTGATCGCATCGTGACCCCCTTGCAGCAATTTCGTCATCAAAAATGAGTTTTCCACTTTGGGAAAGGCGATGATAGGGAAAGAAAGCCCCGAACAACTCGACTTCTGGCTCGTGGCGTCGTGGCCATGGATTCCATGGATTTCATGGCCACGACCAATGTCGTTCTCATGGCTACGTAATGTGAATGCCATGGCATGCCTAGCTTCGTAGCGTTATGTGAGGTGTCGTTCGTTGTCCGCTGTGCAGCGTGAATCCCTTCGACGATCGGCGAACTGACGTTATTGAGCATATGGTTCACGATGCACTTGCCAGAAGGTTTGCGCTGCTATGTGCGCACTTGGAATTAACCAATCGTACGTCGTTTTGCTCACTATGGCCACATTTGATTGGCCAAAATAGCTGCACTTGGGTGCGAAGAAGATATGTCAGTGTGAATGCTATTAATAAAACTGAGGATCCTACGCGATACAATCGTTTTGGTCTAACATATCTAGGTATTTCTATACAAGATGAAACTCGAAGATTAAAACAACGCGCGGGCATCTCAAGTGCCCGCGACTGGTGAACATCCGGATTAAGGTAACGTCACCTAACGGATTGACTTGACGTTTGTATGAAATGAAACACCAGCGATGACAGGTCGGGGAATTTATCCGGATGTCATCTCATCGGCTGGCCATTTGAACATTACGGGCGGCGGCAGGCGAACGAGCGAGCAATGCCGAATTCCGAGCGCGAGAAGCTCAGCTCTGCGTATGACATAGCAGTCGACGGTGGAGTGAACGCGCCCAAACCACCTGCGGACGAAGTGTACTACGGATTTGGCGTGTTCATGGGCATTCCCGTGGCCAAGCTGAAGGCATTGCGCGAAGAGATGCAAAGCCGCAACAACACGGCGCGGTTCCAACCGTACAATGAAAAAGGGGTGGAGACCAACAACCAAGATTTGGACAGAAGCAGCAACCGAAGCGGGTCGAAGCACTCGTCAGACTCTGCAGTCGTCCCAATTGCAAAGATTCAAAAGACAACGGCCACCCGAGCGATCAAAGCCAAACAAGACAACAACAGTCCTGCGATCGCGAAACAGCAACCGGACTGGGACATCAAGTCCGACCAAATGCAATCCAACATGGCTTTGCTTGCGTCCGCTGCCGCCCCGTCTGCCACCGCGTCGCCGCTTCCTCGAAGTTCCCAAGGTAGCCCGAGCATCCCGTCGATCAAACCAACGTCGACGACATCGGCATCTGTTGCCAAGTTGCCTGGTCCGATCCATCCTTCCCAGCAGCACATTCCATCGATGACAAGCGCGCTTCATCCGTTGTCTGCAGCCACACATGTCACCACGCATGCTTCTTCGCATTCGTCGTCGCCGGCTCCCCAGATGCCTCCGCTACTGTACCATCACGACCCGACACCGGGGCAGTCCCTGGCGCCCACTTCACAACTCGACCTGGATTCCCAGCAGCAACTTGCCCAGCCACCGCAACAACTTTCGCAGCAACACGTACAATCGCAGCCTCATAGCGTTTCCCATAATGGGCTGCAGCATGCAACCACTCCTGGTTCATACAACGCTCAGCCTCAACTTCAACCCCCCCAACACCAACAACCATATCAAATCATGCAGTCCCAACCAATCCATCCATACCCGTCAGGTGGGGTGACCTACGTGCCGTATCCAATGCACCACCCCCAACAAGTCCAGTACAACAGCGAGTACCCTCCCCAGCAGTACGTGTACCACCAGATCGCACCACAGACGGGGGGCAGCGTAGATCCGCGCACCAACTTACCCCCAGGCTATGCCCAGCCCATGTATCATCATGTCCAGCCGCCACCTCCGCAACACCACCCCGTGTACCAGCAACCAGGTGGCATGATGATTCCTGGCAATGGTCCATGGATGACCCAAGCCCACCCTTCACAGCAGCAGCACATGGTGCATGTGGGGAATATTCCACCCATGCAACAGCAACAACAACACTCGAATGGAACCAACAACATGTACCCTCCTTCAGCAGCAGCAACCCCCTCGCAACATCAACAACTGCCACCACCATCGATCTCCACGTCTTCTCACCAACTTCACAATGGCCAGCAACCCACGTACGACAGCCAAGCTACCACGACGACGGCCATCCCAACCCTAAACGCCCCATCCAACAATGTGGGTCAAGCAAGTGGCTCGGACCAGCAGTCGGCGACTAACGCTCCGTCCATTACTCGTCTGCTACCGCCCCCTGGATACCCCTCTGCGATTCCGTCGCTCAATGCGTATGCCAAAGCCCCCCCACAACAACAGCCCCTACAACAAACCACCCATGTGCCACAGCCGCCGCTGCAGCATCAGCAGTCGTTGCCGTCAGTGTCGTACCAACCGCCGCCCTCCCAGTACATGCCTCAGCAACCAGTGCTGCACCAACCCCAGCACCATATGTACCAGGCTTACCCGCAACCCCAGTACGCCCCATCTCCATACTACCACCAGCACCTCCCCCCTCCGGGCTATGCCATGCCGCAGCACCAGGTCAACTACGGCCCCCCTCCCCCTACACATAACGGCGCCCCCCCAGTTAGCAACTTCAGCACCCCCCACCCAATTCCACCGTCCTCCATGTCTAGTACGACCCCCCACCAGGGGGGGTCCACCAATAACCTGCTGCCGTCCGTGAACGACATCTCCAAGAGGACGTCGATGAGTTATATATTAGATTAACAACATTAGTGGATTTGACGTCCGTTCCATTTGTCTCGTGATGATCACTGCGATTTTGCTGTTGCAACACGGTCTCATGGCAACCAAGTAGTGCAACCGTACGAAAGTCCATGTAAAACAAGCATGGCGATGTTATGGAAGTTACGCCTTGAACCAGCCGTTTCATTATGTCCTCTGTTTTTGCAATGAGTGCCGCAGCTCCTCCTCGTTACTCTGGCTCGTTCACGACCCCCCCACTGCATATCGACTGGAGTGTCCATCACACGACCAATGCTAAGCAACGCCCTGCCACAGCACGACAAATCACGCCCCGGCGGCCGTTCTCGGCCGTCTCCACCAAAATGAGCACATGTTCCGGCCGCCCCCTTCGTCCCCGCACGGCGGCGCGTACTCTGATGGCCCCGGCGTCCAATGTGGTTGAAATCCCCGCCCTCCCCGCCACCGTGGCCACGCTGTCGTCCAACGCGATTGCCGAGGCGGCGTTACGGGAACAGCAAATGGTCAAAGACCCGGATCCGTTGTGTGGGCAGAGCGTGGAAATTCGGCCACTGCACGTCGCCATGCCCCGCGGCAACCGAACTGCCGACTACTACCGCGCCCGAGGTACACTGACTAATTCATACTTTTTGAATACACGACTAAACCTACTGCATTGGCAGGGTACCATCACCGCGCCCAAGGGGACTTTGCCTCGGCGATTCGGTAACGTCCGTGGATGTAACCTGTAGTAGCACATTGTGTTGTTGGACAGTAGTTCTATCTATATATTCAAACATGAGATTGGAATGCGGGGTAGAGAGTACCACACGGCGTTGAAGATGGCCCCGCGGGACTTCAAAGCGCTGTTTAATCTAGGGCTTGTGGTACGGTATTCCATGGCCCACATATATATTTGTGACAAGGAGCTAGTACGACCGGTTGGGGGAAACGCACCAGGCCCTGGCATGTTATCGGCGAGCGTGTAAAGTGGACGACCAAAACGTGTACCTGCACTTCAACATGGGCATCTGCTACTTGGTATGTTGCATGTAGTGAGTGTCGCAGGCTTGATGCCTGTATATGATGACGTGGCATCGCAGCACGACGAAGAGTTTGATAAGGCGATTGCATGCTTTACGCGGGCCATCGACGTGGACGGCGGCTGCGGTCTGTTCTTCAAAAACCGGGCGTTCGCGTTCCGAAAGGCCGGACGATACGCCGAGGCGGCCAAGGATTACACGACCATGGGGCGCTGCGACGTACGTAGCATACGACGTCGACGGAGGTGGGTTGTCACGAGATGTGGATGATATAGCACCCCGAAGGCTATGGCTTGGACCTGCCCCATGACAACGGCGGCGATGACGACGACGATGACGATGATGCTGCTTCCACTAACCAAGACGAGACTCCACCAGTAAAACAACCTCGTATTGGATCGAGGACTCGATTAGTCACGGACGTGTAGCGCACATGTCCAGTGTACAACGGCAGCACGACCAACGAGAACGGCATGTTCTACTACGACGCACAGCCGCTTTATACCCCCCGCGATTCGTCGATTCGAGCGGTCACCACGATGGACCGCACGGATCCCAGAATTTGCTACAAGGCATCCCCGACTTTCATTTTCCATGTCTTGTCGATCTCACAGCAATGGGAGGTAGATTGCGGCGGCCCCACCCGAGACTCGCAGCGATGCCGATATTCAATTTCTCATGGACAACACGGCTGCGTTGTTTCCGTTTTGCCGGCACTTGTCCCCGTCGGTGTGTACATGCAGCGCTGCATGTTTTAGGGTGTAGGAATGGGGTGGTGTTCAAACTCCTAGTGTGTGGCTTAAACTACTGAATAGGTGCACCGCTCCCTGTGCACCCAAGTGTGTGGCGTGCGACTCACAGCCTCGACTGTGCTCTTCCAAGAGGACGAGCCTGGCGCGTTCGTGTACTTACTGCTCGTCGGCCGCGTGAACCTGTTCAAGCACAACCTCGTCAAACCTGACACGTCCGACAGCTCCCGACCGACCGTCGAAACGTACCTCAAGCAGATACCCAAAGGCAAACTGCACTCGGAGGCCGCCTTGTTGGACTTGGACAACCTGCGACAGCAAACGTTCGATCCGGAAGAAACCCCCATGTACACCCTTCGCCCGGGCGCCGAATTCGGCCACCAAGGCCGGTTCCGCCACCTCCCGCGGTATGATCGAGCTATTCCGTTATAGTACATGAGGGCTATGTCTTCTTCGTATGGTTGATTCTAGCGCATGCACGGCAGTGGTGGAAGCGGACGCCCAGATGATCATCATGCCGTGGGCCACTGTCATGGACATTGAAGCCGACGAGAGCTCTGTCCATGTAGATCTTTGCGCTGTCGATGTTCTTCTACTACTCATCATGCTACGTACACGTCTGTAGTCGCCAGACATGATGGACTTTCTCGGCAAATTGCGCCTGTTTCGGTCGATCCCGTCGCCGCAATTGCAACTGTTGACGCTCAAAGTACATATATATATACTAATATATAGATATATATTTATCACCCCCACCATCGTCCCTTTGCTTTCAATCACAGGATGATGTCATTGTTATTGTAGGCCAAGCGCCTGATCGTGCCCAAAGCGACTGTACGTGTGAATTCGCTCTCTCATACAATTGTCTTTGATTCGACTCCAGACTTCGACATATCGTAGTCATCTGATTGGCATGGGGATGGCTATTGGTTGTTGCGCTTTAGGTCGTGCATGTTCCAGGGCAGGCCCATGAAGGGCTGCTTCTCGTCCGGCGCGGCGTGTGCAAACTCGTGACGCACAACGCGAGCATGTTGGGGTCCCGTCGGCCGCGGGGTGGCGTCGGGCGGGGCGGCAACAACGGCAACATCAACATCAACAATGGCGTCAAGAAGACACAGCAGCACAACGCCCTGCATGCGTACACGACCATGGAGCACGAGGACAGCCCCGTGGCGTTCTTCCACGCCAACCAGGCGCTGACGAGGCACCTCCTGGCAGTCCCCGCCTCTTTGCGTCCCGAAACCGTGCACAAGAGACTCGTTGCTCGAGATTTCATTGGCGAAGAGTCGTTTCTGAGCAACGAGACCAATCGCAGGGTCCTTGCCACGTACTCGTTGACCACAGATTCCGAGTGCGAGCTCATCTTCCTCCGCAAGGTACTAAACATTCCGCCGTCGAATCGGTTGATTGATGATGGCTATTACACCGACAACAACCGACTGGATGGCCGTCGGGGTTGTCACGATGAGGGTGGTGACATCCGAGTGTCTAGAATATGTTGGGGTGGTGGGTAGTTAGTTGGCCATTTGGCCGTTTGGTGGTCCAATTGCATGGCGTCTTGCATAACTCTACAAATAGAGCGTTCTAGTCGAACGAACGAACGACCGAACGAACGATCGACTCAAGATGGTTGCTTGTAGGCGGATTTCTTTGCCGATACATCGTATTATACAAGACAGCGTGTGCGAGCCAACATCCAGCACATGTCGACAACAACTGCGTCAGACCTTTCTCAGCCATGTCCTCTTCCTACGCAGCAGATGCGCCATGGGGTAGGCACGAGCCAGCAGCGGGATCGGGAAGGCGCGAAATGGATCGCATTCAAGAAGAAACTCGTGCACGACGTACTGCACAAGCAAGGTTGATATAAGATGTCGTACAAGGGGGCCCTCAATGTAAAGAAGAAATGATCTTGCCATTTGGGGGGCGTGCTAAAGTATGTATGGCCAGTGCATATCGAACTGTAACGGGCTAGGGTGACTACAGTACTATCGCCGATGATCCGTGAAACGCATGCAAGTTGGAGCACAAGGCACTGTAATCGCCAGGCCGTTCGAAATCTGCTGCCGAGAGAACACCGTGGCGGACACAAAAATCCAGCAGCACCAAACACACATCGGGTTTGAACGCTTCTGGGTTTGACTGCATGTGACACAGTACGTCGTCGACGGGCCACAGCTGGAAACTGTCGACTTCGCCATCTACATTCTCAGGCTGCCACGTCGAAGGAAGCTCGACGTCAAATGTAAACTATACGATGTCACAGGTGATTACTACATAGTTGCTCCAACACGTGGGTTATAGATCGTGATAACGTTACCATTGTGTTGTGCTTGTATCCGTGCACTTCGTCATTTCGGTAGGTCAACGCGCCCGTGGATCGAATGCTTCGATGGATCTCGATGCGAGAAAGCCCAGCCTCTTCTTCGGCTTCTTTGAACATGTTGTCCAACGGGGACATGTCCCACGGCAGTCCGCCGCCCACAAGGGTGTCCAGCTTGCCAGGGCAGATAGCTTTGCCGCTGGATCGAACGCCAAGCCACACGCTCAACGAGTGGCCATGCTCATTCGGCTGGGGAGAATGTCGAACGTAGCCGTTGAGATGGCACCCGAATTGTGAGATCCCGAAAAACGTGCTGGCACTTCGGTCGATGCGGAACCACGGTTCGTTGTCGTCGGGTCGAGCAGCGCCGTACGCCTCGTTGCGCCAGGATTCCGCTTTGAGTGCCATGGCCACTTCTTGCATTGCTATCACGTGCACGCATCACGGTGTGGATGGCTGGCAATGGCAATGGAAATGCAGGGTCCGTGGTGATTATACCTGCCGTGCGCTGAGGTTCTGAGGTGAATGCAGACCGGAGATGAACGGCCTCGTGAATGCGTGTCCAGTCAAATACATGCTGGAATGGTTGGAGTTTCTACGATGCACCAAAATGATGTTCAGCACGATGGCATGTTGGGCTCGTCGATACTTACCGCCACGCGATCTCTTCGAACGAGACCGACCACCGATGGCGGAGTGTGTGCGTTGGCCTCCACGGTGAGAGGCAGGTACAGACTTGGGTCGTGTGTATTGCATCGGCGCACTAGTCCGTCAAAGTTGAATCGCCTTCGGGGTAAGTGCATGCCAAGGATCGCTGGTGCAAGGATCGCTGGTGCCGATGTATTCGAAGCTCGACACATGGGGGTATGGGGTAAAATAGCAAGGAAACAATTCAATGGATTATTAACTAGAAAACGTTATATTTGTATGCTGTATTAGAATGTCGAATTAAAATATGATGATTTCAAGGGTACCCCCCTTGAAAAAACGTAGAAAGGGTGGTGCAGACTGTTAAACTTGCTGTTTGTATGGAATGTAATTGTTGTCGGTTTGTTGCTTGGTGATGATATTCAACGTGGTTGCACTAATTAAAACGTATGTTCTTTGAGTAAAACGTACGTTAAAGGAAAGATTCGGCCGCATTATTATGGGCCAACAAAGTTTAACGCATGCGTTTTAATAGATATCGAACGGATTGGCAAGGTCCCTTGCGCACTTCATATTTTCACTCCGGTCAGGTCAACGCAATATGGGAAATAAAGCGTCCACCGGAGAAGGCAAGCAGAGTCGCCGCAACCGCCAAGTCGGCGTCCCGCAGCCAGGCACCCCTCCGCGCCAACAACCATCTCCTCCTGGTACACCCCCGAGAGGTTCTGGAGCAGGAAGTGCGCGTGGAGCAGGGTCGTCGCTGGCTGTTGCACCCTCTGCAACTTCCAAACCCCTTCCTCCTCCTGTGCCACTTCCAGTGGTCAACAAGACGCCAGCCGCCCAAGCCCCATTGAGCAAGGACAACGTATGTGTGTGTGCATCTGCATCCTTTGCATTATCTTCACCATCGATCATGTTGTTGGATAGATCACCGGCAACATTGGCGACGTGTTTGCCGTGTACAACGTGGAAAAGAAGGAATTAGGCCACGGACACTACGGGACTGTTCGTATCGGCACGCACAAAGTCTCAGGGGCCAAGGTCGCCATCAAGACTATTCCCAAAGTGAAAGTGAGCCGCCCGGAAACCCTTCGCCGCGAAATCGAAATCCTTCGCGTACGACACCCATTCATCGCTCCTCTGTGTACATCATGCGCACTTTTTGTGTTTAGACGGTGGACCACCCGAACATCATCAAGTTGTTTGAAGTGTTTGAAGACACGCGCCATTTGCATCTTGTCACGGAGCTGTGCACAGGCGGCGAACTGTTTGATCGCATCATTGCCCGAGGTGGAGCGTCCCATGTGTCCTTCCCCATGGTTTGGCTTGATTCTCATCTTCGTGTGTTGTGTGTCGTAGGCCACTACACGGAAGCCGACGCCGCCAAGTTGGTGCGCAAGATCTTGGACGCGGTCAAGCATTGCCACGACCGCGAAATCTGCCATAGGTCAGTATTCCTTCCATGGAAGTTCCTTGGGTAAATCCTCACGATATGTGGATCCTCGTTAGAGACCTGAAGCCAGAAAACTTTTTGTTTGCGACCAAGGACGAAACCGCGGAATTAAAGGTCATCGACTTTGGCCTGTCGCGCACGGACGTCGGCGGCACCGGCGACTCGTTCATGACTACCCGTGTGGGCACGCCATACTACATCGGTCCGTCGCGTCCTTCCCATGTGTCCATGCTTGTTGGCATCTCTAACGATGTGGTGCAGCGCCAGAAGTGCTGGGTCGGCATTACGACAAGTCGTGCGACCTGTGGAGCATTGGGGTCATCACATACATCTTGCTGTGCGGGTACCCTCCGTTCTACGGTGACAGCGATCCCGAGATCTTTTCATCTGTTCGAACGGGCAAGTACTCGTACGATACCCCTGAATGGGTTGGCGTCAGTGCCGAAGCCAAGGACCTGATCAACCACCTCTTGTTGCTGAACCCGTCCAAGCGCTTGACTGCTGCGCAGGTAGGTCCCATCTGATCGACAGTAGAGGAGCAAGCAGGCCATGATGACCAATACCGACTTGAATGTACCAGGCGTTGCAACACCCGTGGTTGTCTGGGTCGGCGCCGTCGACGGAGCGCAGCCTCAACGGCACCATTTTGGGCAGCCTCAAGCGTTTCCAGGGCCACAACAAGCTCAAGAAGGTGGCACTGGCCGTGATTGCCGACCAGTTGACGGGCCACGAAATCAACGAGTTGAAGGTAGGTACAGTAGGTAGGTAGGCCATATCCCGATGAGAAGAAGATGGAGCAACGTGGTGTTGTGGTCGTAGAAACAATTCCAAAAGATCGACGTGGACGGCAACGGCGTGATCACGATGCAAGAGCTGGCATTGGCCGTGCGCGACATGGGCCAAGATGTGCTGGAAGGCGAAGTGCTGACGCTGCTGCAAGGCATCGACATTGACGGCGACGGCAGCTTGGACTACAAGGAGTTTCTCGCCGCCACGGTCAAGCGCAACACGTTCAACAAGCAAGAGTACCTGGCCCAAGGTATATATATATATATATATGGTTCTAAATGTGAACTCTTAGTGCTGATTCACCAAATCTATGGATCGATCCTTTGTATGGACTTTTGTATGTCGTCCAGTGTCACACTAATTGAAGTCACACACGAATTCGATGGTGCATTGGTCAAAGAGTGGATCATTTGATTGGCTACTTGATTTGTGACTGGGTTTTGATTGGTCGATTTTCGATTGTTTGCCGATTTCGCTGCAATTTCGAATCGACAATACATATAATATACTCCATAAAATTCTCCCCCATATACCACGCACGTACCTCCTCTATCTACGTGGCCACGATCGTCGAATTAGATTCTAAGTGTGGGCTCTTGTGTAGCGTTCAACTATTTTGACACGAAAAAGCAAGGCGTGATCACCAAGGACGACCTGGTTCGGTTCATGGGGTCAGAAGACCATGCGCAGGAAGTGATGGATGAGATCGACACGAACGGCGACGGCGCGATCAGCTTTGACGAGTTTTGTGCGATGATGCAGCACAAGAACCTGGGCGACGAAGGCACGCCCCGCGGGGACAAGGTCGGCGTGGGCTTTGGCGGCGACGCCGGTGCCGCCGGCGTGGCTGGCCAAACCACCGAGCTCTAGCAATGTCCTCTGTATTTTGAATGACATGATGATCCATCGTAACACTAGTACAGCAGCATTCGTCTATTGAGAACCAAACAACACGCTGAGAGGTAGGTACTACATGCTCATGTGGCGGCGGCTTTGTTGCGCTTGTTGATGCGGTCATGACGCCGTTCCGACATGAGTTTATCAGACCGACGTCTTGCGTCCGCTTCAAAGTGTTTGGTGTCGCCAATGACACCGCTGATGGCACTGCGCTCGATGGTCATGGCCGCCTCCAATTCAGCGCTGCGGCCTTGGTAATGTGCGGTCATGAGGCGGTTGAACTTTTTGTCCACGACGGGCTCAAACCCGCCAAACACGATGCGCCCCATGGCTTTCTTGTCTCGCTGGACGGCGGCAGTTGGTTTCTGGACTTGTTTTGGCTTCGTCGTGGTCCCCCCCCTCCCCCCACCCCCAGGGGGATCTATCGTTGGGGCGATCAACAGTGTTCTTGAGTTCAATATCCGCTGGTACAGACTAGATGGGGGGGGGGTCACTGGTTGGCGGCGGCTCTCGAGGGTCATACTGTTGACGGCGGTGGTGAGCTCCGCGACATCCCCCTTGTCGTGCTCGAGGTGGACAGCGGTCTTGGCGGAGGACCCGCTGTCTTTCCGACCTTTGTGAGGCGCCACGAGCAGCAGCCGCAGCTGGGGCACGCGTACGGACGCCGACGAAAAGTCACATGACACATGCACTTGTATCTCTTGCAGGGGTACAAAGGTGGATATGGTGGTATGGGTGTCCGGTGCGATGATGCTGAGGCGACTGCTGTCTGGAGCGAGCGCCAGTGTCGCAGATGGCAGCATGGCCATGTCGGAGAGAGCCGCAAACGCGTACTTGGCGGGCCGGAGCGCCGGACGCCACGCCCGGGGCACCATCGCCGTGTGCAGGTGGACGTCGCCGTCGCGGTCCTTGAGGTACACCGGGGCACGCACGTCGAACTCGGGCAAGTACACGAGCAGGCCATTTTGCTTGACGGACGTGACCACGGCGGCATGGACACTTGACACGTGTGACTTGAAGTAAAGCGCCAAAAACAAGTCGTTGCAGGCGCGGCTGACGCGCTTGGCGTGGCGGTTCTGCCGATTCATGTGTTGACTCAGCGGTACGAGGCGGTCTGTTGCTAGCATCGCCACTGTATTCTTGTCGTGTAAGGTCAGCCCTGGCGCGCTTGTCCTAGTACTACTACTAGTCGTACTAGTCGTACTAGTCGACCAGTCGGTCGAGTTAGCGTCGTCGCCATTGTTTACAACCAAAGCCAAAGTGTCGGCATGCATCGAGAGCACCGACGGCACGCGCGATGCCGGCAGGGCGGCTTGGGGCCCTCGCTTCAGAAACGTCGAGATACGGGGGGGATGGGGGTACGTCTCGAGGAGGGTTGCTTGCAGTTGCCGATGCACTACAATGTCGGCATACCGTCGGATGGGCGATGTAAAGTGAGTGTAAAACTCGAGCCCGAGCCCGTAATGGCCAAAGCGGAGTCGGTGGCCCGTGGCTTCGCTGGCGCAAATGTACTCGGCTTCCGACATGGCGCGAGTGGCCATGGACTTGAGCAGCGCCATCGTGTCGTCGTCAACTTGGACGGCGTCGAGCGACCGCTGCAGTGTCATGTTGGTGGACGTGTCCAGCACAAGACCCTGGCTGGACGCAAGTGCCACGAGCTGGTCGAAGCGTTTGCCAGACGGTGGGACGTGGCGGCGCAGCATGGCCGACTGTGGAAATGCCGCCACGAGTCGCTCCGCCACAGTTGAGTTGGCCAGAATCATGAGCTCCGCGATCGTCGAGTGGATCTCCAGCGCGGCCTTGGTTGTGACGGTGAACCCCCCACCTCTTCCTCTGCCGCCGTCGTCGCCGTCTGCCTCCAGGACATCGTCGGGCACTTTTGAAAACTTGAGCTCGCCGCCCGACGACAAGTCGACGGCGCCACTCGCCGCTCGTTTGCGATACAACGCCCGGCCAATCTCCCGCAACATGAGCAAATCCTCCCGAAGCGCCGGCTGCAGCGCCGCCGCGATCGGCTGCCCGGCGGTGCCCGTGCCCACGCTGTTAACGGCGGCCGGGTCGTCCGCCGCCAAGCCGTCCATCAACCGATCCGCTTGGTAGTACGTCATGGCGGCCGCCGAGTGCAAAATCGACTTGGCAAACGTTGTCGCAGCTGGCACAATCTCCAGCGTCGCGGGGTCGAGTTCCCAAAATACACTAAACGCCAGCCGGTCTCGCCCGCAGTGGATCGAGCACAAGTCGCCACTCAGCAGCACCGGCAGCATGTCGTAGCGCCGATCGACCAAGTAGACGGTCGTAGCTCGGTTCTGCGCCTCCAGATCCAGTGCTGAGTCGGGCGAGACGAAGTACCCGACGTCGGCAATGTGCACGCCGAGCTGGAGGTGGCCATTGGGCAGACGCGAGATGGACATGGCGTCGTCAATATCTTGGCACCCCGGCGGATCTACGCTGAACACGCGGTGGGTGGAGCGGAGGTCGAGTCGGCCATCGATTTCGTCGGGGGGCACGTGCCAATCTAGCATCACGTTGTCAGCACGACAAGAAAGAAGCAGCAGCACGAAATGTACCGTTGGTGAGGGGAATGTGAGGTCGTTTGGTCGTATCACAAGCCGCGAGCACGTCCACCGACACGTCGCGGACGTCTGGAAGGCACGCGAGCGCGGGCTCACTGAACGGATGCGCATGCACGGCATGCTGCACCAGCAGCGCTTGGATTTCCGTCTCTAAATCTCCCACGGGGCCAAGGATTTGCACATAATGACCCGATGGGTACGTTGAATCTATCGCCCATGTGTCCACTACCACCTAAAACATAGTACAATAACTATTATATATATTTGGCAAAGGATAGTGTTACAATTGATAGGGTACACTCCACATATGCATACAAACAATACTATGTACAATTGTGTGTGGGACAAATAAAGATGTTAAAAGGAAAAACCAACTACTATTGTACTTTTGAGTGAAATTTCGTGTTGTGGTTTTCGTTGGAATTTAAATCGATTTGATTGGCTACTTCAGATGAGCTCAAAATTATTAACCAATCAAAACCTTCTAAATGAAATTCAACCAATCAGATCGATTGCGGATCGGTTTGGCCAGCGCGATTCGATTGCACCCCCTCCCCAAATTTGGATCAAATCGACAATACGTGTGGTAGTATTTTTTAGTTTAAATGAAGATATTACAATATTTATCATTGGAACTCCACATAGTAATAATAATAATAATACTATTTATTCTCTATTAGGTTGACAAAATGAAGATATTACAATATATATATATATATATATTTCCATGCGATTCCTTCATCATCATAGTATGTCCATAGGAGTGATTTCATCGGTATAATTCGACTCGAATCATACAAAGCCGAGCGGCATGTAATATGTGTGACATTGTTTTCGGAGCTTCTGTTTCATACCGTGAGGCGCTGGTCAACTAGCGCGATGGCATTTTGAGAGCGCAGGCGGATCTTGGGAATGCGAATGTCCATGGGCACGGCCAGCGCATAATCGTCGCCTGGGCTCACCGACGTCGACAGAATGGTCGCGACAAACTACAGTGTCACATGTTTACCACGTCACCCATAGCAGCCAGCACACACTTCAACAGGGCTATTCCTTCATCATACATTCACAGACAGAACATCACTTTACGTACAACATGGTCTGGGCGGGAGACGATGCCAACCACACGACCGGTGGGAACGGCCGCCACCGACGATGATGTCGACGACGGAGCGGGTTTCTTCTTGAGTTGGTCGTCGTCGAGGGGCGCGACGTGGTGGACGAGGCTCGTGGCGCTCTCTGGAACGAGCCAGTCGGCTTCCGGCAGCAGTTGCACGGCCACGATGTCCCCGTGAATCGCTCGGTTCATGGCGTCGCGGCCGTAGATGTAGATGGATTGAGACTCGCCATGTGTCGTCACCTTGACAAACGCTTCCAGGGGGTGGTGGGAGCTCACGTCCAGAAGCCCTTGGAAGGCGCACGATGACGGGTCCGACTCGTGTCTGGCAAACCCTTGGGGGGACGCTCGTCGGGAAGAGAACGCGGCGGCACAATCGGCTCGGACGGCATGGAGGTCGATGTGGGCCGTCGACGGACAGTACGCGTAGATGAAATCTGCGCAGGAAAGGACGTCCACATGGCGGGAAGATGGAGGAATCATAGAAGCCAAACAGGGATCGTCGGAAAGTACGACGAACTTTGTCGTCGGGGAATGGGTCGAGTACCAAGCTACGGCGTTGGCGACAAGGCAGCGGGCGCGCTGCTCCATCGATTCGACGTCCAGGCCGCGATGTTCATTCGATGATGCGTCGTCGGAAGGCTCGAAGACTTGCGTTGGGACGTACGTGTCGGCCATGTGCTTGTTGGGGAAGTACCCGAACGACTTCAACAGCGCATGGTCGTCTTCGCGCGCCAGCCAGGCTTCGATCTGGGAAGCTTCCCGCGTACCTACTTCGTCCCCCGCAAGATCCAATACGGACTGGAGAAGCAGGGTTTGGTCCGCCTGGAACGATTCATCGCTGAAGAGGTCGATGTACGCTACCAAGAACGCAGTGTCCGGAATGAAGACGGTGGAGCGAGGGTTCAGGCAAACAATGGGCGGTGAATTGGACCGACAGAGACGACAGTCTTCCAGGGCGCAATGCACATCGGTACGGAGGTAGTTCTCCATCACTTTGACATTGCCAGGCTTCTTCCGGCGGCTCTTCTCCATGAAGTAGCGCTCCACAGGCACCGCGCGTTCCATGATTTGTTGCGGCGAGTCTGCGAGGAATTGTGGATCCCACTAAAGTACGATTTTGGATGGACCAATCAGCGCGTTTCAGAGTCGTTGAGATTTTATAGCCAATCCGATGCCATTAAAGTGTTTGTTTTCAGCAAATCAAACACCATTCTACCTCACGATTTTCAGAAGTCATCACGATGCTGGCATCAAGACTGACGGCGAGATGGCGTGCGAGGCTAAGTCTTGCGGTGTCGTCATGCCTGATGCTGTGTGTCGGGTCGTCGTATGCGATATCTGCATGGAACTCCCAGCTGAAAGAGCTGCTCTCCCTCGATCAGAGCCAAATCACAACCGTCAATTCGTCGTTGTCGTTTGGGTTGTATTTAGCGCTCCTTCCTGGCATCTTCTACGACTTGTATGGCGCGCGAGCCACTACGGCCGTCGCTGGGGTCTTAATGCCTCTTCTCTTCCTCTCTGCATATGCGCAGTCCTCGACTACTGCATCGTCCTCCAACGGTCCGCCGTCCGTCGCGCTGCTCTCCATCACATTCGGGTTGATCGGGCTATTGAGCCAATTTGCAGGCATTGCATGCATCACGGCGAATGAAGGCAACTTTGGCGCGGCCCATCGAGGCAAGGTGCTGGGGTTCCTCTTCTCTTGCTTCAGCGCCGGCGGGGCTGTCTTCGCCTACATCTACCGCACGTACTTTGACCAGCGCGTGGCCGACTACTTTATGTTCATGGCTGGGCTCACGGTAGTCGTTTGCGCGCTGGGAGCTGTCTTCATCCATGCCAACCCGACCAAGACGACCTCCCATCCTCCTTCGTCTGAATCCGAAAGCCTCTTGCCGACAACCCCGCCATCATCATCGTCGTCGGCGTCCATCACAGGGCTCACCTTGCTCCGAGACTCCCGGTTCTGGTACCTGTTTGTGCCGACAATGATCGGAGTAGGCTCGGGGCTGCTCGTGAACGCGAACTTGGCCTTCATTGTCCAAGCGCGCCTCGGCTCACCTGCCCTCGTTCCCACGCTGGTGTCGGTCTTTTCGATCTGCAACGTCGGCGGCCGCGTCGCCGTCGGGTGGGTGTCGGATGCGTCCGTCGGCATCCTTTCGCGTGGCCACTTCCTTTCTGGCGGTTTGGCGCTCATGGCGGCGGCGCACCTGAGTTTTCTGTGGGGCTCGCTGGACTCGCTTTACGTGTCGGTGGCGGCGGCGGGCATCGCCGAAGGCTGCCTCTTTCCCACGTACTCGGTTCTCACGCGGGAACTGTTTGGCGCCGCGCACTTCGGCAAGAACTTTGGCTACATGACGTTCGCCAATGCCATTGGGTTTCCGCTCATCCTTGGTCCCCTCGCGTCGGCCTTATACCATGTGACCGCCACGACGTCCCCGTCCGGGGTTGAAATTTGCGAAGGCCCTACCTGCTTCAATCCAACCTTCCTCATCTGTGCAGCGCTCAATGCAGTGTCCTTGTGTGGGTCTGTCCAACTGCATGCGTAGTTGTGAGGTACTACATACACACTGGATAAATAAACGAAAAAGCAATGCAGTTTTGGGTTGGTGCTGGTCGTTGCTGATGGTACGAAGGGGACATGTGCCAGAGGTAAAGTTAGATAACCTCATGGCTGGCTATTCACATGTTTTACGTGCTACAGTAAGCTTAGTTAATCGGGTTTTGAAGCCACTTCAGTTCAGTGCAATCCTAATTACTCTAATTCTAGAATTAACAGTAAAACGAATACTTACTTCGAAGTAGTAAATAGTAAACAACTTCAAAACGATTCTAACTATAACGGTATTACAAGCTTGTAATAATTTTAATATAGAAATACCTAATTTTTGTTTTCAAGATAATTTAAATTTAGCAGGAAATTGTAAAATGTGTCTAGTAGAAATAAATAAAATAAATTAAATATCTTATTTTATTTAAAATTAGAAATTTTCTTATTTTAAGACCAGGCGTTGATGAAATTACGTGGCTATACTCGTGGAAAGCTCGGTCACTGCGATGGCTCCGACACGATATTATCTCAAGTCACTACTATTGGAGTGCTGATATGCCAAGTAACGAGTTCAAAGCGATAAGGAGCTGGGATAAATACAAGTTAACAAGTGCAGAGTTAAATGCAGGTAGCCCTTCGACTCTTGTCGACGGATGCCACGATTGAGTTGAATGACGAGCAGTCGAGAGTTGGACGGCGACGGAGCTGCTCCAACTCTGCTGGCGATGGAGGCACCGACGCCGAGCTGGCAGATGTAGCCGAATGCTTTCGCGCGTGGCGAGTTCGTTGTGGACACCACAAACACGTCTTGACATGGGTGATGGTGGCCACAGGCGATTCGGTTAAGCTCTTGACCGAACTGCAGTTGCCACACACGATTTCCCCACACACGCGACAATGGTGCTTGCGGCGGAGGACATGGAACGTCTTTCGGCACACGTAGCAGTCACGGCGGGCGTTGTCGGGCACCCAGTCATCGCGAAGCTTGAGTTCGTCGGCCGCGACGGAGGAGAACTTCGTGGCGATGTTCATGGCTTTGAAGGTTGAGAAATGAACTGGGTGAGAAGTGTACCTTGAGGGTGGCGTTGGTGCACCGAGGATAGGTCGGTCGCACGTCTGGTCATATATCTTCACATCCTCGACGTCCTCAAGGAGCACCCGTTTTCCAAAATACCTATAAACCGGAATACGTTTTAACGATGCCCTTTATACCGACATGTTTTTACTGTTAAGTCCTCCGAACCAGTACATACATTGATTCTCCTCGTTAAGAAACATTATTATAATAGCAATTTGGAATAAAAGAACCCCTTCAGTCCCAAAAAGTGTCACGGAACCCATACGTACGGTCATTTCGAATCTTAATGAACTCACTGTCAATACGAAATACTACTACGTAGTACTACTAGTACCTCCGATTGGAAATGATTGATATGTAGGTTTACTGGTTACCTACAATTAATATTATATGATACAGGTATTGTCATACTTGTACCACATACCGGTACAGTATATGCACCTAAACATTCGGAAGCACAGCTGAAAATTGAGCATCATTCCTGATCGATTTTGACCATAACTTCTAAAATATTCTAGTTTGGACGCTCTAAGCATTAAAATCGGATTTCTAGTGGCATCCACGCAAGGGAGGAGGTCGTTTGCGCTATGAAAGGGTACATACAGATTCATGATTTCTGAAGCCGGAATCTCGTCCCGCCAAGATGGTGCTTCGAAATCTGGCTCTTTCCTCCAACTGTTAATCGCCAAGTTGGAATAAAACGTGAGTTTTGGAACCTGTTGAAACAAAAAATGGTTTTGGGTTTATCGATTATCCGTACACTACAGTTGCTAGGGAAACACTTCGAAATTTCCCAAGCAACTGTAGTGTACGGATACTAACAGTGTGGCGACAGCAGGGATCGTCAACAATATATTGACGTATCAATAATTGACAATACTATTGACGGCAATACTGTATTGGCCCAGGCGAACAATATCAATAGTATTGAACAATAAAGAATATTGTTCAATATATTGAACAATAAACAAGCAATATATCACGAACCAGATGTCCCACACCCTCACAAATACGGCCAAAACGCTGCCAAAGACATGGCGCACAACATGCAGTAGTCATATTGCCTCAAATGCCCCTACAGCGCGAGATAGAGAGCATTAAAAATCCAATCAAAATCAAAAATTTCGCATCTACTGTGGATGCTGGCCCACATCAAAGCGAGGATGACTTTGCATTGGAGACCTTGAAACGGCAGCGCGAAGAGACAATGTCTTCTTCTGGCTATGTGGACATATTTGGGATCAAGCGCTTGTGGCATCAGTTGTCTATGGCAGTCAAGATAAAAATGATGACGATTTTGACGAAGATGATGAAGACATGGGATCTGACATAGAGTAAAATCCATGCCTCAATATATTGTTTATTATTGTCAATACGATTCAATATATTACAATAATTGATTGTTTCGACTTGTCTAGACCAATACAATATGTACACAATACAATATTGATAAGGCCTGGGCGACAGTGATTTCGGTGAACTAATATCGACTTTGACAGGTATTGAGATAAAGAGTACATGGAACATATTACCTATCGATACAAACAACAAGTTGTTTTAATCTTGCAATAATTTTATCACCCAAACTTGTATAATTAAATATTCAATGCCACCTACCAGATAGGTATAATCTTTCGACGGTTATTTATGCTTGGAGTAAAATTTGGTCATTTTTCAATAAAAACGATACACAACACAAGGGTTATCATATTTCACGGAATTCTATTCATACAGGCTTTTTCGCCTTGGAACTCTGCATCTACCGTACAAAACCCCATATAAATGTGACATTAGGAAAAGTACAGGACACAAACTCTATTCGATGCTGTCAGTAAAGGACACAACATTATTGCACAGAATATTGCTGTGAGCTGCAACCTACTACAGTAAACTACGTAAGTTACTATCCGTAGCATATCGAGGTCAAACGAAGAGTACAGGTTTGGACTTGCCTGCCGCAGTACACTATACAGTGCAGAGCTTTTTTGTTGCCTCTGGACAATGACCAATTCTCTTGATTATCCGGGCCAAGTCCATTGATTATCCGGACACCTTGCAAACTTTGACAGTAGTGAATTATATTACTTCGAAGTACTAGTACTACGTAGTATTAATAATACTTTGACGTAAGTTATTATTAATATCAATGATATGGGCATTTGACACGTGTAATGAGCACATAAACATGCACCACATGAAATTACAACGGCGACATAAACTTACGGCAAGTCTAACAGTAAATATCTCACTAGGCACTGGTGGTACCAACGTGGCTGGATACTTGATGCTGGGTTTGCATGGTGCGGCGCAGGAGGTTCACAAGCATCGACTCCATCTCCGACTCCCTCACAACATCCCCGTCCACATCGTCCAGCACTACCGTGGCCTCGTCCTTGTCCTTGGTGTCACCTCGTACCAGGTATTCATTTGGTACACTTATCGACTTGGTTGTCGGAGCTTGGGGCCGTGGCGACAGTCGGTCTTGACGGTGATGTCGTCGTGCTAGATGCGCCGTCACCTTGGACGCCATCGACCGCAGTGCCCTGTCATCGCAGTACTGCCGCGAGATCGTATCCATGACAAACACCGAGCCGAGGACGTGGCCGTCGTCGGACCACACAGGGGCGCTCGCGTAGAATCGAATGCCGGCGCGGCCAGTGACCAGCGGGTTGAGGGCGAACCTGGGGTCGTTCACCGTGTCCAGCACAACCATCGACACGGGTGATCGCGCCCCCGCCACCAAATGGGCACAGAACGCCACACTTCGTGGAATCTCATCTTGCAGCAGCCCCACCGTGGCCTTGAGCCATTGCTCGTGCATGCCGAGAAACCCAATCGCCGCCATGGGACAATGGTACGTCTCGGCGGCGGCAATGCAAACCCCGTCCAACACCGCGTCAGTTTGTGGATCATGCGTGTGCAAAGCATGGCACTCGCGCAACGCTCGCAGGCGGGCAGGTTCGTCGGATGGTCGGGGGGGCGGAGGCCACGGGTGCTGCCACGTACCAGGAGGCTCGTGGTGGTTATAGGCAGGTTCGACATTGGCTTTGGGTGATGCCACTGCTCGTGGTACCCCAGGTGCTGCGTCTCGCGGACGAGTGACAACCTCAGGACGTTGCGGCTGCGTTGGTTGTTTTAAAGGAGGATGGGATCGAGATGGGGGGAACATTGACGATGTTGTTGTCGTGGTTGGGGGTGGGCTGTGCGCCACGAGCACTTGGGCCACACTGGCAGCGATCCCTTGGAGGGTCGTGGGGTCGCAGTACGCCCGAGGCGCGGCATCCATGACAAACACAGTGCCCAGCACATGCCCGTCGCTGGACCAAATGGGCGCGCCGGCGTAGAATCGGATGGCGGCGGGGCCCGTCACGAGCGGGTTGTACGCGAAGCGACGATCGGTCGCCGTGTCGAGCACGACGAGGGCATCGTCGTAGCGCCGCGGGGCTGTGAGCGCATGCGCACAAAACGTCACGCGGCGGGGGAACTCGCGTTGGCGGAGCCCCACGGACGCTTTGAACCAGTGCCGGTCCGCGTCCATGAACCCGATGCCAGCGATGGGGCACTCAAACGCCGTCGCGGCGGCCGCGCACAACGTATCGAACGCCTCCTCGGGTCGAGTGTCTAGGATGTCGAGGCTCCTCAGAGCTTCGAGCCGTTCGTGTTCAAGAAGAGGCATCGGCGGGGGCGGCCACGGGTAGTCCCATGCAGCCACGTTGTGGTCGCTGCGCGCGCGACCTCGGTCGGCGGACATCCCGCGCCGCCGTTGGTCGTCGTAATCGGATGTGGGCTGCCGAGTCATCATTTGGTCGGAGAATGCACTGCGCGAGGACAATCTTTCGTCCTCGGATCCGGTGTACGTGTAGCGGAGATTGGACGGCCGCGTGAAACCCACTGGCGGTGTGCGGATCGGAAGGCCTTGCTCCGTCGACTGGAGCATGACACACGACAGGCAGATTTTCACGTCCGTGAGCCCCTTCACGGGAAACTCTGCTGATCGTTTGACCAAGCAGGAGCTGCACACCACCTCGCCGCACTAGAAACGCATGTGGCATCATGCCAACATTTCAATCAAATGACTTGTCAATAAATGGAGAGCAAAATACGCAGAACTTACCGTCCGACAGTGATGCTTACGTCGGGTAAATGTGGCAAAGTTCCGCGAACACGCGTGGCAGCGCTGCCTCTCTTGGTCAGGGACCCACAGATCATGATGCATGAGCTGGTCTAGCGTTAGAATGGCGCTGTTCCGATGGTGCGCGGCCATACTGTCAGTGCACTTGCAATTTGTCGTCAAAGTCCTTGTCATGAAAAGTTGAAGTAGAATGGCATCATACAAATATCAAGTTCTAATGAACCTGTTATAGTTGATAAATGTCGCAGAATGCATTGTCAAAGGTTTTCAATTTTGCCGGCATGCATTGTGTGGATCGTTGCTTTGGCACTGTGAGCAAGTACAGTACATGTACTGTAGTCCGTAGTGTGCATCCCAAGATCGTATTAGCAGTATCATATATTTGGTTGCTTGGATTTTGCATTGATGAACAATGTGAAGTTGCCAGTGGTGCATGCTGTACGTGGGGTGAATGGCAACCTTGACAGTTTCCGGTTACGTAGTACTTACCAGAGCGAGGAATACAATCGGTTACGTGGTGTAACCGACTGGATTTGCGGAACAGAATTGGTTACAGGCTGTGACTGAGTGGTATTGACGACGATTTTAATTAGGGCGGCGTTCGTAGTACTGTGAAACATCCATCAACTTGACTTTTGCACAAGGATTTCAAGAATGCTGCAATAGAGAGGATTGATTCCAACGCAGCTCAATGATGTACGTTGACTGCCAAACTGTTGTCACATCATGTCCGTTCAGCAGATTAGTGATAGATGGATGGGTCAATTCGGTTACTCGTCCTCCAACGCAACAATGTAGTCACCTTGTCACAGTCAGACAAGCTGCAGTTGCATTCGTCTTCTTTCATACGTGTATTTTCGACTACATGGCGAAGTCCCCCAATGCAGCGCTCTTCTTCCCGATGTCGTCGTCACCACGCCAGCAACTGACACCATCAGGGTCATCGTTGTCGCCGCTACGTCATCTAGATGCCGAGCACGTTCGCCGATTCCTCGATACGTGGCTTTGGCATTACACGATCCTCGGCACCCTCGTCGTCGACTTGGTTGTGCAAAGTGTCGTTTTGCTCGGGTTAGCGCCGCAAGTTTCTCCGTGGGCCATGTCCCCGTGTGTATTCTTAGCGGCTATCGACATGGTCTTGCGCTGCGGTGTGTGGCGGCGTACGATGCGCCGGTTCCACTCCGCCTCCGCTGACGCCCTGCTCGGGGTGTGTATGTTGGTGGTGTGGTTTTGTCGAATTGTGTGGCCTGTTTCCAACACGGGCACTTCGACCGGTCGCCAACTCGTACCACTTTTGAGCGTGGCCTTGGCTTCGATGCGACTTGTGTTGAAGCCCCGCGCCAGACAGCTCACCAAGGCGTGTTCACGACAACGTCAGTGTACTAACACGGCGATAAGACTTCGACCAACCTTTTCCGCGCCAACAGGAGACACTGGTACCAGCAGCGAACAGAAGCCACTCGTGTACTCGACATGGAACGTCATACGCAGTACGTTGTCGCACTGGGCCACCCAACGGACGGACCTTGCGTGGTGCATTGTGGTCATGTTCATCAACGCCTCGATCAATCCCCTCCAAGCGTACTGCCTCCAGCATCTCTTGGACCAAGCGTTTCTCGCTGCCACTTCGTCAGCGAATCCCCAGGTGGCGCTACATCATGGCATGACAGGACTAATCGTGCTCTGTGTGCCGTTTGGATTGAGCACGGTCGGCATTGGGGTGTTCCAGTCGCGAATGCTGGCCCGTGCCACCGCGCGACTCCACTCCCAGCTGCTCCACGTGGTACTCGCCCAGCCGGCCACGTATTTCGTCCACGATGCGAAAGAAGGCGACGTCACGAACGTCTTTGCGAGTGACGTGGCGCGCGTGAATGCGTTGTGGCAAGGCGTGTTTTGGAACCTCCTGCATCCGGCGATTGTCGCTGCTGGGGGGTTTGGCTACCTCTTGGTCTGCGACTTCAACACGGGGTGGCTCGCATTCTGGGTGGCGATCGTATTGGTATCCAGTGGACCCCAAGGTCGCGCTGCCGCCCACTCGACAACATTTGGCGCGGCCAACGCCGCCCTCACCGCCTCGTTCCAGGACACGCTCAGCAGTCACGCGACGGTTGTCGTGTACGACATGCAACCGTCGATCCAAGCCAAGTTTGACGTCAATGTGCAAGCGCTGTCGTCCATCCAATTCGCCAAAGACCTGTGGGCGACGCTCGTGCAAATCTACATTGAAGGAGCCATGTACACGTTTGTGGCGGTAGTGACGGCTGGCTTGGCGACGAGGGTCGTGGTGGGCCACACGCTGACGGCGGGCGAGTTTGTCTCGTATGTGGCGTTGCTGGGTCGCATCTCGTCCCCCATCACAGTGCTGGGCGGGTTTATGCGAGTGGCGATTGGCAACTCTAGTAGCTTGCAGCGCGTCGACGCGCTGCTAGCACTCTCTAGTGACGGCCACGTCATCACAACGGACGACATGTCGTTCAAGTCCATGACCACAGCTACATCGACCGACTCGATTTCGGCTGCACACCCGCTGCAAACGGCCCTCACCGCCTCGCACCTTATTGTCCAAGTCAACCGCACCGTGGTGGTGGCCGACGTTTCGTTTGCTTGTCCACGTGGCACGCTCACGTGCATCGTTGGTCCGAGCGGCAGCGGCAAGACGTCGGTATTGCGCTGCCTCATGCAAACGGGTCCGTCCCATGCCAGCGGGCACATTTGGTGGGACGAGTCGCCCCTGACCTTAGCCCACCAAGCGCACGTGGGCGTGGTATTTCAGCACCCCCGGTTTCTCCACGGAACGATCCGAGAGAACCTGCGCTACGGCCACCCCCGCGCCTCGGATGTCGACTGCCACGACGCCGCCGCGATGGCACACTGCCTGCCGTTTGTGAATGAACTGCCCAAGGGATTGGACACGGACATGGAGAGCGTCCAGTGGAGCGGCGGCCAACTGCAGCGATTGAGTCTGGCGCGGGCGTTGGTGCGGCGTCCGAGGTACGTCATGAAAACGTGCAGAATGTGATTGTCTATACTGACGATTGTGTGGAATGTGTGTGTAGTGTGCTGTTGCTGGACGAAGCCACGAGTGCACTGGACCAGGAATCGGAACTGGCCGTGGTGGCCACGCTGACGTGGCTAGCCAAGACGCAAGGGACGGTGGTCGTCGCCGTCACACATCGATTGGCCACGACCAAAGTGGCCGATCAAATTATCGTGCTACAAGCAGGACGCATGGTGGAAGTGGGCCGGCATGCCGACTTGATGGAACGCCGCGGCATCTTTTACGACTTGGCCCACGAGAATGATGCAAGTAGTCGCAGTAAGAATGGACACGAGAAGGGCGATGTGGCCCTGCTCGACGAAGAAGGCGATGCTGCGGATGTAGAACTAGGAGACGAAGCGTATATGGTGTTGTAAGTTATTACAAGTTTTTTCTCGAAAAGACATCGTTCAGTGGCGCGCGGGGTTCGTCCGTACCGCGGAACAGAGTGTTGCTGTACAGCTCCATCAAGTCGCTACAACAGATACCACCAGGAAGGATTAGTGGTTGGTGTTAAAGGAGACATGTCGAACAATTGTACCTCTTTTGCCGCAGCAGGTCCTTCGCTCTGCGAATGTCATCTTGCTGGCCGTCCAAACTGACGTCAATGCCCGGCAACGACGCAAGTAATCTCGCGGCGTCCTCATACTTCTTCTTGAGGGACGTGGCCGTGGCAGACACATCGCCAACTCTAGTTGATTCTTCGTTGGTACCGGCTGTCAAGATGTCTTTGAGGATGTCAATCAGGAGGGGCAACATGTCAAACTCCTACATACTCTCATAAGACATCAACATGCATAGCCATCTAGGCCATGGAGGCGGCCAGCCTACAGTACCTACCTCATGGATCTTCTTGGCTTCGACGCTTTGCTCCATGGATAAATTCTACGGCGGGCGGAAATTGCGATCGTTTCAAACAATTTTTGGAAGAAAATTCGATTTCACTCTCGCCTAATTTTTTATTAAAACGTGCACTGTCAATATTAATACGTTGCTTCTCCTGTCATAAAATAAATTGACGGTATAGGCTGGCGCGAATAAACAAACCATATTTTTTTGTCGAACTCAAAACTCATTCACCGAGATCTGCAACTCCCATCCCCATCTCGCATTTCTCGGCGTCGATCGCTGTCGCCAACGTCAAATCTTCCATCACGCACGCAAAGCGACCAGCCTGCGCACAGAGCATGGGCAACAAACAAGGGAAGTTGAAACGCCGCAGCGGAGATGACCGACCCAGCACCACGGGATCCGCCGCCGCCAGCGAACGGAAACGATCGCTTTGGTCCAACAAGGCCATGTCGTCATCGTCGCTGCCAGCCCCACCCCCGCACCCTTCCGTTAGCTCAAATGCGCCACCGGCGGCGGTGGGCGGCCCAAAGTCCCTGCAGCATGAGCCCCATCCCGAGTACCAGCCGCAGAAGCCATCTTCGTCGCCAGCCTCGGAGACGCGCGACCTCGTCAACCACACCCACTTTAGCGCCAAGGAAATCGAGTCGATCCGCGAAAACGTGTTTTCGCTCTTGGGGTATACACTCAGTCAGACGAGCTATGCCGAGATCTCCATTTCGAAAGACGACTTTATGAAGTTCCTCGGCGTGCCGCCGCAGTCGCTGTTCCCGAACCGCCTCTTTGCCATCTTTGCGACCGACTCCAAGAACGACACGGTAGTTCCCTCCACCTTTCATGAAGTCGTCGTCATCTGCATGTGTAGCTAACGTTTCCCGGTCTCGTCCGCGGCCTGTCCATCTTGAGCCAAAAGGCCACACACGACGAAAAGCTTCGCATGGCGTTCCAGCTCCTCGATCCCACCGACTCGGGGTACATCACCCACGACGCCACCGTGCGCGTCCTCAAGTCTTGCTTGGACGAGTCCAAAGGTATTCAATATCGCACATGCATCTCCTCTGACGGGTGCATGTCACGCAGAAATCGGGCTCACGGACGACCAGATCGACAAGCTGGTTGCATCGACCTTCTTGGACGCGGACTTGAACCGTGACGGCGTGATTGACTTTGCCGAATACCAGGCGCTGGACGCGCGACACCCTGGCCTGCTCGAGTTCCTTACCGTCGACTCGTCTGGCATCCTGAGCAGCCTTGACAAGCAAAAGTTCATGTCGCAATAACATAGCAAATCGTCGATGTCTCCAACATATCTCGTGTTTCTGCCGCTACTCGTTAGTCATCTCACAGCTACCACACCATCGATACTGGCAACGCCAGTGGAATGGGCATATGGCCAGAGGTACTAGGGAAAATAGTACATTGATACTATTTGTTTCAGTCGACTGTACTTCTTTGTGAAACGAGAAATTATATTTATTCTTACTACCTGGTAGAATAAATAATTATTCTTACTAGAATAAATAATTATTCTTTCAGCCAGTTGGAAGGAGTCGATTGAAACTGACACTACTACTTATTTCTTTCTTCAGAATAGTTTATTTACTAGAATTTCTTTAAACACTGTTCAAAACTCGAACCTATCTGTCCTGGTCCATCCAGAATAAATTAATCTAGTTTAAGAATATACTAACTTCGAAGTATATAATAACCCTGGTCGAGAAAATATATATTTCCGTACCTCGGACCATAGCTCCTGTACAGTATTAAGACTGGACTCGCTTTCACAGTTTCTCAGTCGTGATCTTACAACGTTGCCAGTCCTTTGGAACTATTTACACCTTCAATGACGAATGTGCAATTTCAATGTGCACTTTGCACTAAGACAGTTCGTGATGGGGCTAAGACCCATCGAATGTATGCATGTCATGTATTGCAGTCATAATCGTTACAACCAAGAGGTTGAAGTAAGTCGTTCTATGGCAACTTGCACATGTAAAAACTGCTCATTCAAGCACGCCACCAACACTATCGTAGCAACTTATGCCTTGGAAATGGGAAACGTGCCAGTGGGGCCATACAGGGCCAAGTATGCTTTTTGTCGTTGCGCCAAGCTACACAAGTATCCCCAGTTAGAGCGACGAATATGCTGGCATCATTGTCATGGAGGGTATATACCTGTGCGAGATGGCACTCTTGTTAACGCCAAGCCCCCACTTGTTGAACGAAGCCAAGGGTGCGGTAGCGGCAGGGGGTGAAGGGGCGACAGATGCAGCTTTAGCCACGACAGGTGCAGCTTTAGCCACGACAGGCGCAGGAATAGCAGGACCGGGCACGATTTTGTGAGGGACTTGAGGGGTCACGAGGAAGTCCGACGGTACGACAGGGGCATGTGTGGCAGGGTCAAGTTTGACTTCATGCTTCTGGGGAGGAATTTCCTCGGGGGACTTCGGTGCGACGGGCGCGGCAGCGGCGACTTCCGGTTGGAAATCCTTGAATGCGGCGATATCGGCTTCCGAGTCAACAGTCACCATGATGGGTTGACCCACAACAATGCCCTCCGCGCCTTCGGCGACGAGAATGCGAGCAAGGAACATATCGTCCTGCGCTTCGTAGTCGACAACTGCCTTGTCCGTCTCAATCTGGCAAATAATGTCACCTGCAGAGATCGCGTCGCCTTCCTTGAGCAACCACTTGGACAAGTTGCCTTGCTCCATCGTGGGAGACAGCGCAGGCAAACCCACCACTTCATGCGATGGAAGAGAGAACGATCGCACGCTCATGTAAGATGCGCGACGCGTGGTCATGGAGGCAGCAGCGCGGATGGAGCGGAACATCATGATGTGCACAGATGACCGATATCAAGAATGGTCGGTCACCATAGTCAATCACAATGCCAATATGTTTTAAACCGTTTTGACTTTCGAATAATACAGTAAATACAATAGTAACATATGACTAATAGAATTTGTTGGTACTCCCAGTAGCATTTAAATTGTAGTAGGTATTTAAAACACCTCAACCAATGGTTTAAAACAATAGGGATATCCTCCCTCCGCGCGATTTGATTGGTCCTTTTTTGACGCGACGTGACGCGCAACTCGAGCAACACATCGATGCGGAGAGTCAATTTACTGTTAGGAATTTTCTGACAGCTCAGGGATAATAAAAAGCATTGGATTATTATATTGTCAAGTCGATTCGAAATTGGGGTGTTTGGGTGCTCAAACGAATGAGCAGCACAAAATCGGCAGACAATCGATGGACCAATCAAAACCCAGAAAACTAATCAAGTTCCAATCAAATCAACTCTTTGACCAATGCAACATCGAATTAGTATGTGACTTCAATTAGTGTGAGACTGGACGATCTACTGTTACTTGGTGGTTCACGAAACAAATACGAAACATTACATACTAGTAGTCTAGTAGGAGACTACTACTAGTATTACTTGTACAATACTTGCATCACAGTTTTCAAGTCCAGCCGAAGCCATCGTACAAGGTGCATTTATCGCCCAAGCAACGTCAACGGTAAGAAGCAACGACACATCACGGACCATGAACTCAACGACTGACGTTACGTGTATGCGTATAGTGCACACAACACAAGCAAAGGGGTCCATCACAGTGTCGAATTGCGACCATGACATGGCGTTCAAGGATGGTATGACGCAGGTACATAATGAACATGAATATCATCGATTACTGCTTACTAATGGCGTCATAAACTGTGTGATAGCTCGTCTCGGTGGTTCGACGATTTCCAAGGCCAGTATCGGCGGCCCCGCCAAAAAAATGCGCGCACAGCGATGAGAAGCAGACGTCGAACAGAGCGTTTTTGTCGCGAAAGGTGAGTTAAGCAACGTCGTCGTGGCTATATGTTGTGGACTGTAGCATGGTGTTGACTACTTTTTTTACTTTCGTGAAATTTTCTTGATCCTTTCGGCTTGTAAAGTCCTTTGCTCGTAGCGTTCGGAGTGGCGGCATGTTAGTTGTGGCATTCCTCAGCCACCATAAATTCCATAAATCATACACTTTGCCATTTGTACATGTGTACTTTTCGTTTAGTATTGGTGGTGGAAGCAGCCAATTCGTCGATGTAGTTTCAGCATTACTGGTGGTTGGCGGCAGCGGCTGAGATATTCCTTCAGATAAAGTAGTATCTGGGGAATTCTGTCGCGCCATGTTTAGTAATAACTTCTCCCCAAACTGGAAAAGTGTACCATTGAGTTGCTCCATTTTCACTGATGCTGTGTTATGGTTGGTAGAGTCCAAGACATTGCGAAGTTGGAGAGGGATAGATTTAAACCCGTCGTCAACATGTTGAGCCAACTTCCCCAAGTTGGTTTGGACAACTCGCAATTGCTGGTACAACGGGACGTGTGGTGGGATGCCAGTCGCCGTCATGTTGGTGATGGGATTGTACAAGGTACCACCGTGAAGGCCAGCTGCAAGGGCTGTCAGCGACCCGGACAACCACACAGGGGACAGAAACAAGGGGTGGCTGTGGTGGAGAGTACTCTTCAACCATGCGTGGTGGTGGACCAACGACGCCAGCAGATATGGGACGGCCGATCGAAACGTAGCCGGATAAAGCGATGAGTATCCCGGCAAGTTTGACTCCCACTGTGCTGGACTGAGCGAGATCGATGGCCCAAAATGTGGTGGAAGCGCTCCAAACTCGACATCGTTAACATTGAGTCCTAATATATTTATTATACTTCAAAAATGAAAACGAAAAATATATATTTAAGAGAAATACCAGTTGCAACTTTGCCAACAAATTGATCGCCTCCAGATCCTTCAAATATGTATCGTCCTTGGACCCCACCGAGGCTCCAACCAGCTCGCAGCCAGACCATAACTGCTTGTGGGCCACCAGGACTGTTGGACAGTGCACTTGCGACACCTTTACGAAACGAATGCGTACCAATGTCCGAGATGGACAGTCCGAGGCCAGCAATGTCGTCGGCATTTGCTGCGCATGTCTTCGCGAGCCAAGCCGAAAACCGATCCTTTGCATTGTAGCCAAACAGAAGCGTCGGGGACTCAGGCACTTGCGCTCCGCGAGTAAACAACAAGACACCCAAACTAGATGACAAACATTTCAACAAATATTAGATATATATATTACGAACCTTAAAATGGGGCAAATAGCAGGATGCGACGGATTCGCATATACATGTCTGGGGTATGACATGCGCCCTTCTGGGTCGTTCTTCATAAGACCAAAGCTGATTTGGAGGGCGTCATCTAATAACCAAATCAATAATGTATTGAAGAGTATATTGCAACCTTTCCATGTAATGTGTTCGTATCTTATTGACGACGTTGACACAGCCCGCGCCATCAAGTTCCAACACAGCAGCAGAAATGAATGCGCCGTGACGTACAAGGAGTAATCGCACTCC